TCAGTTACGTATTGCTCATCCACCTGCCAATCGGACACGTTGTGTGCATCAGTTACGACATGTCCTCGTCCTTATTTCCGCTCATGCAGTCGACGCCATCCATTAGGAGAAAGCAACTCCATCACGCTTACGGCCATAAAACATAAGATGCCTGTATCCCTAAACTTTACAATAAATGAGGGGGTCTTTATGAGGACAATGTTAGTTTAGAGCGCGTCTTGTGTGTGAAAGTGCGAGCCCATCGTCGCCAATCTAAATTTCGCAAAGTCACTACCAGCCAAAGTGGATCGATCTCTTGAATTATTTTCGACGACGACGCGAAAATATTTTTTGGCTGGTAGTGACTTTGCGAAATTTAGGATTGGCGACGATGAACTTCACTTTCACACAAGGTACATTGTATTACATTGTCCTCATAAAGACCCCTCGTTTGATTGTAAAGTTTAGAGATACGGGCATCTTTACGTTTTACATATGCTGTAAGCGTGATGCTATATGAAAGGTAGCCTTTGTTAGCTGGACCTGATAGAGGCGGATATGCAGAAGGACGTGTTGTGTCACGAGAGCAAGAGGAAGTAAAAAGCAGATCTTGAAAAGGTTAATCCCATTGGCTGAGAGTGCATAATGAATTCTCTCCCTGCCTGTTGCAGTAAGGTCCGCCCATGATGGCCCGTTGGGATCTTCTTCAAGTTAACCATGGCATGGTGAATAACCCAAAATATGGCCAACACATGCAAAAGTATCATGAACTGCATGAAGCGTATGTATGCTGTAAGTTCCTTTTCATCCATCCTACACACAGCATGGTAATAATAATGATCCAATGGCACCACCAGTCAATTGCAGCAGCTCATTTCATTTTATTGACGCTCTTTAACATCATCATCCCTTCTAAAACCATACTTACTATCATACTAATAGCTATATAATACAATCATGGAGACCGCTATCCTGTGCACGAATATGTGCCACTTGTTGTTTGCTGCCTTGTAGTTGTCCGATCGCCCGTCACCATCGTTTGACCAAGGTCCAATCATCCAAACCTTTATCAGTGTTGTTTCCATCTTGGGATCCAGTCTGAGGAAAGGACATCCACCTGTCACTGTTTTCTGGTTGCCATAGATAGAATGATGTGCATTCCCATAACGAACAAGTTGATCCACCAACACGCTGTGCCTTGTGAAATTACCTTACCGCTTCCATCCTGTTTGATACACCCATCATCCATCATTGTTCAGAATCCATGGTGAATCGTGTCATGTCGTCAATGTTGCATGCTCCATGATTGTTCTTGTCGATCCATCACTGCCTGTCTCATCCATGTAAATAAACACACTTGTGATCATTGCCATGGGATCATCCAACGTAAAAAGTTCAACGTGAGGTACGCCTTATATCAAATAACCATCCCCTTTTGCCTTGGATCTTGTGAAAAGGAATGAACGGTACTTCTTAGCATTCTGGTCGTTTGATAACAGCAGGAAGACGTCTTTGGACATACCGATGGTGTTGCATCAGCCATAGGTGGATCGCAGTTGCTCTCTTGGTCAATGAGGAAGCTACATGGGTCACCGATCATTGTTTGATACGCACCGCGGTTGTTTCTTTTCACCATTGACGTTGTTTTTGTTGCGATGGAAACGGCATCAGTGAGTGTCCTGGAAGAGGTGTCGGGCTTTCCAAGTGGCATGTGTGGAAGAGGAAACGCTGCCATGGAAACCAGCCTGTCAATTCATATACAGCTGTGGATATACACAAGAAGGAGGAAAATCAACGCATCTGTATGCGTGTATGGTAATAATAGGTACGTGGTGAATGATCCGTGTATTCTATGCTTCAATGATGCTTCAAAACATACCTTGCAACAAAGGAGTTTCATTGAGTGTCTCCGATATCAGCTAAACTCCACCACTGCTGCTGATGATCCGTGCACGTTTCACGCTTCCCACCTTCCCCATATAGCAATGATCCAAGGTACAAAGAAGTGTGTCTTTATGTGTGTCTTTTATCATGATCTCTTTAGCTAACATGGTATAAAGAAGGCAATGACTGCTGCAACCCATATATGGTATGTTGGTGTCACGCTCCTTTTCAGCCGCAGCAACCATCCGCAGCAACGGCTATAAAACAAGCGCCTTTTTCCTTTTCTTTTCTTTACCCTTCCTTCCCAACGAGGTTTTGGCGCGCAAGACCCGGCACCTGATTTGAGGGATTTAGTTGTAGGGGGCTCCAACTACTTCTCTCGGTCTTCAAAAAAGGTACAAGCGGTGTCCCCAGCACTGCACCTTGTCGACCTGATATTGGTGCCCACAGGTAGAGGTGGGGATGGTTGAGCAGCGACCTTCTCGTGGTCATCCCTGTGAGTACTTGGCCTTTTGGCTCAAGGAAACCAACAGCTGCTACTTTATAGTATTAGTATTAGTTTCATCATAAATAAACTTGTTCTTTTTAAATACACGTACTCTTGTCTCTACACATGTTCTAAAACGCGCTGCCAAAGTAACACTTGACTGATCGTTGCTCTGATCTTGGTCGCCAAGATAACAGTTGACTGATCGTTGCTGTGATCCCGGTTGTCTAGGAATCCCTTGACTGATCTCCGTGATCTAAGGAACAAGTAAAGCAAATCGCACGTCGATTAGAGTCATGAGAAGTGGTGTTGTTATAGTGCGCTTTTCTCGATCGTTGTTGTGGGCTGTGCCCTTCCACACATACAGCTGGATTCCTTCAAAGTAGCCTACATTCAGCCAGATACACCCATGTGTCTCATCCTTGCTATCAGCAGAACATAATACGCATGCCTTGACAATAAAGTTGTTTCGTATATATCACTATCTTTATTGCTTTGAGACGTCGTCTTGGTTCATGGAGTTCCTGGTGATTGTCTAAATTGGTTGACCAGCATCCATCATCTTCCATAACTTGTTGGTCAATTGGTCCCTTCCCTTTTTTGATGCCCAATTCCCAAAGGTTCCAAGAGGTATCATCAAAATGCCTTGACTCTAAGATTACCAATACATGTATCATCAGCCACGGCTTCGTTTATGTATACCCATTCCTCCTCCTATACCTTACCTTGCCCAAAGTAATTTCCATCTTGAGGAATTTTGGCTTGTATTCACCCATAGATGTATGTCGTCCTTGAATAGCTCGCACCAAGTTATTCAGCACCACGGGCACTTGTCTCTTGATAAAAATGGCCAATTTGAGTTCATCGAGATCGGCTGCATCACCAAAGAGCATAGATGTGTTCATAGCCCACAGCATCCACTTGCAATTTTGGCTTCACACGAATGTATCCCTTGGGTGATAAAATGGTATCACGATGTTGTTGTAACCAATCGGTATCTGCATAATTACCAAAGGCAACCATAACCAAAGTTGCTGTTGTTGTAAAGATGTGCATTATGCGTACAAGTGCTTGATTTCCTTGATAGATTTTATCACCTGCCCTAATTTGGCCGGCGAATGCATAGACAACATTACACGCCCCATCACCTTTATCAGCTCATGCGTGTGCATCCCATCAACACCTTTGCGTAGAAGCCACGGCATGTCTCTAGGTAACGAAATACGCTTGATAGCAACAAAGATTATGCCTCTTTAAAGTACAATTACTGCTTTTATAATAATACGATGTATGTAGCATTGCGGTGGCCATCCAATGTTGTGGAATGCGTATCGTCACACCTTTGCTAGCAGACGTTTATTGAATAAGAACCTTGTTCCCAAAACAGCCATTGCCGATGCCATATTCATCGCACCCGTAAATTGAATAGCTGCGGTCCATCCATAATGAATGTGTAGAGCTCCGGCTATGGGTGTTCCAGCCAAGTAGCCAAAGAGTGATATGAAGTATGCTACACCCACACCTTCTTGAATTCCCTTGACACCCACAATTTCAGCAATGACAACCGGCTGAAAGCCACTAAAGACACCACCTGTCAAGCCAAAGAGGATAGTGTAAAGCATATAGATGTGAATGCTGCTTGCATTTTGCCAAATCACAGACGTGAAAATACCTGTGTAACCATCACCATGGATGAATGCATGAATTACGCTATCATAGTAGTTTACACGTTACCAGATATGAGTGTCGTGAGAAAAACAACATTGATGCGTCCGAGACAATGATCACCCAGCCAACCGAAAATGATACGTGAAAGACCATTGGATGCTTCAAGGACCGAAACAAAGGTGGATGCAAATGCAGGGTTAGCACCGAGTTCGGTTGCATAGGTCTGTGACAAGATGAAGGGTGTTGCATATGAAAATGACACCAAGAATGAATGCAATAGGTAAAAGTTGTATTTCCATGTAAACATGGCTCGATCCAAGGATAGGAAACGCTGCCACCATTTGGATTGTTGTTTTTCGCTCTTCAATGATGATGACGACAATGATGACGATGATGGTGGTGGATAGCGTGGTCGGATCAAGATCACACCCAGACAAGAAATGGTGAAACCAATAGCAGCAAGTACACGTAGCGCGTTGCGATATCCCAGACTTGTAATCAATGCTTGTGTTATGGGTGAGAACACCATGGGACCAATACATCCGCCCATACTTGCGATACAAGAGGCAAGAGCTCGATTTCTCACAAACCATTGTGAGGGTAATGTTGAGGAAGCGGTATAACAAAGACCTGTGCCAACACCAAACATGCAACATTGGAATAAGGCGATTTGCCATATCTCAGTAGCAAAGCTGGCAAGGACCTGGCCGAGGGGACAACAAATGACAGCACCTAGAAAAATGGTACCACGATAATGAAGTCGCTGGATAATAGGTGTGCCAACCAATCCAAGAGCATACATGAGTGCACTCATAGATGTCCCTACTAAGGCAACACGTGCTTCATCCGTTTGCTCAGCGTACACCTCGAGGTATCTTTGCATTCGCATTATATAAGTCTCTTTCATTTATCACTTCCCGTTTTGTACCCACTTACAGAACCTGAAAGACATTCCAGCTACATACTATGCCTAGTGTATAAAAGTTAAGCATGAATGTCGCAAGCACTGTGAGCCATCCTGGGTTTTTCAAGCCTTCGGTGTAGTATGCTGGCATATCATCATCGGGCTGTGTGATGATATTATCATTGCAACCAGCTTTTAATGACGTCTCCTCAGGTCTATGCTCTACCACGTTTTCTTGTACGCTATGCTTGTGGTCGTGCTTATGGTTGATTTTATGGTCGGATGACTGTAATAATAACGAATCAGATTTCTTTGTGTATGGTGTCATCGTGTTGTTCTTTTACATCAGTAGAGCTATTCGAGATTGTATCGCTACTAGTATCACTTGATTGAGAAACGGTGGGTTGATGACTGGTGGTGTTATCTGATAGCGTTTGGTTTGGTGAGTCTATCATGATGAAAATGAATTTTTCTGTATACTTGAAGAAAAAGAAGCCATAATACATAATAAGAGGACAAAAAAGCAAGAGATTCTTTTACTGTTACCCCTGTTGGCGTAACAATGCATACATACATACATATTTTCGCCCCTTTAAACGATGCTGACGATATCTAAATACCCGTTTATTGAACCTAATGGCGACTGCGTTGATAGGAAACAAGTAGAAGGAGACCTAGTGCTAGTATCACAATCATGTCAATGATGGTAATATTGCTATAGGAATATGCCACATCAGCAATGAATCATTATGAACATTGCCAACGGCAATTTCCTTGTGGCCGACAACAACGCAGAATGTGACATTCGAAGATCAAGCCAAGTATGGTATCAAAGGAAAGATTTATGCACATAGTTTGCATCTCAGCAAGGAGATGCATGGAGTAGGCAAAAAGTGCGCCGCTGAATGAATGCAAAGCACGGTAGCAATGCTTGGTACCAACACAAAAGGTCTCAACGGATTGTCAAAGCTAATGCGTGCACCAAGGATACCCCACATGTACCACTACATACGTTGTTTATGTGCCTGCATCCTATATTAAATCAACAAATTTAATCAAGCTTTGTATTGTTGAAGAGAAGAACCCCGAAAATGATGCATAAAAAAGCGTTACTGGACAACCACAGGGATTGTCTTAGTGTCTGCTAGCTGTGAGTCGATAGTCGCTTACATGCAGTAACGTCCCATGCTATGTAGATCCATAACTCCTGCAACCGTAACCATCGACCATGCTTGTTCAACCCGATTGGGGGTCATTAAAAGGCATAGCAGCAAGAGAGAGAAGACCAATTGCATCTTTTACTATAAGGATATCTAAACGCTTTATGAAAAGTCTGCTAAGCAACCAACATGGGTATATTTAAGCCGAGAGGATGAAATATTTTAGAGTAAGATGTAGGAAGTAACACTTGATATGGGTAACAAGGGATCAGTGGCTAGTATACAATGTTGAAAGGACCGCCACTCTAATTTTGCTGGTGTTGTGCGACAATTATTTACATCATTGTTTGCACTATATGGTAAGTTTCTTGATTTTTACTATACATGGGATAATGATGCATTGACAGCTAGTGATACAAATTTAGCATGAGGTCTAATCTTTAAAGTGAATGAGCCATCCAAGCACCGTATGGCGGAACCATTGAAAGACGTCGGTAGTACAATACGGCATAAACACTGCTTGGATGTGAGTGGATTGTCGGTCCCCGTAATGTTAATTTTTTTCCCTTCCTCAAATGTGGCCGAGCTGGATTTTCCATCATCTCTCTCTTTCTCTCTCTTCTTTTATACCCCAACTCAATGGCAGTACCGGCTATCAACGAGAAGATCAATTACATCAAAGCCACTGTACCCGAAGCAGATGATAATACACGTGCACTCAAATGGTTAACGCAACATTATCGACATATTGTTCAATCCAAAGAATGTTGTAAACGATCGTTTAGACGACAAGAGATCACGGTGAACGGCGAGCATGTTGAAGAGACTCGGATATTGCATAAAGGTGATGTCGTCGAAGTGCGTTATGATCGAGCTCGTGTGGAGCAAGAAAAGCTTCGTCAAGTTCCTGTGGATATTCGATATCAGGATGAGCACATTGCTATTGTATGGAAAGCGCCTGGACAAGTAGGTAGAACAACGTGATGATGCATTCCATTTTCATTGTCTCATTTGGAAAGAGTTATGGTATCTTTGAACGTGCATTACCCTATGCTCTCTCGCTTGCAAGGGAAGACTATGTCTGCTGGAGTCCTTATACATTGCAAAAAGCTGCATCTGGCTTGGTAAATATGGCTTTTATTGACATTGATGCACATAAGACTAATTTCTTGTATATCTCTTTCAGCTGGTTATTGCAACGTCCAACCATGCCAAGCAGTTTCTTAGTCAAGCCTATCAACAATGTCAAGACTTTAAGGTGACAATGCGTGTCATTTGCCACGGCAAAGTGCCAGCCGATCTCATGTCGACCTTGAGGAATACCACCTTGAAACCACCATCGCCACCACCACCAGCACTTGATCCCACCAGCGACGTTATCACAAAGAGCGTTGCGAATGACGACGACGACGAAGAAGAAGAAGACAATGCTGTTACCTTGACACGATCAGCGACTGAAGTGGTATCCGATCTACGCCTGGTGCAGATTACACGGTCCAACAATGCCGATTACTTGAGTACACTTGACCTTGACTTGCATACACCTTTTTCGAGCATGGCTATCCGGAGTTTGCTGTATCATCAAGCAGACCACCCGATCGTTGGCAACTCGACTTATACCAAGTATCTCAAATCCAGTCGAGACAAAGGATTATGCATGAGCGTGACCCGATTGCAGTTATCACATCCTACGACACGTGAGACGATGACATGGGAGGCAGCAGAACCAGAAAAGTTTGAATTGCTACGTGCACGTGAACAAAAGTTTTGGAGACGCAAATTGGATGAAAAGCTCGAGGCATTGAAAAAGCTGGGTCGTGTCAGTGATCATCAAGAACAAGAACAATTGGATCAGGTTGAATCGGGTGATGCGACTGAAAAGCCCTTGGCGTACATGTTGGGTGAAAAGACATTCTATGGACTCACGTTCAAAGTATCCGAAGCATGCTTGATCCCGCGACCCAGCACTGAAACGTTGGTGGATGCAGCGGTTGCTATTCTACTACAACAAGAGGATGAAAACAAGCAGCAACGTGTACTTGATATTGGCACCGGATGTGGTAATTTATTGTTATCCATTATGCATCGAATCAAGAGCAATCATCTCAACGTCCAAGGATTGGGTATCGATATCAGCAAAGATGCTTTGGCAGTCGCACGGGAAAACCAAACGAGCCTCGGCCTTGATCATGATGTCACCTTTACCGAATGCGATATGGCGCTTTTAGATTGTAGCCAGCAAGGTTTATTCGATGTCGTCGTATGCAATCCACCCTATCTCAACGAGACGATTGTCAAGAGCTCATTCAAGCACCGAAAGGATTTCAATTTGCTTTTGCAGGAACCCGCCATGGCTTTGTTTGCTGGTGATGATGGATACGAATGGTATACCGTATTGAGCAAGGTGGCTCCCAAGGTGATGCATCGTCATGCAAAATTGGTGCTCGAGTGCGGTAAAGGCATGATGGATCGCGTAAAGCTCATTATGACTGGATGGAAAACTGTCGAGGTACGCAAGGATAAACAGGGCTGGGATCGTTGTCTAGTATTAGAATTACAATAAAAGAGAAGTTTTTTTTGTGCATATAAATCGCAATGCAAAAGGGTCAAGCTGTAGTACAACAACAAGCCCATTCTCGCTCCTTTTTTACTTTGTTTGGATATAAAAAGACGTTATGTTACTTATTCGTACCAATGGATGTGATTCATGCATTGCATGATTATACTGCGGCTGGGCCCTCGATTCCCTATATAATGAAATAACCACATTTGACTCTTCTTTGCTATCTCTGGTGACAATGACAACCACTTTTCTCAATCAAACCGAACAAACTACCACGACTCCTTCGAGTGAAAGACCACTTGCGTATGTCAAAGGTGAAGCTGAATTCTGTGGCCTGAAATTCAAGGTATCAGAGAAATGCTTGATTCCTCGTGAACGTTCAAAGGTCCTGGTGAATGCCGCTGAGGAAATTCTTTTGGAGGAAATCATAAAGAACCCTGCCAAAACGCAACGTGTCCTGGATATTGGCACTGGATCCGGCAATTTGCTCTTGTCGCTCATGCATCGTATTCAAAACATCCATGGACGACCCAAATCGGTGGAAGGTGTTGGCATCGATATCAGCCAAGATGCCGTTGAGGTTGCACGTGAGAATCAAGCATGGCTCAATGTTGTCAATGCTGAATTTTTCGCATGCGACATGGCTTTATTGGATAGTCGCCATATTGGGCTGTTCGATCTCGTCTTGGCTAATCCTCCATACACGGTCAACAACAAGCCTGAAACACAATTGCATGAACCTGCCGTGGCCATGTTTACGGGTGATGAAGGATTTGAATGTTATGGTATCATCAACGCGGTGGCTCCCAAGTTAATGCATCCACACGCCAAGTTGGTCATCGAATTTGGTCGCGGTATGGTGAACCGTATCAAGGCAATCATGACTCAGTGGAAGGTGGTTGCTACGTACCAGGATCAAGAAGGCTACGATCGTTGGTTGGTGTTGGAACAATTGTAGTTGTACATAGCAATTATAAAACTTGAGCATTTGGAATGGGACACTGGCACTGTGTGACATTAAAGGCGGTATCATGGCAACGTTGTTGAGGTACCAGTAATACGGTAATGGTAGTACTTGGGTCTCGTAAATCAGGAAGTTTGCACAAACTCACTCTTTTATATGCATCATGCGTTGGACACGGGTAATCGGGATCATGCACCATCATGTACTCAGCGCCATGTAGATTATACGCTATTATGTATGCTTCATGTTACTGCTATTGCTTGATACATCGTAAGGAATTTGCCGCTTAATTATTGAGATGATTGATGATACATAGTACACGGGTTCTTGCTTCGTCGATAGAAAGACTTGGACAGTGGCACACCATGCTCAGCGAAAAACGGTGAACCAAATTGATGGATCCATGTCCACGTGCATAATAAGGGATCCACCTCGAAAAGCAAAAGGAGGTTGATTTCACCTAGACGACTACATACATTGATTGAAAAACATTAGGGCAATCAATAATCGTTAACATTTTATTTATGGTGGAGAGCATCGACTCGTTGCTAGGCAATGAACGAATGTTAATGTGCTACAACGGATACGGTGATATTCCACTGAATATGGAAAAGGTGGCTAATGCGCATACAAAAGGTGCACAGATCACTGGTAGCTACCAGGTGCAATTATGCAAGCGTGGGAAACAACGCTTTTTACTACTTCATCATAGCGTTGATCCATTGCTTTGATCTCTCTCTCTTGTTTCTTCTTACGACATCATCTCCCTTCAAAGAATACACATACACTATGACAGTATCCACCATCTCTGATAACCTTAGCCATCTCAAGCCCACAGCCCCTTCATCATCTTCTCACGGTAGTCAAGAGGAAGATGATCATAATGGACGACCTCTTGCCTATGTGATGGGCGAGACAGAGTTTTGTGGTCTTTCATTCAAGGTCTCTGAAGCTTGTTTGATCCCTCGACCCTGTTCCAAGATCCTTGTGGATGCAGCCGAATCGATTCTTTTAGAGGAACAACAACAACAACATAGCAACGAGTCACTAGAACAAAAGCGTGTTTTAGATATTGGCACTGGATCCGGGAATTTGCTTTTGGCTCTCATGCATCGGATGCAAAATGTCTTTCAAGCACCCGTAAAAGGTGTGGGTATCGACATTAGTGGTGAAGCTCTTGAGGTTGCCAGGGACAACCAAACTCGACTCAATATCGCCAACGCTGCATTCTTCGAATGTGACATGAGCCTTTTGGATAGCAATCAAGTAGGGATGTTTGATGTTATCATGTGTGCCCCTCCTTACCTTGATGAGGTGACGCTCGATGACAAGGACAAGGATATGTTGGCACATGAACCTGCTGTGGCTGTGTATGCTGGTGATGGAGGCTTGCAATGGTACCCTGTGCTCAAGCAGGTGGTGCCTAAGGTGTTGAATCCTCATGGAAAACTTGTGCTCAAGGTCAACAGGGGCATGATGGACAAAGTCAAGGACATTATGACGGGTTGGAAAACGGTGAATGTGATCAAGGATGACGAAGGATATGATCGATGTCTTGTGCTAGAGCAGATTTGAATGTACTACACAACGTTGTTATGTAAAATGGATAGTAGTAGAAATTACGTAGGATGAGCATTTCAATACAAGTATTACATGGATGATGGCACCATTCATGTTTTTTACCCATCATCATGTGATGACATGATACAGTATAGCAGCAGTTTTCAAGCATACGCAATGTGATGTGCAATGAAGGATGCATCATGGGCGGTGCTTTTGTACACGCTAAAAAGCGGAGATGCTGTTGTCATGCGCATTGCCACTCAAGCAGCAAGCATTCTCTTTCTCTCTCTCTCTCTCTCTCTCTCTCTCTCTCGAGTCGTATGCATAAGTCCGCCTTGTCATTTCCCTATTTTGGGCCTCTCTTTCTCTTACTCCACACCACTTTTTCGTCTTTAACCACCTCGTCGTTTGACTCCATTACTACCATTCTCCACATTCAGTGAATGAAGCCACGCCATACCGATCTCAGTACTGTTCATTTTGCCCGAGATCAAGCTGCCATTCAGTTACCATCGGAATCAGCTCAGTCTATCTTTTACAGTTCTACTGGGAGCTTGAATCATGCGAACCTCCGAAGGCATCTACAACCCCTTACTGGACAACCACTACCATCATCATCATCATCGTCGCCTAGGATACCAGGTACATCATCCAATCCACCGCCAAGACTTGTACGCCAAGATGCTTTCTTCAACGGTGAGTTTACAATGGTATAAAAAAGTCGACACTTATGGCTCATTGTTACTTTGTCGCTTGTCCAATACGAAGTAGAAGAGACTCCTCCTTTGAGTGATGACACATCTATACCAGCACCCATTCGACGACGATGCAAAGTATGCTTCAGCATGACAGAGCCATTGATAAAATCGCCATGTCAATGCTGGGATCCACCGTAAGTGCTTTGAAACTTTATGATGACATGCATAATTGACATGTCTATCATGTAGGAGTTATATCCATCAAACTTGTCTTATCGATACGCTTTCATCTACTGCATCCTCTAAGCATTGCAGCTCATGCCATTCTATATATAACGTCAATATGATAAACACCTTACGACGACCACCATCACAACAACAACGACAACAAAGACCACCACCAAGTAAGCGTTCATGTTACTATTCATGCAGGATTGTTGTTTTGTGACACGTATGTGCATAGATGGCTACTATCGAGGGTCGTTATGGAAAACGATCATGATCGTCGCTGCTACTACTTTAATCATGGAAACCTACCGATGCACCGAATTGCAACAGATACCTGGATCCGAATTGGATGATGATGGTGGTGGAGCAGCTCCCGATTACATTTGGCTTCCGGTAAGTGATGCTTGTTTTTCATTTTCACCATGACCCCTACATCACACACGCTCTTTTTTCGCTTGCCTACTAGGTTGTGCAACACCAATGCTGGCAAGAAAGTCTCTTGGCAATGTTTTGGCGATCCATGAAATCCTATCCTTTTCTTGCCAGCGTTTCACTGATGCTATTAGTAGTTGTCATTTGTATACTTGATAAAATGGGCTATTGAATCTACACTTTCTTGATGGTTGGAATGATGTATGTAAAGGAGCAGGAGAAGAATGATGTAACACAAGCTACTATGACAATGTCATCACATGGTTTTTCCACGATTCAACGTTGCTTACTCAATCCCCTCTCTCTTTTTCCCCTCTCTTTCACTTTTTTTTCTTATTATGACTTTACGACAAGCTTTTATTGTTGCTGCTAAACGGTACACGCTTTATCCTATTCTTGTATCGTTTGATTGATGTCACGCTCTGCTTTAGAACACCCTTTGGTAGTTTTGGTGGCAAACTAAAAGACTTGACAGGTAAACCCTATAAATGGATTGTAGAAACGCTTGATATTCATGGATGTATAAAATAGCGGCCGAGTTGGGTGGATTGGCATCCAAGGCAGCTTTGGAGGATTTGGGCAACAAGCAAGTTCCGGTGGATGCAGTGATTATGGGTAACGTGATGCAAACGGATCCAGCAGGTGCCTATGTTGCTCGACACATTGGCCATCGAGCCGGTTTACCAGTCCGTGTGCCAGCATTAACAGTGAACCGGTTATGTGGTTCGGGATTACAAAGCGTGGTGAATGCGACACACGAGATTCTCTTGGGTGATAGTGACGTGGTACTTGCAGGTGGAGCTGAAAGCATGAGTTTGGCACCCTTTGCACTCTCTGGAAAGTCACGATGGGGAGCAAAACTCGGTGTGGATTTGACACTAAAGGACACCTTATGGGCTACACTCACGGATCAATATCCTAACCCCACACCCATGGGCATCACGGCTGAAAACCTTGCTGAATTATATGGTATTTCTAAGGAGGAATGTGATGCGTTTGCTGTCAGTAGCCAGAATCGTTATGAGCAAGGTAATATACATAAAATAAGGGGGGGGGGACAAATGTGAATCATTATTGATGATGATGACGTCTTCTATAGCGGCCAAGAAGGGTGTATTTGATAATGAGATCGTACCTGTAAAAGTCAAAGGGAAAAAGAAAGGTGCATTGGAAACAATGTCTACGGATGAATATCCACGTGCTGGTGTTACCATGGAAGCGATTGAAAATCTCAAACCAGTGTTTAAAAAGGATGGGGTTACTTCAGCTGCCAATGCTTCAGGTATCAATGATGGTGCAGCTGCATTGATTATCGCCAGCCAAGAGGCAGTCGACAAGTACAGCCTTGAGCCTCTCGCTCGTATTGTTAGCTGGCAAGCATCCGCTGTTGAACCTACTCTCATGGGTCTTGGTCCTGTACCTGCTATTCAAGGTGCTCTCAAGCGCGCTAACCTCAACCTAGATCAAATGGATCTCGTAGAAGTCAATGAAGCCTTTGCTGCTCAATATCTCGCTGTTGAAAAGGAGCTCGGCTTGGATCGTGAAAAGACCAATGTAAACGGAGGTGCTATTGCTGTAGGCCATCCATTGGGTGCATCAGGTGCTCGTATCCTCACTCACTTATCACATGCTCTACAACGTACAAAGTCAAAATATGCAATTGGATCTGCTTGTATTGGTGGTGGTCAGGTATGTACATCAACAACGAGGATTCACTTTTATAGACTCATGTGTATCCTACATTGATAGGGTGTTGCTGTCATTTTGGAACGTGTATAATAGATTTTGAGCCCATACAATCAATCAAAAGCAAGTTGTATTTTCCCAATTATTGCGTATGCTATTCTATGAAAGATCGATCAAAGGGGATTCTTCAACACGTGGTTTGGGTTGTTGTGGTTGTTGCTGTTGTTGTTGACCTGGAGGCATCTGATAGGGGTAATGTTGATGTTGTGTAGGTGTTGGAGGATAGTAATAGCCACCTGCTGCTTGGGGTTGTGGTGGATACATTTGTTGATAGGGTTGTTGTTGTTGCTGTGGATCACTTGCAGTGTATGTAGATGGCTGGAATTGTGGTGCGGATGCTGCAGGAGAGGAAGAGGATACTGGAGGATATCCATTGGTAGCTGCTGCTGGTTGTTGAGGCGTTTGTTGTGGTGCAGGTGGATACATTTGACCACTATAATCATAACCAGTAGCAGGAATATGGGCGCCATATTGCGATGGTGAAGGTGCTGGGGCTGATGCTACTGCTGCAGGGTTATAATACGTTGCATTGTTGGTATAAGGTTGAGAAGCTCGTGCATGTGCACCGGCCACACGTTGTTCCAATAAAAGGTCGTAAGCACGTACGGCAGCATTCATCTTATCATGAAGTTCCACCACAATTTCTATCATACCCCATACCTGTTAATCCATCTACTCCCTTCCATTTACCACCTATCCCTCCCACTACTTACTGTGTTTCTCGATAACATCCTGCATTGTCTTTACCAACTTGGGTTGAAGAGCGCCAATCTGGGTATAAAGTTTGGTGATTTGTGGATCGTTTGAAATGTTGCCTCCTCGTGCATGAATTCGTGCGATCAATGTTGAGAATAACTCAATGTTTTCCATTTCTGTTCTCGAGATTTCATCGCTATTGTACGATTGGTATTGTTGTTGTTGTTGTTGCTGTTGTTCTTGCCATGCATTGCTGGGGGCATAAGATGGTGATGACACATGCATATCTCTCAATGACGCAGCTATAGCAGCAGCAAGATCAGGATCATCCTCCTCTTCATTCGTCGATGCAGCCTATATAAAAATCACGCTTTAGCCTCTTCCTTCTCCTTGAATAGCAATGATATAGTTACCTGTGTTGTCGTTGGAGGGTTGGTACTCGTTGGTTGGGATGGCTGAGAAGGCGTGTACCCGGCACCATAGCCCGACTTGTATTGCTCAGCCTCTTTCAATGACATTTCAATAGCCTTCTTCATATCTTCATCAAATGTCTCATCTTGTGCATCTCCGCTGACTTGTCGACTCGAACTTTGTGGTGGTGCAGGTTGTTGTGATGTGGCAGGGCGTAGTCCTGGAAGTGGTGGAAGTGCATCCTTCTTGGCCACCTTGGCAAGCTTCAGCTTAATGTAGCATCCATCGCACACGCGGACCTCTTCATCAATGCCAATATGGGGTAAAGGCATGTTCTTTGCTGAACAATCTTGACAGAATGTCTTGCCACATTGGCGACAATGATGCTATTTTCAAATAAAGACACACACACATCTATATTAATCCCATTGTATCCAACCATGATAGATCCATCCATACCTTTCTATTTGTCATAGTGAAAGCAGTTCGGCAACGTTCACATACATCTGAATCGGTCCATTCGGGTGGCTACATGATACCATGTCAGCCCTTTTTTCTTCTCACACGTTCCTTTGCAAGATCCAACATTACCGCAGCAGTCTCGAACAGAATGGAATCCACCGCCTGACCCACAGGAGGAAAAACATGGCCTTCAGCTTGAAGTAATCGATAGGTATCACTGATGTATCCCAAGGATGGATTGTTTCTGGAAGCCAAATGCCATGTCTGAATGATACCCAGGATCTTGTTCTTGACGTCAGGATTGCACCCCGTCTTTTCAAGGAGAATGCGTGTCAGCAAACCAATCTCTCTCAATCACATCCCCCATAAAACCCATTTCCATTTACCGGTGAACGAATCATCGATGCCAGTTGATCCATGAATTCTCGACTAGCCACTTCTCGTACAAATTGGTCGCCTCCATTCTTGACGCATGTATCAATAAGCTACCATAGAACACACACACAATAGCATAAGCACAATAGACCACAAAATAAACACACTCTCTTTCTTCCTTACCGATAGAGTAGAAAGTTGAACATTGGGGTTCTTGTGCTCCAAGCGTCTCTTGAGAGAACGCATCGCATCCTTTGCATTGACCTTTTTGCTTCGAATTTGGTCGCTAATTTCGAGGTGTAGAACGAGATCTTCTTGACCAGCAGGGAGCAACTCCGAAGTTGCCTTCTCTAATGAGCAGTAACAGTAATGCGTGTGAGTGGCCATGTGGACAATGGAATGGGTTGGATAATGTACCAATGAGTTCTTCAAGTGCGCTTTGTCCCCACCACAAGGATACCATGATGTTTTAAGATAAAGAAAGAGGAAAAAGGGAAATGCTTGGCGTTGCTTCTCGGCGTTACGAGTCCTCCTCCCCCACCCAAATTCTGAGTTTCATGCATACGCACCCCGCCAGCTGCTCCTGCTGCTGGGGCTGTTTCCCCATTGTCATTAGAACAATGACACTTTTAATAGATAGCTCGGTTAGCTACTTAAAACTCTATTTCTTTATACATTACGTAGCCATAATCAATGCGTAAACCTCGTGTGTGTCTATCAGTATACAATTATATGGATCATTGTCTTTCAATATCCATTGCTCATTATATGCTCAAAATCTACTATGTACATAGTGATCCTTTTTACTAGCATGAGCAATCACCGCTTTCAAAGCCATTAAAATTATAAGCGAGGCAACTTTGTAGTTGGGTGGTGAAAACTATGGTACCAGTTTACACTTTGGGATGATCATGAATGATACACAATCACGTGATGACTATGTAAATTGATGCGCTTTGGTGATCTAGCTAGCTTGGAACATCATCATCATCATCCACGTATATTATAAAAAGAGACTTACATGTTTGGAATTAAAAGAGTAAACACCATCCAGCGGATGGTAATGACAACATGCGAACAAATACTACGTCCAAAAGGTCTGGGTATGAAGGATCATTATATAATACAATAGGCACTACATAGAACCGGATTCAAGCAATACGTGAGGTCTTTAATTAGACATATCGATTATCTCGATATAAAAAAATGGTTACATAGCATGTATGCTTGAGTGTTTGGATACGATCTCTGCTATCACGTAATGATTGAAGCATGATGATATCACATGGGAGGAGGGATGTCAACAATCAGCCATGAAAAATGGCTGTAGGTATTCTTTATTGTAGGAACAACGTACGCCCGGATGCTTAGTAAACATGATGTGTATATGGGAATTCATCATGCACAACAAGGTGATGAGAAACGGGGACTCCACGGATTAAAATGATTGCATGAATTATCCAAGGTCTGGAAAATGTTGGTGGCCAAACCGTGAGTAACGCGCAGTTCAAATCTGTCGGGAAAAGCTTCCTAGTAGTATACATATATGAGTCTCTTTCTTGGATCGCACGCTTCTCCACCACTTTTGTCTTCAATGGAACAATTAACAGCCACTCATGCTCAAAAGGTTCTTTTATTACGCTATGCATTATACAAAAGAGCTAGTGTATATTGACTAGGCCCCATGTAGCTTGTGGAGGGCTTGTACAGCGCCGCGAATCCAACCGTTGCCAAAGAGATTCAAGAACAGCTTCAAGCAGTACAACGACAACAGCAAGCATGGGAAATCGCATCGCAACTCTTGTCTTCACCGGTGAGCCACACCATGCAGCGATGGGAAACACACACACACACACACACATAACTCATACCACAGCTTTAGTCAGATCAATGCCGATTCTTTGGTGCGCACACTTTCCAGGTCAAGATAGCACGCGACTGGTATGGACCTATATGGACACATATACGTGATAAGTGAAAGGCTCATTGAATGATATGCGTGTATAGGAACACGTTACCCGAGGATCGTATCGACTGGTTAAGGAATGAACTTTTGACGTGGATTATACGATCATGCACAGGTCCGCTCTTCATTACAACCAAGCTGTGTCTTGCTGTAAGTAATCATTAATGATGGTGATGGTGATGGTTCTTATTGACACATACACACAATGGGATAGCTTATCACCTATGCTTTCCACACTGTACCGACTCGTTGGCAAGACTTTATACCTGATACAGTAAATGCAATTCATGCCGGTGCTTCAAGTATGGGCGCTCCTTCTCAAAGTGTGACCACCACCATCCTTGAGTTCTTGACCCTTGTCCCAGAAGAAGTGGCAAGCACAGAGTTGATTAGTAGCAGAAAGTAAGTATACGAGCAAGCACCTTACACCACCAACCTCATTCAAAAAACAAATTAGACCCCAAATCGCACAAGAACTCAAGAATAGCACATCCATTGTTCTTTCCACCCTGGCCACTGTTCTCAATGATACCGATATTTCACTACAACAAAAGACACTTCGAGCATTGCAAAGTTGGATCCAATACGGTGTTTCACTCGAGTAAGCACATCCATCCATCCATTTCCATTTGAAGCAAAAGGTGGAAAAGCTAACCATCACGAATAGAGAAGCATCCCCTTTGTTACAGCAATGCATGACACTCCTTGACCAAGAAGAACTTTTTCAATCAAGTGCTGATGTTTTATTGGAAGCAATGCAACAACCCTCCTATGGAAAATACTTGTCGTTTCGCGATGCGCTTTTACAATGCTTCACCTCCAATGGCATGCGAGCCAAGTTTGCCGAATGCATTACAGGTACGGTCTTTCTATATATATGCATTGAGGTCATTTGTTTACACCATGGACATAGATGAGAATGACGAGGATGGCGCATCCATAGCGAAATTGTTGACTGGATTTGGGGAGACGTATATCGACCATGTTGCAGAACAATTAGCCGATCCCAGTATTCGAATGCTTTTGGATATGATCATGCAATTGACTGGTTTCCCTGGTACTTTTTGTGTCGATCAAGAAGTCAGTGATATTCCCTTGAATTTCTGGTTCATGTTGCAAGAGACCTTGTTTGACAATGGCATCGTGCCTATTCGACAACCCGTAGCCATTGTGACTAATGGAGTGGATGATGCGACAACGACGACGACAGCAGCCCATGATAATGATCCCGCACAACAAGCCTGGCTACAACAATGTGGAGAGACCGCCATGATGGTGTATCGACAATTAGTGGTGGTCCTCAAACGCCAATCTACATTCCCTGATGATGCAACATGGACATCTTGGCCAAAAGGTAAGAACAAGAAAATCGCAATGCATGATCATGATTCATAACATGCACATTATAGATATCAAGGACAAATTCAGGATCTATCGTCGTGATTTGGCAGACACATTGATCAACCCGTACTTTGTGCTTCGAGATGAAATGCTGGATATTATCATGCAAGATGCAAGTAGCCTATTGAATCGTTGGGGATCAGCATCCTCATTGGGGCAGGTAAATGGACAACCATGGTATGGGGTGTGTGGTGCAAGTACTGCTGTAGACTCATGGGAAAAGAATAGGAATTGGAAGCGACCTTGTTTTGTTTAAAGAGTATTTCGGAAGAGGTGCCTACAGATGAAGCTACCCACATACGGCGCTTTTTCGGTCCCGAAATTCTCGAACGATTTCCTGAAGATGCTGATATCCGGCTTCAGAATACGACATTACTTACCATTGGTAAGAGAAGTAATTCTTTTATTTGGAAGGATGGCTGACAGCGTATATAGGTGCACTTGCCGAATGGCTCAAAGGTCATCCACAATATCTCCCCGCTGTCATGAATTACATTGTACCATGCCTCAGCATACCAAAACTTTCACCATCAGCTGCATCGGCCTTTTCTGATATCTGTGACACGTGTCGTGATTCATTGACGGAGGAGCTCAATAGTCTGATGCATGTATACAGCTCCATGGCTAGCTCCATGATCGAGGTAAGTGATTGCTCTCACCCACTCATCCACTCATTCACATGTTTTTTATTAGCCCAATATCATGCAAAAAGTGGTAGAATCGGTGGCTGATGTGATCCAAGTACTACCTCCCGAGAATGCTATGGCACCTTTAATGGTAAGGGTTGTTTCTATCAAAATGTAAGAGATCGCTCATTTTCTTTCATACAGGCACTGACAGGGGATATATTGCAAGGCGTGAGTAAAGCTCTGAGTGTTACACAGCAGGATCCTGTGGCTGCACGTGATGCAACGCTTATCCAAATCAAGTACCTGTCCGCTTGTTGCCGTGGTATCCAATCACCGGATGACTACCAATCCATCGCTGTAAGGAATTCCACCTATGACATGTTTGCCAATGGCCAGCTTGTAGCCATGTATGCCAACGTGGAAGGATTCTCTGAAGTGACACAAGCGATCCATACTTCGGTACAACAAATAGTTACCTCTTGGCAACAAGATGAACAAGTCATGAAGGCAAGTGTTGTTGGTGTTTTGGTAGATCCCATGTGCTCATGGTGTGTGGATGAATAGGCTCTCTCCAACTTTGTTGAATGTGGCATACGAGCTACAAGCCCACTCCTCACGCTACGCTTTGACGACCTGATTGATATGCTCAATACATGCTACAATGCCACACCCTTTGCATGTTGGCTACATACAGCTGCTTTGGTCATGACAGTTTATGGAGGTGCTGAAATGAATCATGCCCGTTTACGCGACTTGGCAGGTGTCTTGACACAGAAAACGTTGAGCTTTATCCACAAAAGTGAAGGTAGTCAATCATTCACTCCTCCCTATTCAATGGATTGAATTACTCATCTTCTTGTCTCATCCAGATATGGAGCATTATCCAGACGTGGTTGACAGTTATTTCGACATGTTATCAGCGGTAAAGTATCATTCTATGCGAGGAGCGGCATTGGCTGATCTTTTTGGGTTATACAGACGGTACGACGTTGTCCCATGGTCTTTTTCCATTTGCCTCAGGATATGATCAACGCCATTTTACAATTTGCTATTGCCGGCATGTGCCTTCAAGAACGACTTGCTCTCAAGGCAGCTCTTAATTTTATGGTAAGCTGGGCTACAATAACGTGAGGGGGGTGATCAAGGATGAATCGTTCATATAGGGTATACTACTACGACAACTAGGCTGATTTCTTTGGTCGGGAGTACGAGGAAGGGTCACAATTGGCAGAATTTGTACAATCCTTGGTGATGACTTGGGGCATGCAAATCATGGAACAGTTACTTACTGTAAGTATTCGGCCCATGCTTACTTCACAAGATGAATAATAACACTTTTTTATCAGGGAATTGGAGGTAAAGTCCCTAGGTCTTTTTCGAGACCTTTGGTGGATGTTCTCTATAAATTGATGGGTCGTTACGTGGAAGCTTCTCGGCACTGGTTACAAACGTTGCTAGCCCATGTAAGTGACAGGATGATGATGATTTTAAGGGGTGCTTTATTCATCTTGAGCATGTAGGATGGATTTCCGTCAGCATTAGTACAACCAAAGGACAAGGAAGAGTTTCTTAAAGGCATCATTGGGTATGGAAAAAGAGTCATTTCAAATACATGTCAAGTCTAATCTATTCAAATTGTGTAATAGCACACGGTCGATCAAGCGGTTTAGAGATTGTACCAATGAATTCCTTGTAAAGTGCCGAGGGCTCAACAATACAGCTTATGGATCAATAGCTTAGACTATGTATTGCTTGTGTGTACATCATTACAGTAAAAAGACTAATAGAACATACACTTTCACATACGCATGATTTTATTGTAATTTCAAACAATCTACTTGGAAAGAGTCGCCTACCCATCGTGAGACTTGCTTCATGAGCTCCACCTTCTTCTCCGTGGCCGAGTCGTATCGTAGTTCAAATAGGGTGCATATATTCATCAATGCTGTGGCACAAGTACCAGCGGATGTGGGGTTGTCAGTGGTCATGATGGAAAGTAAATCGAGTGCCGATCCTAGCTGACCGAGGTATACTTGGCAAACGGCGAGATTGTTCATTGCCAAAAGGTTATCCTTATTCGCTTGCAACACCGCTTGTAATATCTCTGCTGCTTGAGACCATTCTCCTTTGGCGATGCACAAGAATGCCCTATAGCAATATCATCAGGATGATGATTCCCCCATAAAATGTGTTCTCCTCCTTCTTCTTACCTATTGACTTTGATCATCTCTTCAATCGCAGGCGTCTTTTCTTGTCGTTGCTCGATTTGCGAATACATTTTCTCTGCTCTTTCCACATCACCGAGCTATAGCCATGATCATGAATACAAGCCGTGCAGATAGAGAAAACGAGGGAGCGCATTACCTGTAAATAGAGTCGACCCAAGGCTGAGAGAATATCAACATTGTTTTCTGCATCGAAATGTTTTCGCACCATGTCCATGGTAGAGGCTGCACTTGCATAATCATTGATTTCTATGAATTGGGTGGCCAATACGAGATAGACTTGCACCTGCCGTTGCTTCCACCCTTTCTAATAAAGAGAATGGGTTAGCCATTTCTGTCTAGGTACATCATGTGGATACAGGATACCTTTTTGCATTGAACAGCAAGCATGGTCAATCGTTCAAGAGAAATCAAAGGATGCTTAAGCCAAGCAGGTAAACGCGCCCATAAAATGAACAATTCAAAAGGAACCAAGCTTCCTGACGACCCATCCATACCATGAAATTCATATGTCAACTCGGGACGATTGAGATCACCCAGCTTGTCAAGCTCAGCCGATGCCAATTGATAAAGACCCAATTTGCATAGAGCAAGTAACCGAAGATACCATAATTGTAAGATGCGTTCAATATCCATGGTTTTGTTGACTACCAATTGTTGCCTAGCAAATCGCGCCACGGACCGCCACATGTTGCTCATCTACATGGATACCTTCTTTTAGTATCACTTGGCGTCATTCGCTTCACTTTTTTAACATACCACCATGTTAGGTACTTGGTCTTCTTCAGCTGGATACATTTCACGTTGTGGACGTTGATCAGGTGGGATATAGCGTTCGACGAGTTCGGAAAACGGATCGTTCTATTATCATGCGTTAATACAGCAGCACGTGCTTCTTTTAAGACCAAGAGCACAACACTACCTACCATGGGGATATCATAAAACGCAGTGCTACTCGTAAGTTGTTGAACAAGTAAAGCTGCTGCACTATTGTCATTGACTCGACGTTGTACTGATGGGCTGTTGTTGCTGCTACTGGTGCTTGTACGAATACGACGCTCATCTTCAGGTGACAATGTAAGCGACCTTACAGACTGCGATGTGGTTGAAGGTGAAGAGCTGGTGTTGTCAGGTTGTGGTGCTGTACGTGAGACCGAGTCAATGAGAGGATCGTTGTCATCGTCACGAGTTTCAAAGAGATCGTTATCCAGTGAAGCCGACTGCATAGTAAGTCAAAAAAAGAGAAGAGGGAGGGGAATTGAGTGAGTGCTGTAGATGAAATTGAACAACGCTATATAGAGACTTTTTTTATTAGATGATGTGATGATGGTATTTCCTTCTTCTTCTTTTCAAATAAATCATAGATAACACTACTATTATTCTTCCATGGGTGCTTCCACTTCTTCCTCATATTCCTCTTCAAAGTCCTCGTCAATGGTAGCTTCTTGATATTGTTGGTATTCGGAGACAAGATCATTCATGTTGGACTCGGCTTCAGTGAATTCCATTTCATCCATGCCTTCACTTGTGTACCAATGCAAGAAAGCTTTGCGACGAAACATGGCAGTGAATTGTTCATTGACGCGGCGGAAGAGTTCCTGGATAGCCGTGCTGTTACCAATAAAAGTACCCGACATCTTAAGACCCACAGGAGGAATGTCACAGAGAGATGACTTTACGCTGTTGGGAATCCATTCAACAAAGTAAGCCGAGTTCTTTTGTTGGACTGACAACATTTGATTCTCCACTTCCTTGGTAGACAAACGCCCTCGGAAAATGGTGGCCACTGTCAAGTAACGGCCATGACGTGGATCAGCAGCAGCCATCATGTTGCGTGCATCAAACATTTGCCCTGTGAGTTCCGTTACGCTGAGATTGCGATATTGTTGCGATGCAAAAGCAGTCAATGGTGCAACGCCCACCATGAAAAAGTGGAGACGTGGGAAGGGGACTATATATAAATAACCATTATTAGCATCAACAACACTACTACCTCCATAGGATCATGATGATGATTTTTAACTTACCCATATTGACACACAATTTACGCAAATCAGAGTTGAGTTGACCAGGGAAACGTAGCGAAGTCGAGACACCGGACATGACAGCCGATACAAGTTGATTGAGATCAGCGTAACCAGGGCTTGGTAGCTTGAGTGTGCGGAAACAAATATCATAGAGAGCTTCGTTATCAATGCAAAAGGTGGCGTCACAATTTTCCACGAGCTGGTGTACAGAGAGTACGGCATTGTAGGGCTCCACCACGGTATCGGAGACCTTGGGAGAGGGCACCACCGAGTAAGTGCTAAGGATACGATCAGGGTATTCTTCACGAATCTTGGACAATAACAAGGATCCCAGACCGGAACCAGTGCCACCACCCAACGAATGAGCCAACTGGAAACCTTGTAAGCAATCGGTACTTTCAGCTTCTTTGCGAACGACATCCATCACGGTCTCCACGAGTTCAGCTCCTTCTGTATAGAATCCTTTGGCCCATGAATTGCCGGCACCCGAATGAGAATGAATAAAGTTGTCTGGGCGGAAAAGTCGACCATAAGTGCTGTTACGAATCGCATCCATGGTTGCAGGCTCCAAATCAACCAACACGGATCTATGATGATATCATTCATTCATTCAGCATGGCTGTATGTATGTAGCCACTCACCACCATTCATTACCTTGGCACATATTTGCCTTGATACCCTTCATTGTAAAACACATTGATACGCTCCAACTGCAAATCATTATCCCCAACATAGTTGCCGTTGGGGTCCAAGCCATGTTCAGCACTGATAGTCTCCCAGAACTTTTGTCCAATCTAAAGAGGGTGTATTAGCTCGCCACATACACACACACAAAAAGCGAAACACCACCACCAAGTATACCTGATTGCCACATTGGCCTGTGCATGACCAGGAAAAAAGAAATGAGACACGTTGAGAGACTGCCAAGTCGATTGCTTACCTGCTTGAATATGAATGATTTCTCTCATTGTAGCAAGAGTTGTGTGTGGGCGTTCTTTTTTACACCAAAGAAGGTACGAAACAAGAAAGCAGCAATAAAAGGATGGGCCCCATTATCGTTTTAGCAGCTGCTGACTTTTTTTTTCCACTCCTCAACAGCCCATTGTCTTTTTGCTTTCTGCGCCCAGACCATGTGTGCACACATGTGTAACAATGCACCCTGAACTTTGTGTCCCCCCTTTGTCCGTGCATTGGAATGGCATTCTTTATCCTTGAAAGCCAACACAGTAACAAGATGATCTTCCATGGCTGTCTACTATCATCAAAGGATCATTCATTCTCGTTCATGTCAACGTCTTGCAAAATCAAACACGTGATCTTCACCCTTGGCTGCTGCTGTACGTATCCAAACCAGAAAGTGAGTAAGTGGCAGCTTCGTATTATGCCGCTAATGTACGTTGAATGGTAACGAGAATTACAGATCCAAAGCTTCAGCTGATTTGTAACTTGGACGTTTCTTGATAATGGATATGGATAAAAACACGTGCTTTAGTTGCCTTCGGTGATCTTCTTGTACATAGTCGTATGTTCAATTTCCAGTTTTCTTCCCATTTTACTCCTTTGTATTATCAACGCATATATGTATGCAGCATTTGGATCACTTGGATTCTGGGTTTATGATGATAAAGGTGGTGGAGTTGCATTAAAAAGGAAATAGAAATCTGAAGGCTGGAAAACGAGTGGATTTGGTCGTGGCAGGATAGCCCCCTAGCCCATCAAGGTTGCTCGCAGCCAAGTTTGTGAACAAAGTCCCTGAGGGACCGAAACTAGTTTTTTCGCATTTTGATAGGAATATCTAGCTGCAATGGGCGAAGCAAAAGTGTTGGGGACAATGTAAAGTTTGGAAAGTGAATGGAAGAAACGAGGCATGGCGCACCGTTTTCCACAAAAAACCTCCTTGACAACGACTTGCATAACAACAACTTTCTCACTACAACTCGTTTCAAACGAGGACAGCGCGTACATGCTCTACAAGTTACGCAAAGAATTTCACGCGAAAGAAAAAAAACCTCAAGGGATCCATACGATTCAATTTGGCTGGTGGTGACGTGGCGAAACTTGGGGTTTGCCCACCTCGGCCCTGAAACTTTTACAACATGGTTCTTTTTTCAGCCACTATCCCGAACAAACAAGTTCTAATAAAGACCCCCACGTTTGATTGTAACGTTTTGTGTTACATGCGCCTTTATTCTTTACTTCTGATGTAAGCATGATGCTATATGGAAAGTGGCCTTTGTTCAATGTCAAGTAGGTGGACGCTGATAGAGCCAAAACATGCAGAAGGGCGTGTTTGTGTAGCTGAGTTAAAAAAGTCAGGACTTCAGGCACAATGCATGAATGATACGTCGGCTAATAGCCCATTCCTCCCGTTCGCCACTGTTGCCCAACCCAATGCATGTAAACGATTGTCCTGCACCAGCCCAACACTTCCATCCTTCAACTTTCTTGATCCGAGGGGATTTGACTGAAAAACACTCAAACACAAAACATCATCCAATATCAGAAGAATCATTTTGCAAAAGTTATTTGTAAACTGCCGGCTAATAGCCCATTCCTTCCATTCACCTTTGTTGTCCAATCCAATGCATACGAACGATTGTCCTGCTCCAGCCCAGCATGCCCATCATTTAACTTTCATGATCCGAGGGGATTTGATTGAAAAACGTTCAAGAAACATGATTCCACATCATTTGAACTCATTTGATTTTCACTGCGTCCACTCCCCGCTTATTGTCTCTTCTTCCCATTCGCAACTGTTGCCCCATTCAAGTACAATTACCACCATGAGAACGATCGTCCTGCTTCAACCCACCATGCCAATCCTACAACTCTCTTGATCCGATTGTCTTTGACTGAATGGCGAGTCCATGTCGTGTACACAGTCTTCATGTCACTCTTCTACAACACACGAGTCTCTTGATACAATGCACGCTCTTACACACTCCTCTGCCACAACCGATCGTAACAGCATTCATTCCAGCAGCTGCTATCAGCAAGGTCTTTACTCCATTGTCTCAAGTTACTTGCAGCGACTTGCGTTACAGCCTTTGCTACGTGGACAGCAGATTTTTATTTACGTGTAGCAACTATACGAACTCCAGTGGATGATGCCATATCAACTATCGAGTACGCTGCAATACAAGCGATCTTCACCTGGTTGAGCTGCGATGGAAAATGATCAAGAAAGAGTTACATCAAGGAAGCATATCAACAGCGACCACATGGCTCGTTTCAACCAATGTGACAGCTATGGATGGATGGATACAATCAAGCTCAGTGATGAGAAACCCTGGAATGTTGCTTTGGTTACTTGGCGCGTTGTCAGCAGGAACGATGGATCATATCACGTGGATACTGCTAATGATGATGATGGATCGGATGACATTGGCAAAGAGATCTATATCTTTGACGGGAGGTGTTTTACAACTATGAAAGATATTGGAACACTCAAATCAAGGCATGCAGCAGCAATTTTGCAATCATGGATGAAGGATGTTTAGGACCGCAGCAAGCTAGTAGAATACAATGACACAATTACCCTATTCACACTATGAAATTCACCCGCATCTTATTTAATTTGTAATGCTATTGCTTTTTTTATTTACTTGACAAACATCCGCACTACCATTATTCATTGAATGCAAATTGGATTCAACATCGTACTACCCCTGATCTATTCACATCCAAGCAGTGTTTATGCCGTGTTGTGCTACCAACCTTGGTCAATGGTCCGCCATACGGTGCTTGGATGCTTCTATTGGGCCTAATGGCTGACCTTGTATCACTAGCTGTCAATCCATCAACAATACCAGGCAAAGAGTAGTGGTTCTTTCAACGTCGCATACCAATCACTGATCCTTTGTTACCCATATATCACCCCAATTATTACTTCTTACATGCTTGCTATGATGGATCATTCTCTCGGCCTGTGTTGGCCGCTTAACACTCACCTTTTATAAAGCGCTTGGGTCTCGTTTCCCTTATACCAGACGGCCTGATAAGTCATTTCTCTACATACTTAGATTGATTCGGATGGCTCTTGTGGGGTTAAACAAGCATGGTAGAAGATTACGTTTCCCGGAGTTAGGATCGAAATAGCATAGGACGTTGATGTACGCAAGCAATCATCGGCTGGCAGACGTTAAAACAATTCTAGAGGTTATCTAGCTTTACAAGGTGATTTTCATAAAGATTTCTTATGCATATTTTTGGAGCCCTTCCATCTCTTGCTACATCTCTTTATTAGAAAGTCCCATTACATTTCTTGATTTACTGCCGGAGCGTTCGTTCTGAGTATCATGCAGGCACATAAACGCTGTATGCAGCCGTACATGTGAAGTATCCTTGGTGCAGCATTAACTTAGGTATGACTAGACAACTAGTTGCGACCGTTCGCGTTAGCACCATGCTTGCTGCATTCATTCCGTGGCGTACTTGGCGGATTACATGCATCTCCTTGCTGAAATACAAAACACTGTGCCATGAAACTCTCCTCTGATGCTATACTTGGCTTCATCTTCGAATGTCACATCCTGTGGTTGTCTTTGTCGCGCAAGGCAATTGCCGTTGTCCACGTGCATAATGATTTATTGCTGACGCGTTGACATTAAGGGTGATACTAGTACTTGTCTCCTACGTATTTCCTACCAATGTAGTAGTAGTCGTTATTAGATTCAGTAAACGGGTACAAAGAGGAATTGTGATTATCATGACAAAGGGGCGGAAATGTTTATGCATGTATTGCTACGCCAACAGGAATAATAAAAGGATCGCTTGCCTTTAATCCTGATGTTTATGATTTCTTTTTCCTCAAGTATACGTAAAACCCATTTTTATCGTGATGCGCTCACCAAACCAAACGCTACCCAATAATGGCGCCACCAGCAGTACTAGGGATATAATCTCAAGTAGATTTTCTTCCGATGTAAAAGAACAGTACGATGGCACTGCACCCAAATCTGATTCGTTAGTATTGCCGACACGCGACGACCATAAAATCAACCATAACTATAACCACAAGCATAGTATACAAGAAAACATGGTAGAGCATATACCTGACCACACGTCATTGAGAACTGGTGGCGATGAGAATGGCATCAAGCACCTCGATGTGCAAGAGTACTATACTGAAAGCTTGAAGAACCCGGGATGGCTCACGGTGCTTGCGACATTCATGCTCAACTTTTATACGATAGGCATTGTATCTAGCTGGGGTGTTTTTCAGGTCCTGTAAGTGAATACAATAATGAAGTTGGTATGTGACAATGACTTATAAGGTGTATATGCAAAGATACCTGGAGGTGTATGCTGAGCAAACAGATGAAGCACATGTTGCCTTAGTAGGGACATCTATGAGTGCACTCATGTATGCTCTTGGTTTGGTTGGCACACCTATTATCCAGCGACTTCATTACCGTGGCACCATCTTTCTAGGTGCTGTCATTTGTTGTCCCCTCAGTCATATCCTTGCCAGCTTTGCTACTGAGATATGGCAAGTAACCTTATTACAGGGTGTTCTGTTTGGCGTTGGCACAGGTTTTTGTTATACCGCTTCCTCAACATTACCCTCACAATGGTTCGAAAAACGGAGAGCTCTTTCCTCGTGCCTTGCAAGTATGGGCGGATGTATGGGTCCCATGGTGTTCTCACCCATAACACAAGCATTGATTACAAGTTTGGGATATCGCAACGCGCTACGTGTACTTGCTGCTATTGGTTTCGCCATTTCTTGTTTGAGTGTGGCCTTGATCCGGCCACGATATTCAAAACCATCACCACCATCATTGAGGGGAGAAAAGCGACAATCTAAGTGGTGGCAACGTATCCTATCATTGGATCAAGCCATGTTTACATGGGAATACAACTTTTATCTCTTGCATTCATTCTTGGTGACGTTTGCATATGCAACACCTTTCCTGCTAGCACAAACCTATGCATCCGAACTTGGTGCTGATCCCGCTTTTGCATCCATTTTTCTTTCGATTATTGAAGCAGCGAATGGCCTTTCACGTATCATCTTCGGTTGGCTGGGTGATCAATCGATTGGTCGCATCAACGTTCTTTTTATCGCCACACTCATTCTGGTACGTTGTAAACTATAATAGCGTAATTCATGCATTCATCCATGGTGATGGTTTCACAGGGATTTTCACGTCTGTGATTTGGCAAAATGCAATCACCATTCACATCTTTGTACTTTATTGCGTTCTCTATGGTCTGACAGGTGGTGTCTTTAGTGGAATGCAGCCCGTCATTAGCGCGGAGATCGTGGGTATTGATAGAATTCAAGAAGGTGTGGGTGTAGCATACTTTATGTCACTCTTTGGCTACTTGGGTGGAGCACCCATAGCGGGATCTCTACACATCCATTATGGATGGACCGCAGCTATCCAGTTTACTGGTGCTATGACGATTGCATCGGCAATGGCTGTTTTGGGAACAAGGTTCTTATTCAATAAACGTCTGCTAGCAAAGGTGTGACGATACATACGCATTCCAACATTGGGTGGTCATCATAATGCTATAGGCATTATTCCTTTAAACGATGTTGTATCATAAGAATAATAGTAATTGTATTTTAACGAGACATAGTCCTTGATGCTATCAAGTGTATTCGTCACGAAGCATGTGCTTCTACGGACAGGCATTGGCGAGTGAGGATCATTCTTTTTATTTACGTGTGCCTATTATCTATCGTGACGGTGATGATGATGATGGGTGAGTTGTGTGTTTTTGGGTGGATGGGTGTGTGTGTGGGGGGGGGATAATTGAGTGGCCTCAGTGTAAAAGCTGTGGGGGATTTAAATTTGGGGAAAGAACTTGAATCACCGTGTCCATGGCACTAAACTTGCTCTTTAGAACGACGACGCGCACAAAAGGATCAACAAGAGGGAAGTTTGTGATTGATGTATAATATAAAGCCATTCTATATTCTGGAAGAAAGATTGTTCTTTACACAAAAAGGAGGCACTGCTTGTTTAAGATTGCTATTCTTGTGATATTCGATAGAGCTTTAATAACCAGCGTGAAGATTACAACGCATGATAAGGGATTTGATCTGCAATGGCTAATGTGGGGGGTGAGGGAAGGATCAAACTCAGTGGTGTGGGTGGATGTGCATTGTCACAGTAGTATGTACGCATTTGTTGGCGGGAGAGAAAAAGACACACACCAAATTTCACTTTTTCCTCTTTGTTGCGAGCTATCTAACACCATGGGCGATTACGACACGGTCATTCTCGATATCGAAGGCACCATTACTCCCATTACCTTTGTCAAGAACACCTTGGTACGATAAACACGATGCAACTCATTGGTGCCAGCAACTTGACGCTGTATCTGGATCGCTTGTATCTTAGTTTCCGTTTGTCACCAATGGCCTTGACGCGTTCCTTGAACGTACCTGGGGATCTCAAGATCTGAATCAATACATTTCCCTGTTGCGTGAACAAGTAAGTTTTGGCTTGACAGGTTTATGTGTGTGTGCACGGGCCAAGGAAAAAGAGAGAGCTCAAAAGCAGGTTTATGACAGGCAGCCAAAGATGTCGAAAACAAGTTGCCAGGGGCCGTAGTTATTCCCATGGAAGGGTAAAGGATGGAATGAATCAAGAGGCACGTATATAAACTGATGGTTTATCTATATCTAGAGATGATGATATCAAGAAGGCTGTCAAACAAAACATCGAATGGCAAATGGCAGCTGACCGCAAGATTGGAGCACTCAAGGCATTCCAGGGTTTTATGTGGAAGGAAGGCTATGCTAGTGGTGAGCTCAAAGGCGAGTAAGTGACCCTTTTCTTCATCCCTTTGAGATACATCATATTAATGATGATGGTTTCAAAAGGGTATACGATGATGTGGTGCCTCGTTTGAATCAATGGCGTGATGCTGGCAAAAAGATTTGTATTTATTCCTCGGGCAGTGTCCCTGCACAAAAGTTATTGGTGGGCTATTCTGACAAGGGTGACTTGATGCCGGTAAGAAAGAAGGATAGGGATGAGACAAGCTTATCATACTCACGCCATGATTCAGTATTTTTCTGGTTACTTTGATACATCGGTTGGTCTCAAGGTGGAAGCATCCTCGTATACCCGTATTGCAAAGAAGATCAATCAAGAACCTGCAAGAATCTTGTTCGTCAGTGACAACATTAAAGGTACAATCCCAGCATCTAGAGATCCATTCAACTAAGTGGTTGTTATTGTAGAAATCCAAGCTGCTAAGGAAGCTGGTTATCAAGTTGTCATTTCGGATCGTCCTGGTAATGCTCCTTTGGGTCCTGAAAGCAAAGAATTCAAGATCATCACCTCATTTGATCAAATCGCGTAGAATGGATTATTATATAAATGCAACTTGGTTTTGTTATTTCATGATGAAGTATGCGTATGGAAAGGGAAACAAATGATACAAGTAGTGAATGGAGAGGGTTAATGATGATCGTAAAAGTTGCATTGTGGATTGGACTATTCTTCCTTCTTTTCGCTGCCACCACCGCTGCCAGCTTCTCCACCTTCGCTAGGTGGGTCTCCTCCACCACCACCTTCCCCACCTTTTTCACCTGCAGGTGGAGCTGGAGCTGAGTTGACGCCAAACGAGCGACCTTTGTTATACACGAATTGCCAACCAAACGAGATAAGAAAGAGTAGAATGATCATTGCCATCATTACATAGGTCTTGGTTTCAATATGATATTCGACCCTGTGTAGCTTGTTTTGATCCAAGATGGATTTGAGACCAGCAATGTAGTTGGTATGCGCCAAGAAATCAACACCGACAATGAAGCTGAATGCACCTGTAAATGCGGTAGCAAACAGGATCACGTAGCGTTCAACAAAGAATGTGACAGCCGCCACAAACAAGGAAATGGCAACAAGGAAACAGGCACGTGGCACGTTCTAATGGAGAGGGATGATGATAAGTAACAATGTGTGTGTGTCAGCTGTTTGCTTTCTTTGACAGCTTACCGATGTGATGACAAGATCTTCACGCCAACAAAGAACAAACAAGCCAAAAGCGAGACCACCCATACCTGGCAATCATGGATCAGTTACTTTTATAGAAATGTTGTCAAGCTAATAAAAAAAGCAACTTACCTCCAATGAGATAAATGGTAACATCCCAAAAAAGAGCGTACAGGATGGCACCCAATACACCCAAACCAGCAGGTACGGCTAACATGGTGATGGCATCATTGGTAAATCCTTCAGGAGGTTGACTATTTGTCATGCCCACCCACGTGATGAGGCCTATTGTATGTACAACAAGGATGAGCAAAGACAAAGGAAAAAGAAGAATCCAACAGGATCTTACCAAAGGTGAGGAAACCGGATACTGCCAAAGTGGGTCGGAAACCTCGGAAACCAAAAATCATCAAGTATACACCCAAGATGATCAAGAATGCACCGGCCACACCCATTTGTGGGGTTACATAACCAGCACCATAGATATCCTCTACAAATGATTGTGTATGTAAGCAACAATTTTCTTCTACAAAGCGTTCTTTAATGAATTTACTTGGATCATCGGATGGAGGGTAGCCATGATCTGGAGAAGATGTCGCTGTTGCTGTAGGTGAATGCGTGGATGATGATGATGTTGTTGTTGTTGGGCAATCCTCATCCTCGTCATCACTACTACCGCCTCGAGCAGCAAGATCGCGTTTATCTTTATCATCGGATGATGGACATCCATGGGGATGATTCCATTTTACAGAAACATCATCTTGAGGACCACGCTTGCTAATGTTGTTTGTTGCTGTAGTAGTAGTGGTAGTCGTTGTCGGTATAGGTGATGCGGTTGTTGTTGACGTGTATTGTAAAAGAACAATGGCAAGGAATAGCAACAATGAGAAACTATAAAGCAACCTCATAGTTTGAAAAAGAGAGAACAAAGAACACTTTGGACATGGATGGATGTTTGCTGCTTTTTGTTATTTATCGGGCACTGACCATTTGAGGATTGACCACCATATATGGATCATTGTTTTCCAGGCAACGAGTGGCACCAGGAATTGGGCCTGTTGACACTATCCGTTTTCTATTAATACCCCTCCTTGTTTTATATTGATCTAATGTTGCACCCGGATCCAATGCTTGACAGTAACAACAACCAAACTACAAGATGGGGGACGTTAAAGCCGACGAACGATGATGATTGTTTCCCGCATTGCCATTTATGATCCGATCTCTCCTCTTTGTGTAACTTGAAATGACACACAATCTCTACGGCAATCATCCCTCCACGTTGCTCTAGGCTCCTGCATCCGATGATCGATACGTACTACAAGACGCGCTTTGTATATATATACATACGCCAAGTTGTATATGTAACCAGCTACACACTGCTACTACTATTATGCACGTTCACTACCACCTCGTTATACTCATGTTTTATACAAGGCACTATTTTCTACACATTTATTACTACTACGCAATCCTACATCTGGATAAGTATACAAAGACATTAGGGTGCTGATGTGTATTAATAGGAAGGAAGAGATGACTATGTACTCGATTGTTCAGGATTTTGATGATCGCACAAGTCTGGATCACTAGCCAATGCATCCGCCAACTTGACCATTTCTGTATCCTCCTCCTCAACGGCATCTCTGATCTTGTTGGTTGTCTCCTCTTTCAACATGGCTTCTTTGCTTTCACGAGAGGGTGGGAAGCGTTCATTCTCCCTATCCGATTGCTTTGCTTCCTCAAATGACGTGATGGCTATTATGTACAAAACAACAACAATCATGCAAGAGCTATTATGAGTAACAAGAAAAGCATAATGACAATCCTACGAGACACGTACCCGACTTGATGCCCTCCATGCCAAGTGCTAATGTACCCAGAGGCAGTTTTCCTGTGGGCGAAACAGCTTTAAGCTCCATGACTTGTTCCGAGTTTTCACGCAAAATGGAGAATACACGTGACATTTTGCCCACAGCTATGATCTTGTTCTTGATCACAATGCGACGTTGATCGATTTCCTCGTTGTTGGATATAATAGATGGACCATCCAAAGACTTGCGGTGTTCTTCATTGGAGAGCTCTTCATGGCTGCAAATGTTTAGAATAGCAATCATCATATCGGTAACTAAGAAAGTGTATGAGCACACACGTATACACAACCATGCATGTATAAAAGGACAAGCTTACTCTTTTCACCCACAAATGGAAGACTCCACTTAAACACATCCATGAAATTGGGCAGCCAAAAGGGATGGGGTGTACAATTGAATTGCCGGATATTCATGACGTCGTTTTCATACTTGAGAACAGCCGCCTTGTTATTATAAATGTCCAAGTAGTTGGGTGCTGAAAAGATCGTGATGACGGCAGGAAAGGATGTGGTCTTGTTTTTTCGATACATTCGGTATCTATTGTCCCCATTAGCTCTTCCTCTTTTGGGGGTGTGGTTTTTTCTCTCTCTCCCATCCTTTCTCTATTTTTACCCTGCATCTTGAGCTTCATGGGCTCGTATCACCGATAACAGACCATTGCGTTCCAGGAATGCACAGGTGGCTGCATAGCTTGAAAAACGATAAATGAGCATGACTCATGTTTCCATTATCCAATGCTTACGTGTAAAAGTATGAACATCCTCGTACATGGTTATGCACAAAAAGATCGCGTCCCGTTTCAGAACCAAAGTTATCAATAGGATCGGCCCAAAGCAAATCACACATCATTCCTTGCGTGGGTGGTTCACGGAATCGATTGATCTAAGCAATAGCAGTAGCAGCTAGTCATGAGTCATCTTATCATCATCCAACAACAATAATCAATGATAACTTACGGTGCTGAAATCATCCAAAGTGACCAGTTCAGGTGATAATCCACCATGCACACATAAAAACTGCTTGTTCATGACAGCTGCCAATGGGAGGGCACAAAAAGATTCCATGCATGCATCATAAACATTCTCACTATACTTGTGCTCGCCTATGTAACCATGTCAGTTGATCAGCCATTCCTCTTATTATATAAGACTCACATTCAATTTTGAACGTAAAGTAGTCCGTAAGATGTCTGCATTCATGGTTACCACGTAATAGGAATAGCGATGTGGGGTACCACATTTTCAATGCCCAAAGATAAAGCACGCACTATAAATTGGGGTGTCACAACCCGTTTTCCCGTAATTGGCAGCAGCATCCTCCCTTCCCTCTCTTTTTTTTTTACCTCGATAGAAAAGTAGCCTCGATCCACGTAATCACCCAAGAATAGGTACCTTGTACATGATGGATCACCGCCAATCTCAAACAGCTTCATAAGATCATAATATTGGCCATGGATATCTCCGCACACTATTAATGGGTGTTATAGTGATATCCTTTGTATATGTACATGTGCATGTGTATGTGTACCTGTGATGGGTGCCGCCACATGTAACAAATTGGGTTCTTGTTTGAAAATGTCAGTTGCCTTGTTGATAATGTAAATGGCTTGTTCCTCGGATAGTCGTCCTTCACAATAAAGATGTCTCTTCAAGAACTCAAGGTCGGGATAGCCTGGACGCTCTGAACTCCAGAATTGCTCGTCGGTCGGTTCACATACAGCAGGTGCAGGCACTTCTATTAAAGAGTCAACGTCACAATGAGCATGGACAATGGGGTGGACATTGAGTAAGGCCAATAACAAACCCACCTGTAATGACGCGCTCTTTTGTACTGACAATGGTGCCATTGTCTAACCTTAGGTTCGAAAAGTCGATAGCCGGTGGAGGAGGAGTACCTTCAGATGACTTGACACGAAGACGGCGTATGACAGGGCTTTCTGATACCCTTCTTTGTCGTGACGATGATGATGCATCCTTGGTATCAGGAAAAGAAGAATCAGCGGTCATTGTATTTAGGAGAATGAAAGAAGAGAAAGAAAAGAAAAGGGAAAAGAGGGAAAAGAATAAACTTATTTTTACATGTATCGTGTGGGATGTATTGTTGATAATTGGTTATTATGATGGGTGGTGGTAGTGGTGGGTGGTGCGTGTGATAGATGTGTTTCGAAAAGGGAAGCAAGCCAAACTTTATCTGTATTGACGGCAGCAGGAGCAGCAGCAGGAGCCATTTCATTCCCATGCATCTCAAAACACCCTTTATAGTTTTTGCCCGTGATCGCACAGCCTCTCTCTCAAAAGTGACATTTATCTATCGTGTGCATTGTGGGATCTATCAGCGAAACCCCAAGTTTTTCCGTACATGTCATGCGTTATTTATATGAACACAAGCGTATTCGTAATAGCTAGATGGAAGGTTTGTTGTTGTGCCATCTATAACGTCACTATATAGACCTCTTAACATGCAGCAGCAACAGCAGCAACAACAACACGAGGTGGATCTTTATGACTTTAAACATGATGGATGTCACTTTTTTTGGATGCATCACAGCTGCAGAGTATTCGTTGTCTTGCCAAATCCCCCCGCCCTGAGATGAGTTTCTTGTGTCATCCGCTTTTTATCGGAAGTAATCCGTGGTATCTCCGATTCCGTAACAATCATAAAAGACATTGGCATCAAAGATGGTATCAAATGGATGATGTGTGTTTTAATATATGTAAGCTGCATAAAAGAGAAAAGATCCATGGAAACACGAACAGCAGCAAAATGGGGGGAAGGGGTTGGTAGCGAAGGGGGTTTGATTATTATGGTTGGTTGCTAGGCAATCATAGACAACCGGCCTACATGCAGCAACAGCAGCTTTTTGCCCATCATCACGCAAGGTAACACACACCAACCAACTCAGAAGCTACACATTTGGAATATGCTTGAATAACAACCCATCAACCTGGTCCCCCTTTCCACATCCATCATCCTTTTCCTCTCTCTTCCACTTTTCTTTTCCCCCATCTCACACCTACGCACTCGCACGCACAAAGAAAAGAAAAGAAAGAGGAAGATCTAGACGCGTTTGTTGTGTGTTACATCTCATCCTACTATTATTACTACACCTACTATTACTATTACTACAACAACAACATCACCACACACACACGCACACACACATAAACACAGAACAGATCAACTAAGCTGTGCTATCCAAACGCTTCCCCGCTTTCTTGTACACTACTTTCATTCACACCTTTTCTTTTTCGCAATCGCATCGTTTGCCCACTACTACCCCACCTTTTCTGGCAAAAGGGCAAGTGTATTATCGTTCTCTCCCTCTTGTCCACGAACCCACCACTGATCGTAACAGCACGTCTTTAGTTGATCAACAAGAGAAACGCGGATCCACCCCCCTTCATTTCAACTGAACCATTATCGCCATGAGTGGAGGAAATATCAAAGTCGTTGTACGGTGTCGTCCCCTGAACTCGAGAGGTAACGTGGTGGCGTCCGTGAACGAGTATCACACATACCCAATACTTAAACACACCAACAACAATAGAATTGGCACGAGGAGCGACATGTTTGATTCGTATGGAAGGCGACCAAACGGTGCTTAGTCGACCACCCGATAGTAAGACCGGCAAGGACTCTGAGGATATCAAGGCCTTCACATTTGACAAGTCATATTGGTCCGCCGACAAGAATGCACCCAACTATGCCGACCAGCAAACAGTGTATAACGATCTTGGCGAAGAGCTACTCAATCATGCCTTTGATGGATATAATTGCTGTATCTTTGCTTGTAAGTTGGGAGAACAATGAGATAAAAGGGACGCATTTGTAACTTGTATCCGTTCTACTATAGATGGTCAAACCGGCTCCGGCAAGTCTTATTCGATGGTATGGTTGCTTGTGGCACACACACACATATACAAATGATAAACTCACTTTATATACACGTAGATGGGTTATGGTGAAGATCATGGTATCATTCCTCGCACATGCTCAGAGCTCTTTGAACGTATCAACCGCAACGACGATCCCAACTTGACCTATCGTGTGGAGGTGACCTACATTGAGATCTACAATGAAAAGGTGCGAGATCTATTGAATCCAAAGAACAAGGGCAATCTCAAGGTGCGAGAACATCCAAGTACGGGTCCTTATGTCGAAGATCTTTCACGTGCAGCAGTCAAATCGTTTAATGATATCAATAATCTCATGGATGATGGCAACAAGGCAAGTCTACTATAAAATTTGGGGGGGGGGGGAATGGCAATCATACTTCAATGGCTAACGATCTTTGTTTGATACAGGCTAGAACTGTGGCTGCTACCAACATGAATGAAACATCTTCAAGATCACATGCTGTGTTTACTTTGTTCCTGACACAGAAACGCCACGACGAGATAACCAATCTTGATACCGAAAAAGTGGCTAGAATCAGGTAACAGAATGATGGGTGTGGGAAAGTTATCATCCACGTGGTCCTTTTGATAGCTGACATTTCTTACATATAGTCTAGTGGATTTGGCAGGAAGTGAACGTGCCAACAGCACAGGTGCAACGGGTGCTCGACTCAAAGAAGGCGCCAATATCAATCGATCACTTACGACCTTGGGCAAAGTCATTGCAGGTCTGGCAGAGCAATCCTTGAATGAAGGCAAAAAGAAAAAGTCAAAGGATGTCTTTATTCCTTATCGAGATTCGGTATGTAAAAAGATGGGCAGAGAAAGAGATAGAGCAAGTATACTTATAGGCATGTATAGGTTCTCACTTGGCTTCTCAAAGATTCTTTGGGTGGCAATTCCAAGACGGCCATGATTGCTGCCATTTCACCTGCCGACTATGATGAAACACTCAGCACATTGCGTTATGCCGATCAAGCCAAAAAGATCAAGAACAAGGCTGTGGTGAATGAAGATGCCAATGCAAAGATGATTCGTGAGCTCAAGGAGGAATTGGAGATGCTACGTGATCGATTACGCACCTATGCACCTGAGGAAGTTGAGCAACTTACAGCCAACAGTGTATACAAAAGCAACAGCACCAAACTCGCAAAGAAACGGCATTCAGTTCCAGCACCACCCACACAACCTGCCGCTCAAATGAAACCTACCAGCAGCGAGTTTGAAATTGTGGTGGATAGCCAAGGTGTGAAAAAGAAGATGACCAAGCAGGAGATTATCGATCAGCTACAGAGCTCAGAAAAGTTGCTGGCCAACCTAAACGAGACGTGGGAGGACAAATTGGAGAAGACCAAAGCGATTCATTTGGAACGAGAAAAGGCATTGGAAGAGTTGGGCATTTCGGTGCATAAAGACAATGTGGGCGTGTATGCACCTAAAAAGATGCCTCATTTGGTGAATCTCAACGAAGACCCGCTCATGTCCGAATGTCTCATGTATCAGCTCAAACTCGGCATTACCAAAGTCGGCAGAGAAGACAGCGAGCAGCAGCCTGATATTCGCCTTTCGGGATCCAACATCCTAAACGAGCATTGCTCATTTGAGAATAACAATGGTGTGGTGTCCATTCATCCACATGGTGATTCGGTGACCATGGTGAACGGTGTACGTATTTCAGAGCCCCGTCGATTGAAAAGTGGTTATCGTATTATTCTTGGTGATTATCACATTTTTCGATTCAACAATCCTGAGGAGGTGCGTCGTGAACGAGGTTTAGCCAAGACGGCTGTTGAGAATGCTATGAGCAGTAATGGCAATCCATCAGCGACTACAACGGCAGGCGACGATGATGAACAACGACCCGAGTCTCCTACTGAAAGCAGCAGCATGATTGGATCAGAGATTATTGATTGGAATTATGCAAGGCGTGAAGCAGTGCTAAAGTATTATGCCAACGAACGCAATTTTGGTGATATGAAGGATGAGGATTTGGAAAAGCTCTATGACGACATTACTCGTATACGCAACTCACGTCGATCAAGATCGGGAAGCAGGTCCGAAATCGGTGATCTTATTGCTGATGATGAATCTACCACGCGTGGGAGTAGGAGTGTACGCGATTCAGCTGCCATGACCGTTGTAGGCGATGGCTCAGAAAGCGTGCTTACGGATGCAACATGTGTCACCAATGGATATGACAAGTATCGTGCAGAAACAGAGAAATTGCAAAAGGAATTGCATGATCAAAAGCGAAGATACGAAGCTCGTCTAAGTCGCATGTCACGTCAATTTTCACAACAACAAATCACCACTGGATATACAGAGGAGCAATTGGCACTTATTCATAAGGTGGTGGCTCGATGGAAGAAATTACGTCATGTGACCATGGCCGAAGTGGTGTTGACCAATGCCGTCCTACTCAAAGAAGCCAACATTATATCTCGAGAACTCAACAAGGATGTCTTGTACCAGTTTGCGATCATAGAGGATGGCCAATTTTCCAATCCAATGTCTTATTGGGAAACAACATCGGCTTTACATCAATTCGAGACGGATGAAGATACGACCTTGATATCAACACCAAAACCTTGCATTGGGGTACGCGTCATTGATCGCAAACACCAAGTCATTTATGTATGGTCATTGGAACGACTCAAGTTGAGGCTTCACAAGATGCGTAATCTATACAACTTTATTGATCGACCCATGTATCGCAGCCATTTTAATTGGGAGGATCCCTTTTTCGAGAATCCATGTCCTCGTTATACATTTGTTGGAAGCGCGGCAACAGCTATTCGTAATCTCGCCTATCGACAACCCTACGAGAGCAATGTGGAGGTGATTTGTCGATCCACAGGTCAAATCAAAGGAAAGCTTCGTGTATTGATTCAGCCCAAAGCACTTTCGGTGGCCATCCCCAAAAGTCGACCTGATGATGAATTACTGGAAAATGGTGGCGAAGGTGATGATGACACTATGGTTCATGTGGGCCAGCAAATGCTTTTTGAGGTGCAATTATTGGAATTGGCTGGATTGATTGACGCTGATTACAATGAGGTGCATGTACAATTTCGGTTGTCGTCCTTTGGTGGTATCTCAGCCCATTCAACGGCAGAAAAGGTATTCGCCACCGAGCCTATTAGCGACTTTGAAAATGGGCCCATTCCTCTCAATTACAGCCAAAACTTATCGATTGTGGTGACACACAATGTGATGGATGTCATGTTGCATGGCATGATTTCGTTTGAAGTCTATGGTCTTGCGCAAACAAGGGTCTTGTCACAATACGAGCGATGGGATGATCAACGTGAGAAGCCACGACTAGCCGACCTTTTAGCAGCGAATCGATTCACGAATTTATCACCCTCTTCTTCTTCTTCCCATCACTATGGCAACCACCATCAGAATCATAACATGCATAATGATGACGCCACCAATTTGGAACGACGACCTGAAGAAGAGCTCTTATCAGCTGAACGACATGATGTGGTGGCATGGGTACAAGTATGTGAGCTTGCTCCCAATGGCGAGTATTTACCGGTTCCTGTCACGGCACAAAATGCATTGGATCGAGGTGTATTTACATTACGACAAGGTCTGCAACGGCGTATATGTATTGTGTTGTCACATACATCAGGACATCAATTTGAATGGAGTCGTGTTGTCAAGGCATCCATTGGCCGAGTGCGATTACTTGATCCCAAAGGTCGCATCATTGATTCACCTACACATGACGATGTAGCCATCAAGCTTTTATCATCACAGCAACACGTGGTGTACAACAATGATGGCACCAGCCAATTGGTGGCCCAAGGAGCATGGGATAGTTCACAGCATGAATGTTTGTTTCTCAATCGCATTACGTCGTCCAACAGTCGCATCTTATTACACCTAAAGTGGGAAATTGAAGCTGAAAAGTGTTCCAAGCCCATTCAATTTTCAATGGACATTGCTGTACAAATTCAAGGTCGAGATGCTGCTATAGGACGTTCAAGGCTACGCAAATTACTTGGCTCGGATAAACAGTTACCAAAGTGCAGTGCCATCTTCCTAGTGAATTTACGCCCACCCATGACACGACGTCTTTCCCAGCTATGGAGGCTCAACACCGTATCCAAATATGTCAGAGGAGAAGAATTTCTTGGATCATGGCGACCTCGTGGTGTATCTCTGGTCAATGATTACAAACATATTTGTGCACGTATTCGACGCAAAGAGCAAGTTGAGTTTACACGTCAATTTTTGTCATTGAGGCAAACTATGCTATCGCGTGACAAGGAACAAGCATCATCGTCATCGTCATCAGCGGCAGCAGGACGGGTCAACGGTCATCATCACAAGGGCGATGACGATGTCCTTTCTGAAACTGAGCAATCTTTGGCCAAGAAAGTCCTGGATTTATGGAAGCGTAAATATGGCACTGATAAAGAGGTAAGGATAAAAAAGTAATCATCATGGATGGATGGATGGATGGAACGTCTAATGAATGAGGCAATGCTACAAGATTGTTATTAGCCAAGATCCACCTATTCCAGGGATGCCAGACTTTGAAGCACTACATGAGTCACGAAGCAGTTCCAAATTACTGGCTGAGGTCAAGCTTGTCACTCAAACGTAAGTTGCCATGCACATGAACCCCATCCTATTGCTTACTAAAATGTGTATTGTGTAGTGATAATGTATCTAAGCGTGGATATCTTGTGTATCAAGAAAGCGCTGTTCATGACAAGTGGATCAAGCGTTGGTTTGTTGTTCGTCGTCCCTACATCTATATTTATTCAAATCATTCTGAAACCGATGAGCAAGGTGTCATCAACGTGTCTTCCGTGCGTATCGATTACAATCGAGCTTTGGAACAAATGATAGAGGTATTTACAAAGATGAAGATGGTGGATGCAGAAACTGATCTAGGGGGACTCTTTTTTTCTTAGCGGCCCAACGTATTTGCCCTTTATACCAACAACAATGCATACACCCTGCAGGCTAGCTCCAGAACGGATATGATTGATTGGATCTCCAAGGTGGATCAAATGTTTCCCATCGACAAGTTAAAGAACGATACTCTGTAATTCCTCCTTGTTGGTAATCCTATCATTGCTGCAGCAGCCCAATACCCAATCCTTTGTATTATCTCTTTCTCTCTCTTTCGTTTATACTACTTATCTTTTTTCCCTTGCATATTGTTACCCATTCCCATCGTTTGCTTTTCTTTTTGTTGCTATAATAAACCGACAGGTTTCCATTGAATACTTTTAATGACGAGGCGTTCATTGTGATTGTTTCAGCTGACTGCTGGGAGTAGTTAACTTGCGCGCTATGTAACATCCACTTCATCCCAATCAGCACTGATGCCCGATCCACTACATGTGAATGATGCGTCCGCTCCAACCCAATGTTTCCATCATCAATTTCTTGGTCCGAGATGAACATCCGTTCGTATACAACAGCATGTATTCAACGTCTCAGCTTATGTACTCTTTCTTTGTGCGTAGCTCTCAGCCAAATCAACTTGCATTAAGACAATTGAAACATGGGAATGGATACCTGGAGCAGGAGTATTGCTCGCATGTAACAAAATGGGCAACAGTGCCGGTTGTGAGGAAAGGGCTGTTAGCTCTCAGTATATGGTCTACTATAAATAGTATGTGAGTATCATGCGTTGACCCTTTCCAATCCTGTAAATCGGCTGGGTTACACAAACACACGCCTCTGCATATCCGCCTCTATCAGGTCCAGCTAACAAAGGCCACCTTTCATATAACATCACGCTTCTTATAGCGAGCATATGTAAAACATAAAGGTGCCTGTATCTCTAAACTTTACAATCAAACATGGGGTCTTTAAGAGAACAAAGTTGCTCGGCGGGGTCAAAGCGATCTTGTGTCAAAGTATGAAGTTCATCGTGGCCATTCCCAGATTCATCCAATGTCGCTACCAGCCAAAAACTTTTTCAAGAGGTCGACCCGATTCCAGTTTGCCTGGTAGCGACATTTGGGTGAATCTCGGAATGGCCACGATGAACTTCATGCTTTGACACAAGATCGCTTTGATCCCCCCGAGCAACTTTGTTCTCTTAAAGACCCCATGTTTGATTGTAAAGTTTAGAGATACAGGCACCTTTATGTTTTACATATGCTGCAAGCGTGATACTATATGAAAAGTGGTCTTTGTTCAATGACAATTAGCTAGACCTTGGCAGAGCAAAAGATGCAGAGGGACGTCTTTGTGTAACCCAGCTACTTTGCATGACTGGAAGGATTGATGGATTATACTTTATGGTCATGCACAATAGTCCATATATTGCGCGCTATCAGCCATTTCCTCACAATCAGCGTTGTTGCAAAATCCACTGCATGTGAATGATTCTCCTGCTCCAGCCGAGCATTTCCATCATTCAAGTTTCTTGATCCGAGCCGATTTGATTGAGCTACGCTGGAACAGCAAACATGAAAAATAATGAATCGCAGACCCTGCGAATGTCTCCGTCTTTCAAACTTTTGGACGCTCCCATTCCAAATTTTTAAATGAAGCGTGTAGTTTTTATTACAAAAAATTGATCAGCATGCTCGAGAGCACCCTTCTGACCAATCTTCAAGTTGGAGGTGGGCAACTTCGGGGCGGTAGGCCGTTCGCTCTTTATTTCCCATCATCCACCATTTGGGTCGCCCCGCATTTTAAATCTTCACAATGAACCCTGCTGTTTTTATTTGAATGAAGTTGATCAGCATGTCCCAGCGAACCTTCTGACAAAGTTTCAAGTTCGAAAAGGGCAATCCCAAGGTAATACATAGTATTTCGATAAATCATGGATCCGGCGCTGACCTGCTGTCCGATTTCCATAGTAAATCCCACATTGCACCCTCCCATTCCATATTTTCAAATGAACATGAGATATTTTTAACACGATATTGATCAGCATGTCCCAGAGCATGTTGTGTGAAAGTTTCAGGTTCGAGAGGGGTAATCTCAATATCAAGGATTGATGTACTGTGTTCATGCATTTATACAAGAGGTCGCCGACCTATTTAATTTCCACCTCTTCCACTCGCTCTTCCTCCCATTCTCAACTGTTACCGCATTCAAGTATACAACTACCACCTGCAAACGATTGTCCTGCTTCAACCCATCATGCAAACCCTACGATTGTCTTGATTTGATTGTCTTTGACTGAATGGCAAGTCCATGGCGTGTACACAGCCTTCTTGTCGCTCTACTACAACACGCGGCTTCCTTGATACTACACGATGTCTTGCGTACTCCTCTACCACGACCAATCGTAACAGCATTCATTCCACCAGTTGCTATTAGCAAGGTCTTCACTCCATTGTCTCAAGCAGCGTTCTTTACTTGCAGCAACTTCCCTTACAGCCTTGTTTACGTGAACAGCAGATAGCCATTGTATAGAAGCAGCTTTATTTACGCGTAGCAACTTGGTATCAATACATACGATTTGTTATGGATATGAATATGGATCTGAATGGTTTGGTATATGGAGTGGAAGGAATTGGGTATACATATATGTTGAGTTCCCTTGGCCCATTCAGGCCGTGATGTCGAGTTTGGATGAAACCATATCACTCGCCAACACAAACAATCTTCAGCTGGTTGAGCTGCGATAGGAAATGTTCAACAAAGAGAGAGACCAAAAGAAGCATATCAACAACAATCTCTGGGGCTCCTTTCTACCAACATAATGGATTTGGAATGGCTATGATGATGTATGGATTCAATCAATGCTGTAATGAGGGATCATGGTAGGGTGATTACTTGTCGCGTTGTCAGCAGGAACGATGGATCATGTCATGTGGATACGACTGAGGGTGACCGTGGATGGGATGGGATGGGATGGAATTGAAGAAAGGTGTTTACCAGCTATGGATGGTATTGGAATACTCGGGTCTATGCACGCGGCAGCTATTTTGCAATCATGGATGAAGGATGACAATGAAAGCAGCAATGACACCTTCTTCCTTGTTGCCTCTACTATGTGTTTCACCCCCATCATATCTTATTCAATTTGCAATGCTGTTCTTGTATCATATTCACTTCATAAACATCCACACACTACAATATGATATTCTTCGACTTTCATTGTTGAATGAGAATTGGATTCGACCTATTATTTAAAAGGGCATTGTTCTATCAGAATGGATCACTTCGTTGACTTTTGGATTTAGGGCTATATAGCGGGATAGGAGTGTTGTCATCGTCACGGTCTCCAATGGCAGCGCAAAGGTGGAGGGAAATTAAACACCGCAAAGCTGATAACAGGACAGCGGCTATGGATGGATGATACTTTCTCTTTTCATCAGCTATCATGGTAAGCTAATCATCCATCCATCCATCCATGGATACCGTACATCCATTCATCCACATACCTAATCTATTGTTCTTTTACTAGTCTAAGCGTGCTGCTACCAAGAAGACTACGGAAAACGTGACCCTCGGTCCCCAGGTCCGCGAAGGCGAGCTTGTCTTTGGCGTTGCCCACATCTTTGCCTCTTTCAATGACACCTTTGTCCATGTCACTGATTTGTCTGGTCGTGAGACTATTGCTCGTGTCACCGGTATGTATCTTTTCATTGCACTTTACGGGTTGATGCTGCAAAGGACATACCCTTTTGTTTTTCTTCGTCTCTTTTTGTAAGGTGTTGAAAAACAAAGGGCCGAGCGGCGTGTAGTGAATCATAGTGAATGATGATCTGCATCCCCCTCCTATGTTCCTTTTTGTGTATTCTAATAGCTTTTATTTCGTTATAGGTGGTATGAAGGTTAAGGCTGACCGTGATGAGTCTTCTCCCTATGCTGCCATGTTGGCTGCTCAAGATGTTGCTGCCAAGTGCAAGGAGGTAGGTTTTGAGTGGATGTAATCATAAGCAAGAACGATTTTACTTATATGCATGCTTTACTTATAGCTCGGTATCAACGCTGTTCACGTCAAGATCCGTGCTACTGGTGGCACTGGCACCAAGACTCCTGGTCCTGGTGGCCAGAGCGCTCTTCGTGCTTTGGCTCGTTCCGGTTTGAGAATCGGTCGCATTGAGGATGTCACCCCCATCCCCACTGATAGCACCCGTAGAAAGGGCGGTCGTCGTGGTCGTCGTCTTTAGATGCCTCGTGTATTTTTGGTGGTTGGTCACTTTTTGCTATCATTAAAAGAACATGCCATTGTACAACAAAACATCCCTTCTTGTATATATACTTTCTTATAAACTTTATGATTGCCTCGCATACACACATGCTCTTGGTATAGTCAATGATGAGATTTATAATTAGCCCAATCATAAATGGTACGTATTTTCGCACGGTGGATTCCACAAGTGTGGTTTGTGTTCATGCACAAGAGTCGGACAATGATATTATAAGGAAATGCCTTGTTTAATTGTATGAATGCTGTTTATGCGGATCGATATGTGAAAAATGTTGTACAGATAAGATGCAAAAACGTATGAGGATATTCGATAGTAGTAATGGGGCGCGAGGAGAGAGTACTTTTTTCATCTATGAGGGTGATAAGAGTACATTGGTGACCGAAACCGGGTATGAGCAAGTATGGATGATGACGATGATGAGCGAAGGTTAACTCAATATAGGCAAGAACTATAATGATGATGATGATGAGTGAGTAAATGATGGCTTGAATGGAAAGGAGGGATAAACAAACTTACATTGCCAATAATCACACTTGGCAGATCAAAAATATCACGTTTGATGGTAAAGCAAAAGGTGCATGGTACTACACGTTTGGTTGGGCTGAGCAAGATACAGGAGCTGTAAACAGCGGAATCGGTATTGTCAAAGGCATGCAAGGCGTATTTTTCCCAGTACTCAACGGCGGATGAATTACTCATGAGCTAAGTATTAACATGTCCACAATGAATATCGGCAAAATGGGAGTGAGAAAGAGAAAACCTTATTATTACCTCGTAGATGTAAGTCTTTTTGCTCAATAATGCATCTCTGGACCATTGCGTCAGCAAAGAGAATTCTTTACCAACAAGGGCAATTTCGCCTGTGCGCCGCCACACCACCGTTGGGGTACCCGAATAACTGATCAACTTTTCATATTCCTAGAGGTAGCTGATGAATAAAAGGTCTTTTGGACCATTTAATGCGTGTCTTCATTACCAGCAATGTGCGTTGTAGACATTTCTCAGTGAATATCAAATCGCTCTCCGTCAAATTCATCATGGATGAAAACACACTGGGTCGAAATAGGGCCAATGCTCGGCTGATTCGCATTAGATCTTCTCGTGTCATTCTAAATGTGGGGTAAAATGAGAAGGCGATCTTTTTTTTCCCACCCCACGTTCCCCCTCCCCCTTTTTTCTTTTTTGCTTCTTCGATACCTACTTTTGTCGGACATAGTTGATAAGGTAATGGTATCCATCAGCATAACTGAAAGGTTTCTTAGCACTTGCATAGGCCATTTCGGGAGTGATGAGCTGGTTACGTCGTCGTACGCCCACAGGTCCAGCAATAGGGCTACCTTGTTTAGCCAATACTGCACCCTGACCATATTGAGTCAAAGCAGGATGATGATGATGAGGATGGAGATGTGGTGTTGTTGTAGGAGTTGAAGCGGTTGAGGAGGAGGTGGTGGTCTTGGTTGATGTAATAGTCGGAGAAGGCTGTTGGTGGTGGTCAAATAGCATGGTGTCACCAAAAGGATTCATCATTGGATCCATCGACTGTTGCTGTTGTTGACTACTACTACTTGGTGTGGTGTTGACGGATGTTGTTGGTGATTGCTGTTGTGTCGAAGTAGCCCATAATGGTAGATCCGGTGTTGTAGAATCGAGAAAAGATGTTCCAAGCATATTAGAAAGAAACGAATATTCCAAGTTGGTAGCCGAGGAACCAAATCCATAGTTGCTGCTGTTGTTGTCAAAATCAAATCCGCCTCCCGCGGAACCACTTGCCGTAGTAACGCCGTTGCCAATGGCTAAATTAATCCGTTGAGCCTTTTTTTCTTCAACAAAGAAAGGAGAGGGGGCGGATGACACACAACATACCATCGCTTACAAAGGAACTGGTGGTATCCATGGTGGTTGTCATGCTACTGTCAGCTGATACTTCACTTAATGCACCAGGGGTATGCGCGAGCGGTGTGAATTGTTGTTGTTCATTGTTATTGATCAATGGGTCTATATAGCATTCTCCTTGTTAAATAGGGCCCATTTACTTTTCAATATCCAATTTACCTTGTACATCTTGCAAGTATTTTGCCTTTTTCCTTGCACCATCGGTACATGTGGATGCTAGATCACGTTTAATACATCGTTGGCATGGACGTGCTATAGAACGAATTCAAGTCAGAACTGCCATTGGGGTGCATATGGATGCATGATATTATACATACAATCATCGCATGTCAGGTGTGCCTGCAATATAAACAAAATGCTCATTCATTAGTACCCTATGTCTATTAGGTGTGGGAAACTACTGCTACTACTAGCAAGCTTCCTACCTTTTGGCAGTGTATGCAAGCTCTTGCAGCCTTTTTCTTTCGTTGAACAGGTCGTCTTGTTTCGTTTGTCATTGGAGTGGTTGAGTTGACTGAAGAGGCTGATGTTCCTGCCGATGCCATGGTGAGAACCCCTTGAAGGGCATGCAATGAAGCGGAAGAGCAGCGCCATGTGGAGTTGTAAACGAAGCCACCAACTTGTAAAAGGAAAGGAGTGGGGGGTTGGGTGGAGTGGAGGAGTATCACAACAGCTCTCTCACCAATCATTCTAGAGCCGTGTAAGCGGGCGGCATTGAACCCGTGATTTGGATCGTTCTTAAAACCTACAATGCATCTAGCCCCTTGTCCTATTGTACTACAATGTATCTTTCCTTCCCAACAATACCAACGTATAATTGTACTCAAATAATAGAGTCTTCTTCTTTTACAAGTGGGTAATAAAGAAATGTGGTTTACGAGCAACAAAGAAGGGGAACAGTCTTTTTGGATGAGAGACGAATCCTTCGAATACGTTCTAAATGAAAAGGCCAAGGAGCGTGTTCAAATCGGTACATACATGGATTCAAATCGCCATAAGCCTGCTGCATACAGGAATCTCTTTCAACACAACGGGGGAAACTCTCTCTAAGTTGCTTCAAAGGATGGGCAAATGTATAAAGTCACGAGTAGAAAGAAAAAAGAAGCAGCATGAATCCTTACACTGCGTGTCACCTCTTCTCGAATATGTATCCCATCCATCCCAAAAGAGCGCATCATCCCTTTTTTGACTCAAAGTCGAATATAAAAAATGTGTATCTTTACTATCGAGATCCAGCCGAAAAGAAACTAGTTAATCCTGATCCAACAGCCTTGCCAACGATACCTGATGCGGTACTGCCGAGTGAACCGAGTGCTGTTTGAGCAGCGATACCACTTGCCCATTTCCTTTTAGCATCCTTATCACATTGAGTATATCCATAGACGTTGGCCATGTTGAGAATGATAGCGACCACGACGATCACCAACCAAGAGATTTTGAGTGTGAAAATGCATGTCAATGCTAACAAGCCCCATAGTACAGGTGTTGCGTATAACACGGTCCAAAAGAGACGTGAATCAGCTGCATTATTCTTGCGATTGGGCTACATGATGATCATCACCATGGTCAGTGCTCTCTCTCTCTCCCTTTTAAACCATATCCAAATGGACTTACACTGGCACTTTCAAATACCCATTGGTTGGATCCATCCTCTTGAATTTCATTCCACCATCGTAACCCAACCAACAAACGTCCAGAAACATTCTTGACAGTCCAGAAATCAAAGGCAAGCAACAAAATGGTCACCACAAACACCAATGTAAAGTTGTCAGTGAAAATAGAACCAAGCAGATACATCAAGAGCGCACCAACGCGGAACGCCAAGAAGAAGAAAGCTGCAATAGGATGACTACATATCATATCATATACATAGCGTCAGTCTATGTCTTTGTCACTCGCATCGTATGGGTCCCTACCTTGACTGTTGAAAGTAATCTCGAACAGCATTGTTCCTTGGTGTATTATTCACATTGCCACTAGCGTTGTTGTTGTTGTTGTTGTTGTCTGTCGTTGTCGATGGTGATGGGCCTGCTTCCAAGTCAGGTTGTATCTCAGCTTGTAGCAAATTGACCCTGCTCTCATCAGCCTACGTTGGTCGAATTAGAAGGCGTGTGGGTTGGTATCCAATGCAACTTACCATGGCTTGCTTGTAAAAGTGCGTAAAGTGAAAGTGTCGTGAACGGCAGGTCCAACTCAAAATCACCGCTATCCGCATTAGGCACGTTTCAGTCCATCACGTGATGTTCTACCATCTTTATCCCTTGAATCCCGTTATTGATATGCATGATGGTTTTGGCTCATTCATAAAATAAAGATAAGGATACCTTTCTCCTGTGATTTAGAAGCGCATTTTGGATGTAAGAAGTTGTCAATCGTATGCCACCAAGCAAACTTATGAATAGCTTCGTTTCAATATCGACACGTTGCTAGTATTATAAGAGATGGTAAGCATGTTGAGGTGGATACCAGCAAGCCACGTGTAGCTGGGTTACGATGCATGAACAAAGGTGGAGGGAAAGTGAACAATTTGATAGTGGCTGCTTTTTTCCCTTTCCTCTCTCTCTCGCTCTCTCTCTCTCTTTTACGGCCAATGACGATCGAAATTGTACCCCTTGGTGCAGGTAAACTTGAGGCAGTACAACATTGACACCCACCCATTGACGTTAAATTCTCTATATTGGCAGGCCAAGATGTGGGTCGCAGCTGTGTGTTGGTGACATTGAATGGCAAGAATATCATGTTTGACTGTGGTACTTGTTTATTGAGGCAATGGAGAATACAACTCTTTTCTAACATGGGGGTTCTTTACATTTAGGCATGCATATGGGATACAATGACGCACGACGATTCCCTGACTTCAGCTATATATCCAAGACGGGACGATTTACCGAGATCATTGATGCCGTCGTTATCAGCCATTTTCATTTGGATCATTGTGGGGCGCTACCCTACTTTACTGAAATGTGTGGATACGATGGACCCATCTACATGACGCATCCAACCAAAGCCATTTGTCCTATTTTATTGGAGGATTATCGCAAGATTACGGTGGAGCGCAAAGGAGAGACGAATTTCTTTACATCGGATATGATCAAAGCATGCATGAAGAAAGTGATTCCTATCAATTTGCACCAAACGATTCATGTGGATGACGAATTGGAGATCAAGGCGTATTATGCAGGCCATGTGCTTGGTGCTGCCATGATTTATGCGCGTGTGGGAAATGAATCGGTTGTCTACACGGGCGACTACAACATGACACCCGATCGCCATTTAGGCTCAGCATGGATCGACAAGCTACGCCCTGATGTATTGATCACTGAAAGCACTTATGGCACCACTATCCGCGACTCGAAACGATCCCGTGAACGCGACTTTTTGAAAAAGGTGTACGATTGTGTCTCGAAAGGCGGCAATGTCTTGATTCCAGTATTTGCGTTGGGACGTGCTCAGGAACTTTGCATCTTGATTGAATCGTATTGGGAACGCATGGATCTTAAGGTGCCTGTTTATTTCTCGGCAGGCTTGACACAACGTGCCAACCATTACTATGAGCTTTTTATCAATTGGACCAACCAAAAAGTGAAATCGACCTTTGTGGATCACAACATGTTTCATTTCAAGCATCTCAAACCATGGGATAAGGCGTATCTTGATCATCCAGGGCCTATGGTGGTGTTTGCAAGTCCTGGCATGCTGAATCTTGGATCATCCCTTGAAATCTTCAAAAAGTGGGCGCCGGATCCCAAAAACATGGTCATCTTGCCTGGTTATTGTGCTGCTGGTACCGTGGGTCACAAGGTGTTACAAGGCGAAAAAGTGATCGGCATTGACAAGTTCAATGAAATCCGCGTCAATCTTCAAGTACGCAACTTGTCATTCAGTGCACACGCTGATGCAAAAGGTATCATGCAATTGATCCGGCATTGCGAGCCCAGGCATGTGGTATTGGTACACGGCGAAAAATCGAGCATGGAATTCCTCAGTGCCAAAATTGACAAGGAGCTCAATATACCCTGTCATTTCCCTGAAAACGGTACGACCATCGCCATTGAAACAACACGTGCTATCGAAGCAAGAATCAGCACTGAGCTACTCAAGTCATGTCTCCAACAACAAGCAGAGGAAAAGAAGAAATACAATAATCAAGTAAAGAACGACGGCGAAGCCATGGGTCCCAATCGTGGATTTCCGGTGCGTGGTGTTCTCGTCTTTAAGCAGAGTGATGAAGCTGGCAACATGTACAAGAGACCTCAGGTGGATCTCATGTCCGAAGACAAGTTCAAGCAAGAGTACAAACAGTGAAGAAAATTATAGTTGTATATACATACATTATACCTAGCATTGTAAATAAAATTTTATGTAGCAGCCTCTAAATCCTTTTGTGTTGTATATCTCTATCGAATTTTTATTCTTTGGTGGGTGGGAAGCGTATATATAATAGTACAAGAAGAGGATGCAATATATAGGCAATATATCTTATGAGGCTGTTGTTTGCTTGCTGTTCCAAAAGCCAAATGCATTTGATACATTGTTCTCATCGTCTACCGTGAGGACAGCGTGTTCGTAATCATCATCAATTTGGATAGGCGCAATGACAGCTGCTGCTCCTGCCGATGATGGGGAAGGTGTGCTTTTGGGTGTACTTGTACTTGTAGGCTGAATCGGTAGCCATTGTCCAAGCTTTGGTTGCTTGCTGTTGTTGTTGTTGTTGTTGTTGTTGCTCTTGCCCACCAGTAATGGTGTCCCTGCATAGAAATGAGTAAACATACTACGTTCTTCCTATGCCTCTCTTCATACCTTGTGGTTCTCGGAAAGGATTACATGGTCTAACTGCTCCCTTATTGGCACGCGGAAGGGCTATATACATAATGTTGTCAATACATGCACACATGGCTTGATATGATCTCTACTTACGTTCTCCATTTTCCCACCACTTTACAGTATCTGTGCTTGGTTGCGTGGCTATGATGGATAACATGGATCAGAACAAGAGACACAATACTACTTAATGATGATGACTTACGCTTTTCTTGATCAGAGCTCAAGTCGATTAACATATCTACAACGGGAATAGCGGCTGCTGCGGCTGCCACGGTAGGGCGACTGGTTGGAGGAGTAGGTGTACGGCGTCGAGGAAGTTCGGGTGGTGATTGTTCCATGGTGAAGGGTGTAGTAGTATTTACATTGATGTGGTCCAGACTTTGCTGATATAGCTCTTTGTGTAGCCGTGCTTTGGCGTCATGATCATAGGTAAGAATCTAGTAAATCAAACATCAGTCAAATGGTTTCCATCTCTTTCCTCAAAAGACTTACATCCACTTCAAACAAAGCCAGCACTAATAAATAGACCTCTTGTCAATGACCCATATACTACACAATCATGCACATGCACACATACCTGGTCTGTGATCAGACGTATACAGCTCTGCACGGGCATATTGCAAAAGCTTGAGATTATTTCCCTTGTACAGAATTCTGTCAGTCCAACCGGGTATACGCTGCTTTTCACTAAAAAGATACGCCACTACCATTTAGCGACATTGATTTTTGGGTTGTTCGTCAACTTGCCTTGTATCATATACATCTCTACCATTATCATACTTGTAGGTTGGAAGAAAAGTGATGGGTCCTTCTTCATAGCCTTGAAAGACATTGCCAAGTGCCATCTCTCGTTGTAGCTGAATAACAAAAAACGGCTTTAGTATCCCGATCATACCATCCATCTCTCTCCTCCAATTACCTGATCCGCCTGATAAAGCGCATCAATGTTGCCTGAAGCTGCAAAGGATCGTGCCTAAAAGAGAGAATGTCAATCAAGCGGGAAAGAGATAGATAATTTTCACTTACCTCTTCATTCGCAAGCGATACACGATAATTGAGATCACTCAACCAAAAAATGTTGCTACATTCAATGGTGCGTTAGATCGAGTCAACTATCATAGAGCGGGGGTGTGGACTTACTCATGGCTATCAATGGTGCGACCACGAAGGAATCGAAGACCTTGATTAATCGTATGGAAATCCTGATTGCGATCTTCAGAGTTGGAATGGCCTGATGCAAAATGGGCTGCCAGAAAACAAATGCTGGTATCCCCGTAATCCATACGTATCGCAACAGCGCCCTTATTTCCAGCAATGCCCATGATACCAGTCTATGCAAGATGTTAAGCTTTGCCAACTTTGCAATGCCCTAAAATACGCATACCTTTTTGATAGATGATTCCACATTGCGTATATTCTCCACGATATCAGCCTTGGCGAAAATGATCAAAGCAGCACCCACCAGTTGATTGGATCGAAGAAGGACATACTTTGACTTTCCACGTGAGTTGTTGTTGAGTGTGGTTTCAATCTCTTGTTCCCAGACTTTGCTATTAAAGTGGATGGATTAATTCCTTTGTATAACCTGCACCACCTATTATTCAGTTTCCTACCGCTTTTCGGCATCCGTAGTCATCACCTAGGCAACCCCTTGTTTAGTCCATGCATCGAGCACTCAATAAAAAGTGTGAGAGACTAACCTGTTGCGGTGAAAGCTCGACAATTTCTTGGAATCCCACAGCATAGATATCCGGCTCCTCACCATCCCCTGTTATTGTTCGTCAGTAGGTGGTCCACAAGTCGGCTTGGTATACTTACATTGTGAATGTTGCAGTAGCCATGGATCAAGTGATTCACCTTTGAAAGATTTGCCATTCAAATTATAGGTTCCACAGAATATAGAGACCTTGCGGCGTGTAGAATATTCCTTCAACCTGATACCATGTCATGGTCAATAGGCGATTCGAATCAACCCATCCAGCCATATATACCTTTTCACCATCAACTTGGATACCGAGTCACTGATGGGATCATGAATAAGGATTTCTTGTTGTCCTACCAACTTGCCCTAAATAGCCGAGATTGAGTACTTGGTTGCTAGTCAAAGCACCATGTCTTGATATATATTTACCAGCAATTGATCAATGACTTCTTGCTTTGCCTTGTCTTGGAAATTGTTGATAAAGAAACGATTTGCCGAACGTGTGGCATCGCTGAGGACATTCATAAACGTGACCTTGCCTGTGCGTGTAAAAGCTGACTTTAGAGCGCCCGTACCCGCATAGATCTTTGACAACCCATCTCCATTTTCAGCAAACAAATGAGAATGTCGACTTTTGAGGCTTTCCAAAGCATTCCAATGACGGCTAAAGCGATTATCCAAATAGCCTTGGAGCGCCATGCGAGATATTTCATTCTGAACGAGATTGGTGCGATCAAGGCAATCCATGCAGTTGGTACGAAATACACCACTTTGTGTACAAATAATGTGATTGTCGTTCGTATCCATCAAGAAATAGCCGTGATCGTCGAGATAATGGCGAGCATTGTTGAGCAATAACGAAACATTGTCATAGTTGCCACCTCGACATTCCGCATGCAAATCGAAATTGATCATCTTCACCTTGGCTTGTGGCATGTTCAATTGACTCACTGCTGATCCATACGTACTGCCCAACATGGATTCACCCGAATTCTCTCGCTCCGATAAAAGATTGATGGCGCACACTGAATGATATCGATCGATTAATTCATTGAAATGGCGTTTAACAGCTGGTTGCGTAGCACCACTTCCACGTGAAATCTGAATCTTGTGATTGACGATGCCTTGCTGTTCCCAAAATACTATGATAGCCACCTTGTTATTCTACATGTATAAGGGATGCACGATTTCCTCAATACACAATACCTGGTACACTGCCTCTGATTTGCGTGAATGCATAACATATGCGATCGGAATACAATACTGTTTCGGTCTGTGCAACGCATTAACTCAAATGTTTATCCGCACACCCTCCTATTCCCATATCAAGTAATTACCTCGACAAAGTTGGCAACATGTCCATTGTCATCAATGCCTCTTGAATTGAATCGTGTTCCTGCTCGCTTGCAACTCAACTTTGAAATGACCGACAAGTCATATTTTTCATTCTCAATCACGACCGATTCCACGCCAACGTATCCACGAATAGCAAACACCTGATTGAAAAAGGGTGGGTCAGCCTATCATTTCCTAAACGATCCTCTTTTTTGTCCATTACCAGAAATCCTCCACGATCCAAATCCATTTGCTTTTTGCGATCCAGCTTTGCACGAAAATCCAATAATCCAGATATCAAAAACTTGTTCCACAAAAAGTGATCGTCAAATGCATGAATACCAAGGGATGCATCCGATGTTCTACAACGCATTATGAGTATCATGCGTGTGTGGGTGTCGTATGTATCCTTTTCTTTTTACCTAGCTTGTACTGTCTTTGTCAAGTCAAAGTCGGGTGTGAAATAGAAGTTTCCCACAGCAAACAACTTTTCCAATTGAGCACAAGGATGTTGGATAGCAGAAGGTTGTTCCCAGTCGTCACCACCGCCACCAGGAGGAGGAGGAGGAGTAGATGAAGGTGTCGTTGTGTTGGGCGTACTGCCATTGGTGAGGTAAGGTGGATAACGATCGGGATCCTCCAAGTCGTCGTATTTTGATGAAGATAAAGAGTAGAATGATACTGATTGTATTCGATACACTTCTTCGCCAGCACGTATCCTCCCAACGGGCACACAGTCAGTGACAATTGCAACAAAGCATTCTGCAAAGAGAGAGAGAGAGATAAAAATCATCCGTGAATAAGATATAGATAGACCATGCATACAAGAAAAAGCTCCATACATACCCCCCATCAAGTTAATCATTCCAAGACAACCGAATACAGGACGACTGTTGAGGATACGCCATGACGAGTCTTCGAATTCGGAAGGTGGCAGCAATTTCGCAATGGCACGGTCGGTTGTCGGTAACGAAGTAGTATACTGCTCAAACATTAAGACCCCAGAGGGTGCCTCATGGAGCATCATGGGTCGCAATGCCAGTGCACGTGGATGCTCCCGTAACAACAGATGGGTCTGCATGTGTTGGGGCAGGGAGGCTGCAAGAAAAGCAAGGAAAGACGAATGGGTTGTGTGTTGGGTAAGAAAGGTATGTATTCTTTCCCGCTTGTAATTCATTTTGCGACTCACCACATACACCCACCCCCGCCAAAAGCGTGCCCTTGCTTTAAACACCCTCATTCATTGACCACACATTATGTACAAAAAGTGCCATTTACCCTTGAAGCATGTACAACCATCACTGTAAATGATACATTGCAATGCGACCTGTCATTTCTTTCGTTCCTAGGTTTTCTTTTCTTGCATAATCCTACGTACAGACCACATCATTTGTCATGCAATGTATTAGTGTCAAATAAAATGACATAGTGTCAACTTTTTTCTTCGAGGCTAGAGTCGATGGATTGGGCATCATACAGTCGTATATATACGTGGTCGTTGTTGTTGTATTCTTGAACCAAAAGATTCAAAAGACTCATCACGATGGCACCTTTACCACCTACCTATCACACTTTTGTTCAACCTGAGACGCTACCAGAAAAACAGCACAAGAGGGAATTAGCTTGATTGTCTCTCTTGTTTATACCAAAGCTGATTTGTTCGTTGAGGAGGATGAGAGCCGAGGACTCATTCCTATCAAGACGCTTGAAAAGACTATTGGCAAAACCTTGTCAAAGCTTTATCTCTATGCGGGTCGTTTATCACCAGCACCACGACGAGGCCGATCTTCGGTTCAAGATTTTGGAAAGGGTTGTCTTTTCCAAGTATGCGAGTTGCTTGATTCATTTCAAGAATACAAAAAGAATCGGTATGGTTATACCACTGTACCTGTGGGCGATTTGATGCCGCTCGATCAGTATGCTTCCCTTGATACACCCTTGCTGGGTATTCAGTTGACTCAATTACAAGGCGGCCAGGTGCTTGCGTTCTCGTTTCTTCATCGCATGTCCGATGGTTTGGCTGATGCTACCTTTATTACCTGCTTGAGCTGTACTTTGCATAACGAAGATCCGCCCATTGAAATGTACTATGATTGGCAACGCCCACCCTTCCAACCTAGCCCCAAATACGACCACAGCATTGATTATCCTGTGATGAGTGAAACCTACAAACGTCCAACCATGAAACTTGATCATGACATGAAGTGCATCTTTGTGATTGATGATGATAAGGCAAATGAACTCAAACGTCAAATGGAACAAGAAATACAAGATCATGATTTCAATATCACGGTACGTGATGCTGTTACTGCCTTCATGTATCGGGTCATTGTCAAGGCAAAGAGGATCAAGGGAAAATGCGATTTTGTCTATGTGGTTGGAAAGCGTCATGCACATCCCGATAAACGGCTTCTGCAGCACTTTGGAAACTATTTTGCTTAAGAAGAAAACACCGTGGCTCAAGAGAAAGGAAGCAAGCATTAATATGGTATCTATTTTAGAGCTATGACGGTTCCTGAACAACCTGATACTTTGATGCATCGTCCCATGTCATCCACTGCACAACGTATCCGTGAACAAGTTGCCACGGTGAACCCTGAATTCATGAATTCATTGAAGTACTATCTCAATCACGTGGAAGATCCTACCAAAGTATGTCCACCTGTGCATCGAATGACATCTGGGTGTGTGCTTTGGTCCGATTGGAACCGGGTTTCAGACCGCATAGATTTCGGATATGGCAAAAAGAGTCGTATGTGTCGAAGTTGGGTGAATCCATCGCACATGCCAGTGGTGATCATGACACCCACTCCAGGCGGAGCATTCGACTTGACGGTGCAATTGGATCCTGAAAGCATGAACGATTGATAAATGATGAACAAGTCAAACGTTATACATACTTGGCGTGTTTTGGCTCATGAAGAATAAATGTCTTCTTGCTTGGTTGTGCTCTTTGTATTTGATTCACATGTAATCAATCATCATGCGGTATCAAAATAGGATGTTTTATTTCAATGAGTATGCATGAATCATAGGCCTAATTCCCTTCTCATTACATTGGCCGGCATGTCATTTATGCGGAGGAAATAGAATACAGGTACAGGTGACAAGTATAGGACGTGTCAAGGTGGCCGCGTTTGATTTCCAGCTCTTCCATCATATGACCCCCACCCACCTACCCACCCACCTACCCTACGACAGCATATCAAAACGTCCTTCTGTTTTACGTAAAGCGCATTTCAAATGAGCAGCTTCTACTTGTGCCATCTCTCAAAGACTACCTCCGATTGCCAATGCACGTCCTCATGGGCACGTCATGTTGTCATGGTTCGACGACGATTACTATCTTTTCTATCACACATAATGAAATCATGCAGCCACCCAATCCCTTTCCATCAAAAACAGGTTCCTCCGCCTAAATTCGCTCTTTCTTTTTCTTTTTACTTTCCTTTGTTCACCCAAAATGTCTGTTGATCGGCCGCGTTTTGTGCCTACGATTGATTACCTTGCATCCAGAGTATGCAAGCTTTCCAAGTTGTGTAAAGATATGACGCATGATCCATCCGCCCTCCAAACAACCTATTCACAGGCTGAAAAACTTTTCCAAGACTTGATGGACAAGTTGCGGTTGACTGACAACATGGGAAATCCAGCCCGTGTCCCTGCCAACAACAACAACAACATGGATGCTAATAACAAGGGCTATTATCAAAACACAACCACGATGAACCGGTATGATGCAGGCGCCTTTCAACGTGCTATATGCAGTCTCGTCCGTTATGCACCCACACGCGACAAGGCGTTACAGTACTTGTGTTTTTTCTTGTACCAAATCGGACCACCTTTGCGGACTGCCAAAACTGAAATCACAATGCTCATCAATATCATCTACATGTACGCCAAAGACAAGGAATTACCCAACGTAGCACAACAAGCACTTGACTTCATAAAGATCGGGTTGGAGCGTGATGTCATGAATGTACCACCAGAGCATGATCCAAACGATAGCTTTCAAGATCCAGCTTCAGTCTTTTTCTCAGTATCAAAACCCATCCTCAGACAACTCAACCTTCGGTTTTCACAAGACCGTCGTTCCATAGTCCCAGCCAGCTCATATAGCACTAGTAATAGTTCTTTTAATCCACCACCTCGCCCACAATACCATTAGCGTTGCAGAAAAAAGCATCCAGATTAGCTCCACCACTTGCTACTGAAGAATAATGAAGAGATTCCAATTTACTATACCAGAAGAATGAGATGATCCCTTTTCATCATTACTACGTCATTGTAGAAGACGATGGTGATTTTTCTTGTATTCCATCATGGGCCCCTTTGTCTCGTTTTAAATTGCAAGGGAGCAAAAGATGCACTGTCCATTTATCACAACAACGCATCCCATTCACAATCAATATAGTAAAGATACATCATTGTGCTTTATTTTCTAATGTTGTTACAAGAAGTGCCACTTGACTTTGAGAATGCCAGTATCGTAATCGCCCAATTTTCCGAAAGCGGCAGGAGAAAGGTCTAAATGCTCCTTCGAACAAGGAGGGCAGGCGTCTTTTACTTTCGCTTCGATGATATTACCTGAGGGACCTTCAATTTTGACCTTTCGATTGCAATACTTGCTAACAGAGTCCATGTCGCCATACCAATAGGGACCCAATGCAACAATCATATCATCGTCGTCATTCCAGTCACCACAAGCGCCTTGGTCAGGTGTCTATACATGCAACGGTTAGAACAAGGGATGCTATGATGTAGAGATTATACGTACGAAAAAGGTCACTTTGCCGTTAATCCAATCACTATCATCGCCACCGCTTGTGTGTGTGGGTTTGTGTGTGGTAGTTGTCTTGGTTGGCTTGTGTGTGGTCGTGGTGGTGGTAGTTGTTGTGGTAGTGGTGGGCTTGTGGGTTGTTGTTGTAGTCGTTATTGTGGTTGTGGTCGTTGTCTTGTGAGACGTTGTTGTAGGAGTAGGTTTATGATGATGGCTACTCGTTGTGTTAGTAGGATGATGATGGCTGCTACTATGGTGATGATGGGAGCCCTTCTTCTTGCTGCTTGGGAATGTGCAATTGATGGATGTCAAGTTGGTAAGAGGCAGCGTCACATTGAGCTTTTCAGTTGCATTGATGGGCATGGACCATTCGGGCACCATGATTTCACATTTCTTGCCACGATGAAGGGTGTGGTTGGCATCACGGATGCTTGCCACAGACTTTGTGTACACCGTAAAAAAGCTAGCAGGTCGATAGGTGACATTGGCAGCAAAGCAATCATCATTGGTATTGTTGGCGACGCCTTGAAGCGTAATCACTGATTCGTTTGCACGCAAAGTAGCATGACGAATGGTAGATGTGCAATTGACTTGTACACTTGTCAAGTTGACTTGGGCGACTGTAGTTCCATTAAGAGGATCAAGCAGTGCGGGTTGATGCGGCAAACGTAAAATGACTGCAGCTTGTGCAAGAGACATCATCATGGTCATCGCCATGAACGAAAGAATGGAAAGGGAACGCATTGCCAGCAATGGTTAACCAAGTAAAGAATGGGAATGGGTAAAAAAGTGTGGTGAAGGAAAGAAAAAGTGGGATGTGTGAGTGTCTCGATCGCAATGGACAAATGTTTGCTTTTTATTGTTAAGGTCGTGTAACCTATTCATAAAGTCAGTGTCAGGGTATACGGTCTTTGTTGTGCCACTAGCACCATTGTTGTTACCATTGATATTGTCTCAATGGCTCCATTGTGCTTGCCAACCTCTTTTCCTACTTTTATGCAACCATCAACCATGCTTAAAGTTTCATTCACTACACGTGCCATCCATTGAATAATGCAACCAATGGATTGTGCATTCTCAATGGGTGTGTAAAGGAGGGCCACATGGTCGTTACACAGGAAAAACTGTACCCTCTTGTAATACGTGCTCAACAGAATCGTACAACGCACACAGACCTATTTTCATGAAAGGGTGCCGCTGCTTTTTCATGAGTAGAAAATTATATGCTTGTTCAATTTTGCCCCTTGCTATTATTGATCGATACAAGACCTCCATGTCAAAGATGGGTCATTATCTAGAAGATGGTTTGTCGTAGGATTAGTATTCATCGATGCATCAGAAGCCCATTTTCATTCTTTTTTTCCCTTTACAGAATTACCTTGATTGCCCTGGGCGTATATGTGTATCCCACTCCGCCAGATGAAACATGCATTGGATTTGCCATTGGTCGATAGGTCATCAAGGTAATTAACAACCTCTTCTTCCAGCAGCGCGGTGTTGTGGCATGCACACGCAGGTGCCTGTAGTTTATCTTGATCTCACGATATTTCCGCCCATGTACCCGGATCCATACATCCGTGATGCGGCGCTCCTACTATGTCACCTCATACATGCTATGATGGGTTCAATGTCGTTGCATGGTGTTACGCACCACATTAATTAGGCTCACACATGCAAACACGGTCAACGTCTTATTAATCACTGTCACATAGCACAAAGAATGAGTGCTCATGAAAAGGACATACAACAACATTATTAAGGGGTGCTTTGAAGCAAAGTATAAGGCCTCTGTTGCTGATGAATGGAACCATCCTTGACAAAACGACGGCTTTTTACTACAGGAGCAGCAGTGAATGTTTGTGGCACGTATTCATCATTGTTGGAATCTCATCTTGACAAGTGTCACTAGCTCTATCCACCATGAAGTAGAAGGCGTGTTTAAAAATTTGACATTGACCATGGCAACGTAATCCACGCTTAAACAATTATGCAGTGGCCATTGTCATTGCCATTTGTATGTAAAGCAGCTGGGGTAAAAAGTCCCTATGTATATTGTATTGGAAAATGAATCATCTAGTAACTCAAAGGGAAAGGGGATTGATACGATAAAAACGACATGTAATGGCTTAAAGGAAAGGGGGAGGGATCATTACTATAGAAAGTGGACATGAAGTGTTATCTGTATCACCATGAAGCCTTATCAATTGATTGCATAAAAGGCAATGCAAAGAGAGAGAGAGCTGGAGGGGAGAAATGGGAGGCTATGTGCTAGGACGGGATTAGGCATCCGGCCATGACCAAGCATGTGTGTGGGTGAGAACAGCGACGTCATCACCAAAGTGTGAGCGGGATCGTGGATGGGCGACAGGCTTGGTTTGGCTGACACTACATACACACCTTTCTTTATCTCCCCGCAAAAACACTACTCCCCACTCTCTACATACAAACAATGTTGGCCACTCGCTCCATGTTGAAAACCGTTGCTCAAAGTAGGTCGTCATGGAAACGCTACCCTTGAAAACGACTCCTCATGTTGATATGCCATGTAGACCCCTCGGTCCGCGTTGCCATGTTCAAGAATGGCGTTGCTGCACCCATGGGCGTGAGGTAAATAGATTCAATGGCTATATACACAAAGCTCTTTTTTTATTGACGAATGCTATTAGACATTTCAACGTCTCTCGTCCTGCTATGGAACAGTCTCCCGATGCTGAATCCGAGCTTCTTCGCCAACAACGCAAGGTCCGTCCCATTTCGCCTCACTTGAGCATTTACCAACCCCAGCTCACTTGGTACGGTTCCGCTGCTCACAGAATTACTGGTTGTGCTATTGGTGGTGGTATGTATACGAAAAGGAGGGATGTGTATGTATAGCTCTCTATATTGGAGTGCATAACCATGGTTGTTACCTAGGCTTTTATCTTGGTGCTCTTGCTTATCTCGCCGCCCCTGCACTTGGTGTTCAATTTGATACCGCCGCCATCATCTCTTCGGTTGCTGCTGCCCCTGTCGCTGCCAAGTTTGTTGCAAAGACTACCATCGCTGCTCCCTTCGTTTACCACTGCTTGAACGGCATTCGTCACTTGGTATGTTTTCTTTCTTTCTATACATGTGGGATGGTGATGGTGATGATGGGATGAAAAAAAGTTCAAGACTAAAGGATGAATGTTATTGGTGATAGGTCTGGGATACTACCAAATTCATTGATATCAAGGGCGTCTACACTACCGGTTATGCTGTATTGGGAGGTACCGTTGTTGGCACTCTTTATCTTGCATCCATGTAAGAGTATAGGAGACACAATAAAATTTCACATGTGAAAACCTGCGGTTTGTTCCGAAGCGAGTAAACGATCTTTCCTCTCTCTTTTTCTCTTTGTATCTCTCGCACACTTGAAAGGAATGGGATGAATGAATGGATGGCGATGTCTGTTATATACATGTGGGTAATGTAATGGAGATGGTTAGTATAATGCAATGCAAATCACACCTTCAATCAATCAACCTGCCTACAGCTAAAAGGTTTTTCCGTGGATACCATGGTACTAATCTTTTATTGATTGGAAGAGGAGGGGTATTGGGATGCTACAAGCTATGGGTTCAACGATATTGGATTATGTGTAGGTAAAAGGATCCCCTTTGCGTAACTTTTGCTTGAGATTGGGTAATCGATAGGACTTTTGTACCTTGGAACGCCGTGTCCTGGCGGATTGATGCAAGGGTGGTTCGACGGGTCGCTCCTGTTGCCTCATTGTTTCCGGTTTTCGCACCACCACTTCCTCTCGATCTCTTTCATTAATAGGAGACAACAACATGAGATATTTCCTCCATGTTTCCTTGTTGACACGTGCTGAGCTGCTCATCGTGGCTTGAGTCGATTGCCGTTGTTGCCGTGGAGACGATGACTTTGCCACTGGAGAAGAAGGAGAAGGAGGAGGATCATACGCCATTTCACTTGCCGATGCTGAGATCAAGCGAGTCGTATTATTATCATGCACTTGTTGTTCAGTGTTGGTTTCCTCTTCCCCCTCGTCTTCTTGCTTATCGTGTTCTTCCTTGTCGTCTTGTTGCGTTGTTGCTACCACTGAATCACTTTCGATATCCATATCACCAATGACACGACGTACTGCAGCAGCTATCAACCGATGATAACGAAGCACCGAACACAAGGTTTCTCGAAGTCGTACATTTTCTTGTCGCACATTGCGTATAGCATGCTGGAGTTGGCCTACATGATTTGAAAGAAGCGATCGGCTGTAGGCAAGTTCGCGATTTTGTCGACCCAACATGTTGCGATCGGCCGCTGCTTTCCGATGGCGATGCTAATGGAACCATGTCAACACACTTGAAGGTGCCTTTCTACTTGGTTGTTACCTCAGGAGAACGCATAGGCATATATCGAGTTGGTTTCTTGAAAGAGAGGAAAGAAGAAATGGATGTCGACATTCCCGATAATGCATGTCACGTGTACTTTTAGCCATTGATAGTACAATAAAAACGTACCTGTCAAGCAGAAATGAATAATGGATGCTTTTTTTATACCATCACGTGATGCCTACATATCATTCGATATGAAAAAAGGAGACAAGGCGCATGTATGTTTTGAAAACAAGGGGAGAGGAGACGCACGGGCCTGTGTCACCATTATTAGTACACTACACACACAACAAATATGCATGGGATAAAGGGTATTTATATGTATGCTTGGCTTTCGCAGGGAGAGGGTGGGGATGAATGTGAACACTAGCTATATAAAAACGTTCATCAAGCTATAGTATGTAAAACGAGTATACAAGGAGAGGAGAGTGATACAAGTGTATTAGATTACAGCATCATTGTTGTTGCTGTTGTATTGTTGGAGAAAGGGGTGGTGGTGGTGGTCATGTCATTGTTACTGGTGGAGTCGCATTCGTCATTATCACTATGCAATTCGTCAACATCATCATTATTGTTCTCTACCACGTCGTGTGTTGTCGGCGGCGGTGATGATGATGGTAGTTGTTGTTGTTCCTGCAAGTACAAATTGCTATTACTGCTGGAGGATGCAGGTGAAGGTGGAAGATGAGGAGGAGGAGGAAGAGGCAATGGTCTTGTACTTGTAGTAGTAGTTCCACCACCAGCTGAACGCATGTTAGCACTACCATGCTTTTCAAGATTTTCTCGTTTGCTTTGAGCAGCAGCCATGACACCTCGAGCAGCACGTGGTTCCATTTCTTCAAATTGTTGAGGGATGTAGTACTTTAACTTTTCCGAGCCAGGGAGATCTTGGATAAGCTTGGCAATGGTAGGATGCTTAAAGCCATAATAATCTGGACCACTAGCCGAATTACTATGCTCTCGATGTCTTATTTCGTTAGATCGCCGAACAACCACTGTCCAGGCACCCGTGGCTGAATTGGCAATGATGGGCTGGTCTGGCATGTCATGGGCGGCCACATGAAACAGGGGTCCATCACCTCCATCAAGAATGGTTGATACCACCACGGTGTTGTTTTTTGGATCAACCATACTTGGGTAGGTTCTATTACAAAGTGTGAGTATTACTACTACTACTACTACTACAACAATGCATAAGGGGGATCTTTATACATACCGCTGCACCGTAAATCCAACAGGAAAGATGTATCGCTCATTATGGAATGTGTCTCGATCGTGAACGATCTTGCCCAAGCTTACGACGGTCAAAACACCAATTTGTTGGGGCAGTTTAACATTGCCTTCTTCATCTCGCTCCACCGGTTGTACGCGACGTGCCTTGGTATTGTTCATCGTATTACGCACAACACGCGATCTTTTGGGTGGCGCAGAGGATACAGTGATCATTCGATCCTGTTGTTGTTCATGATGATCTACTGCTGCTCCTGATGATGATGATTGTTGTTGTTGCATTGGCGTTGTTGTGGAACTTTGACGACGACGACGACCTCCACGATTTGCACCACCACCACCACGTCCACCACGATTAGCACGAATACAAGAGGTGGAGGATGAGGAGGGTATCTTTGTTGTTGTCAATGGTGAAAGTAACATTTTCTCAATATCGTCGTCATCTGATAACTCAAGGTCGTCTGAAAGAGAAGGTGAAACAAGGTGATGTTGTTTCTTTTCTTGACGAATACGGGCAATGTTTTCAAGTAAAATGCTAATGATGGGAGGGTGTGATTAATCCATTGTATCACTTTATGGGAGGGTGATCAAAAGTACCTGCGTTCAAGCGTCAACAAACGCACTTTTTTTTGAGCTCTTGCATATTCTTGAGAGATGTTTTCATTCAACTTTTACACACAACAATCAGTCATTGATATTACAGCAGCATCTATGTGCACTCATTCAATACCTCCATCATTTCTCTCAACTTGCGTTTGAGCATTTTGTATTTCTGCACATTGGTGGCATCATCCATTGTTCTTTCTGGTGAATTATCCAAGGAAGGAGGGTGAGGAGGTGAAAAAGAGGAGAGCATATTGTGTGTGGGAAAAAGGGAATGGAATAAGAAGAAGAAAGAAAAAGAAGTTGACCAGAAGCGTTTGTTGAATGAAAGAAAAAGAAAAGATGGATCAAGTGGTGGGTTGTGTTTTGTGTGCGTGTGTGTGTGATTGTGATTGTATATTGTTACTATTGGGTAGTAGTGTAAGTGTGGGTTTCCCATTTTCTCCTTCGTCCGATGCTTTATCGCCAAATAGTAATCTTCTTCCCACCTCGATTCTCTTTTTGGTACTCAAAGGAGAGAGAGACATGCAAGGAAAAACGACACGCAAGAGGTACCCCGGATATGCGCCCATTGACATTGCGAAAAAGATCATCCACTATACTGTCCCCCCCTTCATCCTTTGCTCTCCCATCCAATAGAATGACGCACACACTTTTCCTGTGGTATATAAAAGACGACTCCATTTGCTCATTGACTCCATCTGCAATTCAATCGAGTGGTTTGGTGGTGGTAGTGGACGATAATAACGCCAAGTGGGTGGGGGGGGGTTGGGTTGGGTTTACCAGTGTTCAGCTGCAAGATGCAAACCATCTGCATCAACCAAGGAGAGAAGCTTGAAACAATGGGATCCAAGCATATACAACACCGATAGTGCAAAATCAAGATGCATCAACGATTCTATAAGGTATCACGGGAGGGAAGATCAGGAAAAGAAGCTAAAGTGAGACAATAGCGGGTCTCCTCCGAACCGACCCGTTCCTTTGGTTTGTATATAGACGAATGATCGACAATCTTGGATATGTACATACATACAATCATTCTTTCAAGAGTACCTTATTGTGAGAGGAGCATCATACATTAAAGTGAATCCCCACACCATATGACCTGCTACTAGGATGGATGATTCGTGTCACCTAGTACTATGGTTGTTATTGCTATTCCATCCTTACTTTCACTTTAAAGGAACATGCTTCTGATGATGGGATGATGCTGTTATATAAAAAGGTAGATTCATACCATCATCCATTTACTGTTTAATGAGTTTTATATACACACTAAGCGGTTGATTTGCTTGAATGAGGAAAATTAAACTTTTATGGTAATGAGCGATGCCAGATAGCAATGATGGTGTAACATGCTAATGGACTACAAGGATATCTTTTGGAGCTAATATGGTGTAGTTATCATACAACAAAGGATTGGTATCCAAGTACATAGATCATAGAAGGGATTAGAGGGCCCGGGTCAAAGTTTGAGCGTTGTGGGTGCTCACTTATTATGAGCGGATGATGTATGTCCATAGCCTAGAACAACCTCTCTTGCCACCTTTTTTTTCTTTACAGCTTTGGGGGGGGGAGAAGACCTACTCCTTCTTCTTTGCCACTCCCTTCCTTTCTTGTTTCATATATCTTTTGCATTCAACTCATGCTCGTCAATCCGGGACGACGGATAACGGCCATCGTTGTCGGTTCCTTTCTCTGCATTCTCTTTCTTCTTTTCAGTCATTCCACCTCGCATTCACCTCACGATCAATACAACAACAGTAACAACAACAACCATCAAGCTTTCCCATCATCGCCATCACCACCACCACCACCACCACCAGCCACAGTCAACAACAACAACAATCAAGACATAGACGCGATCCCTGTCATTTATCCTGAACCGTTTGCTCATCACCAGCCTGCTGCTGGAGAAAAGTATATCACGTATCTACCGCACTCTGGATTCCACAACCAACGTATCGAGCTTGAGAATGCTTTGTTACTGGCATCCTATCTTAATCGAACGCTACTGCTGCCGCCAGTGTTTTTGGGCAACCCTGCGATGCCATGGTTACGCTTTGACAAGATGTATGAGCGCCTCCTGTTACAAACCAAACGTGGATTAGAGCACTGTCCACAAATCGGATCGGATGAGCCGCTTCCTGCCGAATGTCTCAACTATTTTCGATGGACCAAGGTGCCCTGGACGTTTTTTTACGATTTGAGCGAGATTGAACAACATGTGCGGATTGTATTTCGAGATGATTTGAGTGAAGAATGGCTTCGTGATGCGCTCAAAGTACCCAAAAAGGATATTCATTTCATGAAGGACATGTCACCTTACGAATTTCGTGTCTATGATCGACCTGATTCACCTACGCCTTTGGCCAAATTTGTGAATCGCATCGATATCGCTGCCTTGGAAGCCATTCAAGAACCCGTCTTGCATTTCGGCTCGGTGTTTGGCACGTATCGTGTATTGGCACAAACGGAGGAACATGCACAACTGTTGAAAACGATCCGATCCAACATGATCTTTAACCATCCTGTATTACGTGATACGGCGGCACGTGTTGTCAAGCAACTGGGTGGCGTGGATCAGTTTGTTGGATTGCATGTACGTGTCGGTGACGGTCTTTTCAAGGTGCGAGCGTCGATTCATGTGGATGACATTTATCACAAGTTGGTGGATCTATTCACGGATTTGGATGTGGATCAAGTTGCGTACTATGAAGGATATCGACATGATGAGGATCGAAAGGAAAATGACGAGTATGAAGTGAGGCAACTACGCAAATTCACTGAAATGAACAATGATGAGCTCGCCAAACCTATTCAAGTCAATCATCCACAAGAGGACATGTCCCATATACTTGGTTCGGCACCTCCATCCAATTTGGAACGCACATGTCAACCACCAAAAGATAGCACCACCATCCGATTCCAACGCACCGTGATCTATATTGCTACCGATGCTCCCAATCCTCGATCCAATCCGCTCTTGCAAAAGATATTTGCTACCTTCCCTTGTGTGTTCATTCTCAACGACTTTGCAAACGAGTTGCATGATCTTAAACGCATCCAAGTGGTCGAAGAGAGAATCAAGCTTGAATCCTATCTCATTCCTATGGTGGATGCCATGATTGCTGCACAAGGTCATACTTTTATCGGTACGGCGGATAGTACTTTTAGCACCTACATTGAACGTCAATTACATCCTGTTTATACCAATCGTCAAGTCAAGGTCATGGGTATCGGATCAAGGAAACAGAAACAACAATAAAAAAGAACACCTTTTTTTCTATTCCATTTCTTTAATAAGGTTGTAGAGGAGTCATGATACATAAATATCATAAAAGAGTTTAAACAAGGATGATGCGAGTGATATGGATATATATATATAAGGATGCGTTGTGAGTGTTGATGATCGTTACTATTACACACTAATGGATCATTCTTGGGGTGGCAAGGACAAGACACCTGTGATCCAACCACCTGCCATTTTAAACACTGTATTGGATCCTCGTTGCCGTGAAAATCGTAATGCGACCATGGTCGTAGCATTGGTACCACCCCCACCAGGTCGTTGCTCGATATCAATCGAAAACACCGCCAAGCTATCCTTTTTCTTAATTTGCGCTGTCTGTTGTTGTTGTTGCTGTTGCTGTTGTTGATGATGATGGCCATGATGTTGTTGCTTATCCGATTTCTCGTCCACTGATTGACGTGCCTTGGCTCGACCAAAAAAGGAAGTTGTCATGGATGATGTTAAATGAGAAATAAGAGGCAATGACATACGACGATGTCGGAATGGCTCTGAACCAATAATGATTTCATCCGTGCTACTGGCAGCTGTACTGCTACGTGTACTGCTACGACTCGTACGCCTTCGCATCTTGGTGGGTGGGGGTGGGGGTCGACTATTGGAGGATGTCCCATCAGGTTTCTTGTCATCTTTGGATGGCTCGCGTAATGTAAGCACACATAAAAGACGTGTAGGACTTTCTTGTGAATAAGTAATCCCCATCAATTGGCATGTGTGTTTGAGCAAAGTCATAAAATCCTTTTGCAGACTCGAATGGTGTTCTGATTGGGTGTTGTTGTTGTTGCCATGGGAATGATCACCCAAAGAAGGATGGGATAAGGTTGTGCTTGGTGATGATGATGTGGATGTGCTCATATTGGAGGAGGATGACAAGGAAGGAGGTGGATGGAGTTGTGATGATGACTTGTAGTTGACATGGAAACAATACACTTGACTACGGGTCAAACGTTGCATCATATCGTACAATTTGAATCCGTTATTGCTGCTGTTGCCATTGGCTTTTTCCACTTCAGATGGCTTTAAACGTAATGCTAGTGCTGTGCCACCCCATCGTTCAGCGGATCGGATACCAAGTCGTTTGGCTCGTGCACGAATGGATTGAAGGAGCTCCGAGCGCAAGATTTCAATGTTCTCATGTTGATAATGATAATGATGCTGATGGATCCGGTGGGAAGGTGGTGGATTATGTTGCTGATGGTGGTGGTGACAATTAGTAGGTGCCATGCCAGTGGTAAAGTAAGTGGATGGATTAACAGGGTGGTAGATGATGGTATGCTTGACACTGCTATGCATGTTTGAATCATGTTCAAGGTCTTTCATAAATTGGCGACGTGCACGACGTTCTCGTTCCTGCCGATCATTGCTACTTGATTCACCAAGATCATCACCCACAATTTCATCATAGGCGGTTTTAGGGACATCCGAAAAGGGGCATGATAATTCGCCATTCTTTGTCAGCCATGGATCATCTTTGAGTGCTTGTCGTACGGTCATACGTTTACGTCGATCGGTCTGCAGGCATTTGCGAATGGTAGTTTGTAGCTCGGGGCTAATTGAATCAGGCATTTTGTAGTTGCAGCTACACACATCACGTTTGAGCTCGCCCACAGCTATGTAATAAAAACCATCATGAGTCTATTAAGAACCTTTTCTTTTTCAAAGTGATGTTCTCCCCCTCCTCTTACTGTGTGCATGTGAAAATGGTTCATAGCCAGACGTCATTCGAAAAAGTGCAATGCCAAGACACCAACAATCCACCTCGGGTCCAAAGTACTTTTGTCCAGTGATAATTTCGGGACTGTAGTAGAGCATGGATCCTGAAATGTCACAAAAGTAAATACCATGTGTGTGCATGATAAAAAGTTGGTACCTTACCACAAATGGTCTTGAGCCGCTGTAACCCAAACCGGTTGCCCAGGCCAAAGTCAGCCAACTTGACCACGCCATCCGGTGTAATAAGTACATTGGGTGTCTTGAGATCACGATGGACCACCCATCGATTATGGCAAAAGTAGACAGCAGATACCATTTGTCGAAAGTAATGACGTGCCTCATCCTCTTTAAGCTTGCCACCTTGTCGATGCAAGTACTCATCCAAATTGACCCCAGGAATGTATTCCATCACAAGGAATAACGAGTCGCATGTTTCAATGGTTTCGTAAAGCTTGACAATGTTTTCATGATCCAACATCTCCATCAAATAGATTTCTCGTACAAGCCGTGACATGACTCGGTACTCATGGGCTTGTTTGTCAATGATCTATGGGCATAGAAATCATAAGCTAATCAATCCACCAACCCTATAAAGATGTATGTGTAAATGTATGTACCTTGATGGCCACTTGTTTGCCAGTGTCACGGTGCCTGGCTAATACAACACGGCTAAACTTGCCACTACCCAGTGGTCCATGGAAACGGTAGGGCCCAATACCATTGAGCAACGTATCTTGGTTACCATCAGGAGGGGTCACGATGGATGAATTGGATGAAGGTGTGTTGTTGTTATGAGTATTGGCTTGTGGTTGTTGTTGTTGAGGAGGAGATGGGGTTGTCGGTGAGGAGGCTGATGGTTGATCTTTAGGCGTTTTCTTTCTGGTACTACCAAAATTACGCCGGAGCGATCGTGTCACGCTTTTGATCGTCATTGTATTCGCCACTTGTCAAAATAAGGGAGGAGATATTTGATGCTAAATGGGAGGTATAGGATGGCGTAACGTAATCGAAAGGAGGAAAGAAAAGACCACGACGTGCATAAATGTTGCGTGCGGTTAGAGATGGGATAATGGGGGATGCGGTGTATGCCTTAGCGTACCTTGTTGGATTTTTTTGTATGTGAGCGTAGTATACAACAAAGATGCAGAGTGGTGTAAACTGGTTAACAATAACACAGGTGATGTTTGATTGCTGGCTTTGCTGTAAATGGGGGTCGTTGTCGACAATGCCCTTTATCCACAGCTGAGTCAAATAATATACAAGCGTGTCTAGATGGTGGCGCACAAAGGTCGCAGATGTATATATAAACAATAACGAATTTGTTTTGGTGATGACAATAGGTGTGGTGGTGATATTATGCGTTCACGTTTTTATCTTGGCCGACTGAGATTTTGATGCAGCAGCAGCAACAAAATAGAAAGAGAAAGAGAGAAAGAGATACACAAGAGTGGGGAAGGTAAAGAAAAAAAGAGGCGGTGAAAAAGGAAAAAAGGGGAAGGTACTATACAAATAAAACAGACGCACCAAGGAAATTGAATGTTACAAGAAGCTTCCACACACTCAAGTGGAAAATAAGATGAATGAGCGAAAGAGAAAGGGAGAAGGGGTAAAGCAGCGGATGAGGAAAAACGGGGTGATGTGTGTGTGTTGGTATGCATCAACAGTTACAGATCGACCAATGAGGGGGCTATAACACAAGGTTCCATGTATAACGAAAGCTTGATGCATCTTACCACACACACCCATACACGCTGGTAAGTTTCATCATACTGTACACACCGCTCACTATCTTTTTGGCATCAAGATGATTCGCTTTTTGTGTACATTGCTTTCCCCCGTCGTGAACAAAAACAATAAACAAGAACCCTGATCATGCATTTGTTCCACCAACAACATCACCATAACCCTATGAATGTGTGTGCATTGACGCCTTTCGTTATCACTTTCCATTCAGCTGTGACGTTGACACACAATCATGCGTGACGACGATGAAGATAGTGATGGGGTGTGTGTATGTGTGCATGTGTGGGAAAGCGTTTACAATCAAAGAAAAAGCCTCACATACACACATGGTGACCTATTTGCTTGCACGCGTATGCAGGCGTGCATACGTGTATCCATGGTAATATCCTCAACCCCCATCCATATGCATCTATCGTTTCCATAAATGGGTAAACGTGCCACGTGCGTCGGGTGGCGAGCGACATCATAATCATCTCCTGCTTGCTGCTGCTTGGCTCTCTCCCTTTTTTTTCTTCATTTATGTGTACACACACCACCAGTCATTGGGATTTTTTATCGTCACTGGTGGTGTGCGCGGAAAGATGCATCCGCAAATCCGAAAATGGGCTTTCAAAAATCATTTCTACAACAACACAGGGATCACATTACATGTACATCATTCATCATCAGGAGGGGATGATGATTCGTAATGGTGTAGTGTATATGACCTTTTTACTTTCCCTCCCCCATGGATGGGAAGAATGGCGCCATCAAGTAAAATGAAACAATCCAAAAGTATTATATTAAAAGGTATATTGTTGTATTTTAGAAAAAGGGTTCTTCTCGGTGTTGTTGATGGGTTAAAAAGACCAAGAAGTTGTATGATGGGAGGATTCGTGCTAAATGATGAATGGGGGTCTTGTGATACCATCTCATTGTTTTAAAGCACCAAGGTAGCAGCAACGACAAGGGCGCCACCCAAAGCAGCAGCCATGGTCTTTTCAAGACGACCAGCGGCATTTTCATCAGGGGAATCGGATTGAGCAGCCTTGGATGCAGAAGCAGAGGAGGAAGCGCTCTTGCCAGAGGCAGCAGCACTACCACTAGTGGCAGCAGCAGCAGCAACGGAAGCACCATTGGCTATTCATATTCATTGTGTATTAGTACAGCTCTCACAAGTGGATGGCTATGTACTAGTACTTACAGGCAAGGTGATAAGGCTTAGCGGTGCCATTGCCCTTAAACTTGAAGACACCAGAATAGGCCCAGTTGTTCTTGTCAGATTGGCCAATACGGATCCAGTAATCACCCGAACCAAAGTCATTCAAGGGATAAATCTATCATTGAAAAACATCGTCAGTGCCATTTTCATTGTTGGGCTCCTCTCCTATTGTTTATGGGGAAAGAGGGGGTGTTGAATTTACATACATTAAAGGCATCTGCAGAGCACTTGACAGGTGACTTGGGGTCGGTAATGTAAGCAACCATGCTATTATTATTGTGTCCAGCGTCAATAAAATCAGTCATCAATCAATCATTTTATGTGTAATACATACTTGGAATTGCTGCTGTTGCCGTTCATCATTTGAATTTCACAGTCCAAGTTGGCATCAGCCGACTCGTGCTTCCAGGTAATGTTACCTTGACCACCAGCATTCTATGTAAAGGATGATAATCCCCATTCGTTAGCTAGATGCTCCCATTTCTTGTCGCTCTCTCTCTTTCCCTCCTTAGAGCTCAAAAAGATGATGATAGGGGATATGTAGAAGGGGATGGGATAGAAAATACATACCCAAACATCGCTACCCCAAGGGGCAATGACCTATTTCATGACAAAGGGTGGTTCAGCTCAATTGCATGTTTCTACATTGAGGATGATAATAACATACCGTAATGGTGGCGGCAGCGTTAGTAGCAATAGCGGCAAGAGTAGCAGCAGACAAAAGGAAAGACTTCATGGTTTGCAATTGAGAACGAATGGGAAGGGTGATAAGAAAAAAGATGCCTTTTGAAAAAGGAGAGGAAGCGATTAGATGCTTTGGGGTGTGTGAGTGTGAGTGTGAATGTGAAAGAAAGAGAGAAAGAGGAGAGTGATGGGTTTTATATGAGTAGGACGTGAATTTATTGTCGAGAGAGAATGGGGAGGGATGCAGGTGTACGTATCGTTATTGTGGATGTGGATGTATGCTTGTGTGGTGTGTGTGTGTGTAGGTGACACGGGCGGTTTGAGCGGGGTCGGAAGAAAAAGAGCAAAACAAGTGTAATATCACGTTCTCTGTGATCTCGTAAAAGGATCAAGATGAGGATTGAAAGAGGGAGGGAAAGAGAGAGAGAGATAAACTTTTCCTATTGAAATCCTTAATGATGATGACTCGCTTGTTGATTGTAGAAAAAGCTTCATTCAGGTACACGTATATACAACAACGGGCCAAACTTGATTATAAGGCAATATCATTTATGCTCCTCGTAGTGGTGGTAGTAGTAGTAATGGCAGCCATTGCTTCAATACATTCGTGTGATGTTGGGTTTCTTGGAGCGACTTGATCAATGCGGTAATTGTTGTGTCCCTGTTATTTATAAACATTAATATATGATCAGGTGGTACCAGCACACGACGTGCTACCCAATTACCGTTGTTGAAATGGAGCACAGCATAGGTCTTCCAAGGACACTGTCCAACAGCGCAATCTGTTCCTCGTGTGACATGCGATTAAACTTCTCAGCTGAGACACCCAAAAAGTCCTGGAACGAGAGATCGTGTTAGCCTCGAATGGTTTGGCCCATGTCCACGTTCCTGCCGTGATTCCGATAACACAAGGGAAATATTCCCTTTTCTCGGATCCCCATATTCCTCGTTTTCTTTTTCATTCCCTTGCTTGTTTACCTCGTCGCAACCATAGCTCATAATCGTACGATCACCACCATCGTCAAGTTGCCATTCAATCCATCCAATATCGTCTTGGGTGGTGGTGGCCACGGATGGCTTGCTACGAAATGCTTGTATAATTCGACTCTCTGGCACTGGACATTTGCAAAACTCGCACACGCGCTGCTGCTTCTTCCCCGAGCCGCTGTCGCCATTTCGTATTTGAATCGGTTGTCGGCACGCTGAATCTACATATGCATATAGTGTCAAAACATGTTCTCACCTACCAAACCTGTCAAATGCCAAAAACTCCACTCCCCCCAAACAATTCATAATACGTACGAGCGTCATAGATGACTACGTCTGCTGGTGTATCGCGCCTACGCCATTCATCGTTTTCATTTGATAGCAACACGTGCTTTTGGGTACGCAAAGTCCATCCTGTCACGAGTATATCCACCTGCCATTGTCCTTCAGCACCCAATGCATCCAATGGCATCACGCTTCTCAAACAACTACTTGATAACAGCGCCTTGATCTTGGAAACTATCATCATTATCCCAAATGAGTCGGACCATTTGAAAGATAAGGAAATATTACTTACTATTGTAGACTTGAGTGCCGCACATGACGCTCCCATTGATGAACCAAATCGGACCTTTGGGACCCTTATGCAAGTTGGATGTGCTGAGACCTGTCAGCAATACATAATGACCAGGCTGCAGCTTTCTTGCACTTCGACCCGTTTGCTCCCATAATGTCACATCCGTTTTCCCTTGAAAGTAACCATGGATGAGCATTCGTGTGCCTCTACATATGCATGTAAAAAATCTTACCCGTGGAATCCTTGATCCGCATAGCATAACGATCCATTCGTGTCTTTTTCTCGGGATCCTTGTAGAACGGATTCTAAAGAGTTGCAAGTGTTAGCCAAAAGAAAAAAGAAATCAATCGCATCACACTTGCATTGTTCGCCACAGCAATGACACGACCCAGTATTGTAATGTTGAGCATGCACGGTTGCAAGTCTTGGATATAGATACGATCATGATAGGTGGCACAATCCATGAATCCTTCCTCATCCCGTTCCATGATGCCAATTTTGCTGCTGGAGCCAAGCTGTTTCCATAAATCATTTGCACTATCGTTGAAGCTGTTGCTGATTGAGCCATCATGCTCCACCTTGTGTACACCCGCTTGCAATGCATCCTTGTCAGACATGTAAAATAAAACAGTGTCTTCAGTGTACTCGAATACAATGTCGGATCGGGATTGTTGGCTCTCGGTCCGTGCGTAAGGGAATCCAGGGTTGAACAAGCCAATGTAATCACCCTAACAGAATAGGGTTTAGTTCTAAAATGTATGGCATCGGAGCGTCATCATCATCACTTACTCGGCCTAGCATGCCAGCTAGCTGTGTTTGGGTATCATAAAGTGATAACACGGCAGGATCATTGTCGTTGGTCATATCGACTACAAAGATATCGGTTCGCCGTAGCTTGCTTTCCTCGCCATCACCAGCGTTTGGTGCAACATGCTCTTGTCTTTCAATATGAATGATCTAAACATGTACAAAGTTATTACGTTATCTTCCTTTATTCTATACCTTTCATACCTTAAGCCAGAGCTTGTGAGCTTTTGGTTCTGGTTGATGTGCATGTTGTATCACATTGCGAAGATCTTCAGTGAATTCTTGGCGGATAAAGGATGCATCTCGAGGCTCCAGGACAAACATCAATAGCTGTGTTGGTGGTACACGTGCAACTCGCAATAGTCGATCCACATCCTTGTTGTTGTAATGTGATTGCTGTGGTGCGTTGATCTTTGGTTCACAATACATCCGTAGCGTGCGGTTCTATGGCGTGTGTGATGTATAATAAGTAAATGTAATATTCGACTTGGCCCATCCAATCCCTTACCCTGAGAAGTGGATCCTTGTTTTGTAATGAAGGCCTCGCCTGCGATAGCCATTGATTAAACTTGGGATGCATATACATGTCCAGCACCATGTACGATATGTTGTCAGCCACAGTAACGAGATAGATCTCAGATCCAGGGATAAGCTTCCATTCCTTGACGACCACTTCCAAGGCAACAGGTTGTCGATAGTCGTATACTGCTTGAATGGTGCTGTAGTCTATATAGATCCAATCAGTTGACATGATATGGGTTTTCATTGCTATGCATCTCGTTTACTTGTGCTCAGGCCCTTGGTGTATTTGAAGAACGCATTTTCCCACTATAGGGTTCGGCACCTTGTCAGTCTTATGTTTCTACACGTAAAGAAGTACATGACTCACTTGCAATTCAAGCTGTCCAAGAGCGATCGTATCGGTCAAGCCTGTAGCGTACTCGGTATGAAGCTTTGCGAGTGATACAGCCACCCAAGACCTGGCATGGAGAGAGAGCGATCAGTTAGTTGATCGTATAGCGTAGGTGCGGTTTCAAGGCGTTACCAAGGAATCAGCGATGCGGTGCTCCATGACTTTTTCTGAGGGTTCTTTTTCGCCTTTCGTTCAAAGATCTGTTTCAGGGCAATGTGCAAACGATCGACGGCATTACTGAATTCCATAGGTGCCACGAGTGTTGCTAATAGCTGCTAAAAGTGGGAAGAAGTGGATCACGCGACATGCTGCTCCCCCGCAGCCAATTTTCAATTAGATGGTAACCACGCAATCCATGCAAGAAATGCACAATAAAAAAGTCTCTTTTTATATACATAATAATGGTGTAGGCAAAAGTGTGTGTGTGTGTGATTGGGGTGTGTGTGTGTGTGTGGAAACGAATGATGCAATGGTTGATGTCTTGTATATGTGATATGGGCGTAGGTGTGAATAAATGCGATTTCCTCTGTGTCCTGCTCTTTAGGTTTACTCGTCCATTTCCATATTCTCGGCCTTTTGTTCCTCGACCTTGGCTTGTTCGTAACGCTTTCTTGCTTCCAAAGGTGCAAGCTCGAGGTTTTGGTTGACGACTCTAATATCATCGGCCTTTTCAATGTCGTGCTTGCCAGCCATACGGTTGCGATAGAATGCCTTTTCACGCTTGGCACGAATTTCTTGTACACGCTTCATAGCCTTGACAGTAGTGGCCATAAGGTTACGATCATAACGAACAGGCACGTTGCGACGTTTCTCGAATTCAAAGGTAGAATCCTATCAAGGTATTAGTTTCCACCCTATCACTATCAAAGACTTTGTATACTTACAATAACCATTTCCTTGCCAGCAGCCTTACGGAAAGCCTTGGTCCAACGCACCTTACGGGGATTGCGCTTCATTTTGAAATTCTTGTGGCACTTGGATCGGCAGAATCGAAAGGTCTATGGGGTGAGCCAGCCAGCCAGCCAATCTTTGTATGAGTCGCTTCATTCATGGATCCACACGCATTCAAAAGAACATACCTTGGCATCGTTTCTGACAAACATCATGCCGTGCCCAGGATAGCAGGGTCCAGAGCAAAAGTAGCAGCGATCAATATGCATGGGGGGCCGTAAAGTGAGAACGAGAGGAAAAAGTAAATCGATCGGGTTTGAAAGGCACGCCGAAAGAGGAACATAAACCTCGACTTCCAAGCCACAACATCCTGCATCACGTGCACACCATCTACTTGGCATCTCATCCATGAAGATCATGCAAACGTAAATGAATAGACATATGCTATACCCTCATCTAAACAATAAAAATCATGCTCTTCATTATGTCCAATTGAATCATGTAAGCTTTATCATAAACGTAATCTCTCCCTTGTATATGAATCCATGATACTATCAAGCTCTCTCATCATACTGTTTCCGTCTTGGCACGGGACGTAACCTATTGAAGCAATAGAGCAAAACGCAGCACTGATGATGGACAAACGACATTTTGCTGCAAGCAACGACTACAACGTAGTTCAACTTTGACCACTGTAAAGTGATGTTCGATATGCTGCTAGCTACGTTACACATTTTGACCCAGGAATAGTACAACAAAAGGCCCTTACGATACAATAGAACAATGTTGATGACTAACATGATTATAGGGATATCTACAACGCTATCTAAAGAGCTTCATGATAGTAAACGTACGCTGTAGCTCATCGGATACTGAAGACTAGTTGTAAAAAAAGCGTACAAGTCACCAGCCAGCTCAAAGAAGAGCATGAAAAAGGTAACCAAAAGCCTAGGTTATATGATCGATCCAGCGATTGTCAGGTTAAACGAAGAACAGCGTATGTATGAGCATTGTCGCATACAGAAGCCATTCCGGTATAGATGCCTTTGCATACAATAATGATTCCCATTATTGTATCAATCATTGAGTAATGATATGTACACTTATGAGGCTAAAGTGGGTATAATAGGAGTGATAGCTGTTGTAATGCATGATGATGGAGGAGGAGGTGGAAGACCAAGAGTGCCCATGATGATGAAGCACGACGTTTTTAATATACAAAGAACAATGAAAGATCTCATTTTTTTGTGCATAGACAAGTTCTTATACATCAACAACTTTTATGGCACGTGCCAACAAGTTTATTCAAATCACAAAAGCAATAAGACCAAAGGTTGTGCAGCTATCATTTCCTCTCCGATGGTTGGGTAAATTCCGAGTGATGGTTCATAGTCACCTAGGCGCGCGGGGGGCAAGAAATGGGGAGCCGCTTTGTCGTTACAGTCGCAACCACTTTACAACTTGTGAAAATATGCCTGGCATTAGAGGCACGTAACTTGTCCACCCTGATTGAACCCTGATGGAAGCCTAATGCAACGCATTCAATAGGAGCAGCTGGTGGAGGACGACGAAAGAGAGGAAGACCACCATTAAGACGACACTCTGCAAGACACACCACAAGCGATGAGGTTGCTGATCAAGAAGCACAGCATGCCAGTGACGATAATACCGATCACGACGACACGCGACGTACACGATCTACACGTAAGCGGCCGCGATCAGGTCGTCGCAGTGCAACACCAGCCAATGACGATTCCGAAACGAAACGCCGCAAAGAAGAAGCTATCAAGCAGGAGCAGGCTGCGTATGAAAGCGAGAAGGATGAGGATGGTGAACAAAAGGTGGATAAAGAAGGAAGATTACAAGGAGGTATGCATGTATATATGACAAAAGATAGGATATTGGGTCTTGGAGGTTATATATATATATATTGATGATGGTCCCTGTTTTCATTATGACAGGAAGGGAATACAAGGTGCCTACATTTACGCTTCCTACACGTGGAGATCAAGTGTTTATGTTTGCCATGGAGCCTGCTCGTTTATTGAATTATCGCGACAGTTATTTATTCTTCCACAAGAATCCAGAGTTGGAGCGTGCTCGTTTGACAGAGGATGAACGCAACTGGCTTGTCGATCAACGTTTACTTGTTCATTGGTTCCGCAACCGTGATGTTGCTGTCGTCAGTGCTCGCTCATGCTATAAGAGATTTGGTCATCGCGTGGTCAAAAAGGGCCGTCGTATCATTGATGATTACTTTGAAGCACGTGCACGAGAGGAGGGTATCCCTGAAGGTGAAGAGGAGGAATCCGAATCAGCAGCAGCAGCAGATGGAATGACATCCATGGGTCGTCGTGCTCTTATTTCACGTTCAATTCGTTCATCTGATTATTCTGCCAACACACCCATCACCAATTCCACTTGGATGCATCACGCCGCCCTTGCTGTTCGTGGATTCAATGCACAATTACATGAGCGTCGTGCTGAAAAGGCGGGTTTCTATGACATCCATACAAACATCCAACAAATCGCTGCATCCACTCAGCCTACCCATTGCAACTTTGAATGCGTCGACTCGAGCAGCAAAAAGGAATTCAATGTGAGCGATTTGCAGTTTGATGAGAAACCAGCATCATCGGTTGTGCGTGGCATTGGCAGCGATCTACTGGATTATGATATTGAAAAAGTGCTTGAGTCGGTTGCCGATCATGATGATACCAGAGAATTGGTCAAAGCAAGGATTGATGCCCTCAAGGTTGATTTGGAACCCAAGGCTGTTGATGATGACGATAAGAACTATCCAATTGCAGTCATGGATGGCCAATATCAAGGTTCTTTCCCAATGTACGTATATACATGAAAGAGATGGTATACATCGTGCATTAACCATCCCTTTATTTATATAGCCATTACACGAGATTCAAACAACAAGATCCTAAGCTTGCACCACCCTCTGCCCTTACGTCTACAGCTCAATCCATTATTGCACAGCAACACTATTTCAGTCAAATGTACCAAATCATGAACCAAAGCCTTGCATCTTACAATGATCAGCAACAACTTCATCACCACCAGCAACCCATGCATCATCAACCGACGCCAACGCCACCGCCACCACCTCCACCACAACACCATATACAGACACCACCATCTGCACCTATACAACCTCGACCCATGATGCATCATGCACAACCCTCACCACCCATATCATCACAGCCACCAAGCAGGCAACCTATTTTGGTAATTATCAATTGCACACACTTGTAACCAAGGCAACATCATGCTAAAGGAGAAAATTTATATAGAGAGTGGTACCACCCGTAGAACGACGTACATGCTCTGTTGAATCTTGCAAACAACCAGTCATGTTTCCTGGAGAAAGATGCCAATTACATGCAAGTCAAACTGGCACACCGCCCCAACACCCCATTATACAACGTGGACCGGTAAGTTCACTTCTATCCAATCCTAATCGATTCAAGGAAAGAAGCTAAATGATGCTATTGGAATAATAGCCACCGGCAACAACCTATGCAGACAACAAATGTGGGGAATGTCATTATCTTAGTGCACCTTCTGAACAATTATCCAAGGATGGCAAAGACGCTTGCGATGCTTTCCACATGATCAAATGTGCCAAATGTACCCGAAAGTACCACCCTGCTTGTGTTCATCTCAAGACGCCAAGACAAGTAGCAGCAGCTGAATCATATCCATGGGCATGTGCTGAATGCAAGATTTGTTGTGTATGCAAGAGTGCAGGTGATGAATCCAAGTTGATGATTTGTGATGATTGTGATCGAGGATGGCATACCGATTGGTAAGTGTGTGTGGATTGGATCCCATGACAACAATGGCATGCTTATGTTGTATTTTTCATAGTTGCAATCCACCCGTGGAGAAGGTACCTGAAGGATCATGGTTATGTCCACTCTGTGCCGATTGTCATGGATGTGATGAGCATGGCAGTGAGAAGGAATACAAGCATGCCGTCGTACCACCGACCGCCGATCGCAACAAGTATCCAATTTACCTCGCCACATTCTGCAACAAGTGTCACAACAACTTTGAGAACGATCGCTATTGTCCAGTGTGTTTACGAACCTTTTCAGAAGAGGAGGACAATGATGACGAGGACAATGAAATGGTGGCATGTGACCAATGCGACCATTGGATCCATACGGGCTGTGATGAAACATTGACGCCTGAGCGGTACCAAGCTTTATGCGACGATGAAGATGCAAAGTACTTGTGCCCACTTTGTGCAGATAGTGTCAAGCCAATTCATCAAACAACAGCCGCCACAATGGCACTCAAAAGTCAAGCACCCCCTAGTGGTGTCACCGTTGGTATTGTGGGTGGAAAGGTATGTAAAGGAAAAGCTTAATTTTATTTCCAATTGGGATGTTGACATTTTTCATGCAGGTTCGAACGCGTGGTATTGTGCGATACAAGGATCACAAGATTGCTGCACCGGAGATCAATGGCACTGGCATAGCGGAAATGCCTTCTTTATCGTCCAAATGACATCCATAATTCACTATAGTAGTAGTAGTAGTAGTTCTCACACACACACACACGCTTACTCTCTTTTCCCCTTGATATACTCTTTTTCTCCGCTGATGATATAAATGTACAAAGACTGTTTAACAAAGACTTGGTTGTGGGTCGATTCTTTCCAATGTGTGAATAATACACAAAGACGATCACTATAGCAACCCGTTGACAACATCAAATCACATGCTCAATTGTATAACCATGATCCATCATCGTATTGGGAGATTAACATGCTTTGCTGTGTGTGTATTTTTGTTTTCAAAAACCCAAGATTACATACAAGAAATGACTATGTGAAGGGGGTCTGTTGTCAAAGGGGGGGATTATAGGAAACGTTGAGGGGAATACTACAATGGAGATGATTTGGGTGTACATGTGCATGTGGTTGTGTGGTTGCGTGTGTGTGAAATTGTATATGTTTTTGGAATCTTTTTACATGATGAAGCATCCCTTTTTGGCAGCAGCAGGCTCTTCAGCAGCAGGTGCAGGTTGTTGTGCGGTAGCAGCTTCCTTGTTTTGTGGGGCAGCAGCAGGTGCTGGAGCAGCAGGTGGTACTTGAGGATTAACATCGCTGGCGGAAGGTGGTGCGGCAACAGCTGGTTGAGGAGCAGAAATCTTTTGTGCAGCAACATTGGCTTCAGCTTCAAGACGAGCAGCTTCTTCGGCAGCCTTCTTTTGAGCAGCAATACGTTCCTCTTCGGCCTTCTTTTGTTCAGCAGCCAAACGTTCCTCTTCAGCCTTCTTTTGTTCAGCAGCAATACGTTCCTCTTCAGCCTTCTTTTGTTCGGCAGCCAAACGCTCCTCTTCAGCCTTCTTTTGTTCAGCAGCAATACGTTCCTCTTCAGCCTTCTTTTCAGCAGCCAAACGCTCTTCCTCAGCAGCCTTTTCAGCAGCAATACGTTCCTCTTCAGCCTTCTTCTCAGCAGCCAAACGTTCCTCTTCAGCCTTTTTCTCAGCAGCAATACGTTCCTCTTCAGCAATACGAGCAGCTTCCTCTTCAGCAGCCTTCTTTTCAGCGGCAATGCGTTCCTCTTCGGCCTTCTTTTCAGCAGCAATACGCTCTTCTTCAGCCTTCTTTTCGGCAGCAATACGCTCTTCTTCAGCCTTCTTCTCAGCAGCAATACGCTCTTCCTCGGCAATACGAGCAGCTTCTTCAGCAGCCTTTTGTTCAGCAGCCAAACGTTCTTCTTCAGCCTTCTTTTCAGCAGCCAAACGCTCTTCTTCAGCAGCCTTTTCAGCAGCAATGCGTTCTTCCTCAGCCTTCTTCTCAGCGGCCAAACGTTCCTCTTCAGCAATACGAGCAGCTTCTTCTTCAGCAGCCTTCTTTTCAGCGGCAATGCGTTCCTCTTCAGCCTTCTTTTCAGCAGCAATACGCTCTTCTTCGGCCTTCTTCTCAGCAGCAATACGTTCTTCTTCAGCAATACGCTCTTCTTCAGCCTTCTTTTCAGCAGCCAAACGCTCTTCTTCAGCAATACGTTCTTCTTCAGCCTTCTTCTCAGCAGCCAACCGTTCCTCTTCAGCAGCCTTTTCAGCAGCGATACGCTCATCGTTGACCTTCTTGTCAGCCACCACCTTGTCAACAATGCCATGAATATCAATAGCCTTGCCAGCAACAGCAGTGGAGATAGCGGCAAGCACAGCCTCATCCTTTTGTTCAATCACCAATTCCTCCTCTTGTTCCTTATTGGCTTGTTCAACAGGGACTTGTTCCTCGGGCTTGGTTTCCTCGACAACAGCAGGAGCAACCTTTTCAGTAACAGCTGGCGATGCATTGTCGCGTTCTTGCTTTAGGGATTCCAAGATGGCGTAAATGTCGAGCGAAGCCGACTTGACAGCGGAGGAGATAGCTTCTTGGACAGCAGGATCGTTAAGCACCACGTGATTTTCGGTAGACATGATATAGATTTGAAATAATAGTAAAGAAAAGAAAGAGAGATGTTGTGCGCGTGAATAACAAAGAACAAAAATAAAACCAAGCTCTTGTCGGACGACGGAAACGGTCGGTGATGATGGTCCCAGGCCCTTTCTGGATCCAATGATATCATCTCTTTTTGGACTATCCTCTGAGAAACAAAAAAACCAGGCCAACAGTTGCTTCATATCTCTCTTGCCAAGACACCCACAACACTTACAGACACAGGCACATGCTCTTTTTCTCTCTTTTTCGTTTTCAATGAATGTCTTTTATTCATGAGAAAAAAACGCGTTTAGTATGAGCATGCATGTATGTGTATATATGCAAGATTTCTACAGCCAGCTTTGGTGCATGTATGTGATTATGCAACCCACACCCACGCATACACAACACACAACATACACATCGTACGGATCGCCCCACCGAGAAAAAAGAAAAAGAAAGCACCCACATCATACAAACATTACAGATTTTAGTGCTATGTGCATGCCACCCTTTCTCACTCTCACTCACTCTCTCTCTATGTCATCTGATCCGACACGAAAAAATGATAACTTATCCTGGATACGTGATATCACACGACCAGATCTTTCTATATCTTCCCATTGTTTATCATATCACGTATAAGAAAGAAGTACATCAACAAGTGTACCCGGGTGGGTGGATGGGTGACATGACATGTAATGTCTCACCAGCTCTGTGTACGTCGTTATTATATGCTGGTGCTGCCGCTGCTGCGTGCAACCGATTATTCCGTTCCGTAATAATAGAACTTGTTCCGCTCCTATGTTTTTCTCTTCCGGTTAGGTTGGTCTAGAGCAGCCTCTTTCATGGATCATTTTACCACCCTAACCATGTGATGCTCTTGTCATTGTTGTCAATCCCAAATGTGCTCTTTGTTATATAAAACCCTTTCTTTGTAACGTGCCCTCATTCTTATTTGGGTTCTCAAAAAGTGATTCATCACTTGTACCACTATAACCATATCATAGCGGGATTTTATTATTCTTGTATCCGTGTACCCGTATCTAGTTTCATAAAAGGAAAGATTGCTCTTTGTTGCAGTTGACTGGATCATTTCAAGTATGATATTCATTGTGCGTGTAATGAATGAGATGTTCATCGTCGAAAACGAGGAGGAGGACCCCTTTGTAAATAACGGGATATTGTTTGGGTGTCAGGGCAACCAGGGCCCTTTTGCTGACACGTGCAGCCAATCAAATCAAGGTGCTACGAGTGGGCTCTCTCTCTCTCTCTTTTTCTGCCAACCTTAACCACCCGCCCCTAAATTGTCACGTTGCCGCACACCCACATACACGTACACGCGTCCTTGACTAAGCATGACAACCACCGATCCCATTCCATTCCACAAGCTCAATGAACCTTTGAAAGACATTGTCGACCCAACTACAAATAAGAATGTGGCCAACATTGTGTGTCCCATCAACACTTGCAAATGCGTCATTATTCGAAAAGGAGCTGCCACTTTGGTTGAACGTGTAGAGAATAAGGTTTGTTGTTGAGGATCGTTTGGTAAAAGGCAAGAGGGAAATGGTTGACATGGAAACGTTTATTGCATAGTTGGCGTTACCCGAGCATGTATTGCAAGGCGTGAGTGAGCAACCTGATGATGAAAATGCCGAGGGCAGGACGTACTTTTGGCACTTGGGCAACATGATGGATTTCGAAAATGTGGGCTTCTCAAAGACTGTGGATACTACAAAGTATTTGTCTTGTGCAGACTGTGATGCTGGACCTATTGGATATCATGACACCCAAAGTGACCCCAAGGAGTTCTTGGTCAATGTGCGTCGGGCTCGTTATCAATTCTAGACTGTAGCTTGTCTCTTTTTATTTCTCAAAAATATACTGTATACCACTTGTACTATAAGAAATTGTCTTTATTGATGTATTGGACTCTGCGGGTGATATCTGGACAAGGACATGTGGTATGATGTAAAAGCTGTCAAGAGTTGATCGCCTTCACGTGAAAACAACCATCGCCGTATCCCTGGAAACGGTTACAAATCTCTCCCATGCTCATTGGTGTCCCATCAACTTTCTTTTCTGAAACGAACGCTCACATACACAACGTGTTTTTTGTGGAATTTGAGCAAAACAAGTGATTCATGATGTTGTCATCTCATACATCATCTCTTTCTTTTGTCGTATCGCTCTTTGATTGGTGACATCTTCAAGATCCAAGTTGATGTGAGGAATAATACAGTGGATAGCCCTTGTTGTAAGCGATCCATATGTGTGGTGATTTTTAGCGCTTCATTGTTACCCTCTTCTTCAATACCACTGTTGTCATTGTGATGTTCAACCCTTTTATTATTAAGTAAACACGATAAAGGAACAGCATTGCAAATTGAATAAGATGCGTGTGAATCATAAAGGGGCATCACGGATAATTGTCCTATTGTACTCTTGGTTGGTGCCGTCGTAGACATCCTTCATCCATGATTCCAAATTCGTTGCTGCATAATTTGTCTTGAGTGCTCCAGGATCATGTATGGCTGCACAACATCCTTCGTCAAAGATATAAGCCCTTTGTCAATTCCATCCAATCCATCATGATCCTCTCAGCCGTACCCACGAGACACGATCCATCGTTCCTGCTGATTGACGCGCCAGGCAACCAAACCAACATTCCAAGGTCTCTCATGACTGCACTTGATTCCATTCATTCACCATAATCATCTGCTTCCTTTTCTATCCGGCTGTTGGTCTACCTCGCGTGGTCATTTTCTACCCATCGCAGCTCAACCAGGCGAAGATTGCTTGTGTTGCGGTGTACTTGATAGCTGACATGATATCCAATCCATAAGAATCCGTATGCATCAAAGCTACTTGCTGCACGGAAGAAAAAGCTGCTCCCATACAATGACTACATGCTTTTCATATAATAAAGACTGCAAGTGAAGAACGACGTTTGAGACGATGGAATAAAGGCCACGCAAATAGCATATGTTGTTACGTATGATCGCGGCAGAGGAATGTGCAAGAGCGTGTGTTGTAGTAGAGTGACAAGGTCGTTTAAGACAATGGACTAACGACCTTTCTAATGCCAACTGCTGAATTGAATGCTGTTACGATTGGTCGTGGCAGAGCAGAATGCAAGAGCGTGTGTTGTGTCAAGAGACTCGTGTGTTGTAGAAGAGTGACAATAAGAAGGCTGTGTACACGCCATGCACTTGCCCTTCAGTCAATGACGATCGGATCAAGACAATTGTAGGCTCGACATTGATAGGTTGAAGCAGGATAATCGTTCGCAGGTGGTAATTGTATACTGAATGGAGTAACAGTTGAGAATGGGAGGAGGAAGAGGGAAGAAAGTGGGAGGTGGAAGAAGTGGAAATTAATCATGCCTAGATGACACTTCCTTGTTTGACCGTTGCTCATTCCAGTCCTCTCGGATCAAGAAAGTTGAAGGATGGACATGTTGGGCTGGTGCAGGACAATCGTTCACATGCATTGTTTTGGGGCAACAAAGGTGAATGGGATGAATGGGCTATCAAGTGGCAGTTTACAAATAACTTACCAATTTGATTCTTCTCATTTTGGATGATGTTTTTGTGTTTGAGCGTAACTCGGTCAAATCCACTTGGATCAAGAAAGTTGAAGGATGGGAAGATGAGCTGTAGCAGAGGAATCATTCGCATGCATTGGATCGGGAAACAATGCTGATCAGAAGGAACTGGCTGTTTACTACCAATGAATGAACTGGAAATAAAGTTTGTGTATCGGTCATGCATTGTGCTTGAAGCCCTGACTTGTAGCTGTGTTGCACAAACTAGTCCTTCTGCATCTTTAGCTCTGGTATGAGTAAGGCGATTCGCAATGAACAAAGACCACCCTTCATATAGCATCACGCGTACAGCATATGTGAAATCTAAAGGTGCCTGTATCTCTAAACTTTACAATCAAACGTGGGGTCTTTAATAGAACAGTGTTGCTCAGCGGGGTCAAAGCGATCTTGTGTCAAAGTATGAAGTTCATCGTGCCCAATCCCAGATTTCGCAATGTCGCTACCAGCCAAACTGGATCTGAGGGCCGACCTCTTCGACGACGACGACCCAAAAAATATTTTTTGGGCTAGTTGCGACATTGAACGTGAAACTTTCACACAAGGTGCTGTTGGCCAAGCCGAGCACACTGCTGTAATAAAAACCCCACGTTTCATTGTAAAGTTTGGAGATACAGGCACCTTTATGTTTGTAAGCATGATGCTATATGGGAAGTGGTCTTTGTTCATTGTCAAGTAGCTGGACCCTGGAGAGCCAAAGATGCAGAGGGACCTCTTTGTGTAACTCAGCTACTTTGCATGACTGGAAGGATGGAAGGATGATACTGTATACTGTTGACAAAAGCCCGTACATTGCGAGCTAACAGCCATTTCTTCACAATATCCACTGTTGTCCACTCTATGACATGTGAGCGATTCTCCTGCTTCAGACATTCATTTCCATGATTGGATTATGTTGATCCGAGTTGATTTGACCGAGATACAGCCAAAGACGGATTACATCAATCCACACATCTAACCATGCTCTATGTTGCTCTACTGAAGTAACCTTGTATGAGCGTAGCTCAGCCAAATCAACTCGGATCAACATAATCCAATCATGGAAATGAATGTCTGAAGCAGGAGCATCGTTCCACTGTCATAGAATGGGCAACATTGCCGATTGTGAGGAAATGGCTGTTAGCTCGCAATGTATGAGATATTGTCAATAGTATACAGTATCATCCTTCCATCCTTCTAGTCATGCAAAGTAGCTGAGTTACCCAAAGAGGTCCTTCTGCATCTTTGGCTCTCCAGGGTCATACTACTTTACATTAAACAAAGACCACTTCTCATATAGCATCCCGCTTACAAACATAAAGGTACCTGTATCTCCAAACTTTACAATGAAACGTGGGGTCTTTAATAGAACAGTGTTGCTCAGCGGGGTCAAAGCGATCTTGTGTCAAAGTATGAAGTTCATCGTGGCCATTCCCAGATTCACCTCATGTCGCCACCAGCCAAAAAATATTTTCGTCGTCGTCGAAAAAAAATTTGAAGAGGTCGAACCAATTTGGCTGGCAGTGACATGGGGTGAACCTGGGAATGGCCACGATGAACTTCATACTTTGACACAAGATTGCGTTGACCCCGACGAGCAGCTTTGTTCTATTAAAGGCCCCACGCTTGATTGTAATTTTCTGAGTTACAAGTGCCTTTATGTTTTACTATGCTGCAAGCGTGATACTATATGAAAAGTGAACTTTGTTCATTGTCAAGTAGCTAGATTCTGATAGAGCCCAAGATGTAGAATGACTTGTTTGTATAACAAAGCCGAGCGGGGAGGATTTGAAAGATCAATCTTTATTGTTGGAGTGTGCATGATGGTGTTGTAAGGGATCTTCAGGCTGCAGTGATGCTCAGCGAGTACGCTAAATGAACACCACCCACACAACGGTCGATAAATGCATGATGATGAAGAAATGCTCGTGGTCCTCCATCAATCAACAGGCAACTTTGGGGCAATGGTGGGTACATAGCTCTTTCTACCTCACTGCAAAATTATGCAAAGGACCAGCTGGATCTCTTTTATAAAAGGGAGGCGCGACATCCTTTCAGTAGTCTAGTATCAAGAATACCATATATACCTGACGATGGCCATTACATCGTACCTACTACATTAAAGTATTCGTACATCACATTAGAAAAGTCGAGAAGTATGCCATGTAAACAATTGTTTTATTTCGGATGAGAATCAATTGGATCTAACCATGAAGAACTTGCTATACCTTGTATAGATCTGAAATGGCCATTGAAGGAAGCATCGACAAAGGCCAGTATATTGTGTCACGTGGATTTTGGATAATTGCGCTCTCTCTCTCTACTCTACTCTTCTCTTTTTGTTCTCAGTCAGTGCTGCTTCAGCTTTTTATGCATCAGCATACTCCACCATTCGCGCCACGATGGATCCCTGGGCCAACAATGTGCTCATGACAAAACGCTGGTTTTGCGTTGAGATGACCGACGATGTGTACTATATCAAGCATTACTTTGAGTCTACCGATTACTGTCTCTTGGTGACCAACCTACGTCAAGTGTGGAGCGACACAGCTCATGCGCCCGACATTATTGCTCAAGCGACACGGCATCATCTTGATATTGACAGCGACGATCAGGTGGAGCAGTTGCTTACAGAGCTATGGGTGCTTTTGAACGACCTGGGTCGTTGTGAGTTTCAGCGTGATCATCCCCATGGAAACCGTCGTAAAGATGTACTGAAGATTGTATGCAAGGAAAACAAGGGAATCGCATCACTTACGTGGACCTTTGAGTGCAAACCTGTGGATGATGCTTCGGCTGTTTTGTACGACCACTTTATCTCTCCTATGCTATGCATGATGTCAAATAAAGGTATGTATTTGTTCACTTGTTATGGAAGGTTGTGATCTAATACTGGAACATCTAGAGGGCAATGGCAAAAAGGTAGGCGCATACCCACTGGTATAGGATGGCAAGAAAGCTCACATAGGGTTTGTATACAGTGCTTGGATGATGCATGGTTGACGGGATTGGCAGCAGCGTCTAAAGCGATGGTAGATGAAGCGGCTGCTGCTGCTGCTGAAGCTGAAAAGGAAGAGCGTGAGAGTAAGTCTTGAGTGGATGGATCTTTGACCTTTTTGCTTATTACCTTCTTGAAATTGTTGTAGGTGTACCAGAAGATGTCCAAACAAAACAAGAGGAATCGGCTTCACCGAGTATAGCGAGTTCTTTGTCATCATCCCAGAACAAAGAGACACCCGAGGTAAAACTTATTATCTACCACCTTGATGAGATCATTCATCTATGATATGTAGTCAATCGCCGAGGAGGAGACAAAGAGTAAAAAGCGGCTAGAAGAGGAGATTGATGAAGAACGACGACAACATCGACAAAAGCGAAAGAGGGTGTTTCGATAACCGAATAAGCATTGCATCATAGCAAAATGACCAGCATAATAAATGGAACGTAGACAATTGGAAAAAGGTATTGTGATAAGAGATTGGTGATGGATATTACCACCTGGCCTAATTTGGTTGTATGGGCGACCATCACACCTACCAGGGCATGTTTGAAGAAGTAACAGGCAACCCCCCGTTTGATCAAGAACTCATGAAAGCAACATTCGAATCAAGTAAAATGACCCGAAAGAAAGACGATTGAGAAAAGAAGCGTGTACAATAGCTTATGTGATAGATCCTGCTGCTCGTTGGTATTATGAAACAAGTTGTAGATATTATTGTGTACATAAAAGGGGGATGACCAATAATGCAATTAATACAGATGCGCTATACGAGTAATGGATGATGTTAGTTAAAGGGTGATGAAAAGGGATTCTACATGGTAGCTGAAGGGGTAAAGAAGCAGTTTTCTTTGGTCAAACGATCGGTGCTTGGCAATCGAAAGGCAAGTTCATCCTGGTCTACATCGAGCCAATGGTCTCGCTTGCTATCCTCACAAGGTGATGGTGGAAGATACTCTCCGGACCCATTGATCGTTGACAGCTTGAATACATCGCTCATGGAGTTTTCTCGCAAAGCCAATGTCATCGACTTTGGTTTTTTGTTGGCCATTTTCGCCTTTTCTTCCATCATGGGCTTGGGTGATGTTGCATCCACCAGTGGAGCTGTCTTGTTGCTTCTCTGAAACAACCGAGCAGGACGGCTTAAAAGAGATTTGTACCTTGCAGGTGCTGCTGCTGCTGCTGCTGCTGCATCAGCCATGGTTCCTTGCTGTTGTTGTTGAGGAGGAGGAAGAGTAAGGGCTGTGGACATGATGCTTAAGAAAAGTAAAAGTAAATGGAGAAACAAGGGGTGGTAGTACTGGTTATTGCTGGCTCGCATTGTTGTCTGCGTTTTTATCCTTGAGAAAAGAGCGCTTTTGGGGGGGGTGGTAACCAAACAACGCCATTCCTCAAATGAGTTGTTCACGTGGATATTGATAGCATGGTATACTGTTTGTCCTGAGCTTTGCTCATGTACAACAACATGAGTGGATCGATCGGATAAAGATGGAGAGGAAAAACTTACCGGAAGCAGCCGGCTTTGGGTCATTCACCCCATTTTCGATGATGTAGTAGACAATGATTATCCATCGCTTTTTGCAGATTCGTTTTGATTTTGTAAGGGCAGGATCAACGCGGGAAAATGTGTATGTATGTATGTATAGATACAAACACGCGTGTATGTAAATGCATGACATGCTGCAACCATGACTTCATTGTTAAGGGGCAATGCTTTTCCCCAAAGATGGAGCTTAATTGATCAAGCGGAATTTTCTTTTGGTCGATCCGTTCATGACAATGATACATCCCTTTTTAAAGTACGTCCATATCTATTTTGAAAACGAAGCATGTTTATCGGCTGTACGGGGTCAAGTGATATACAATAAAGAATGCCTCGACCCATAATGTGGAAGCTTTTCTGAGACCTTCTTTTATTATAGTGATCGAAAGCGGTATTGGAAATGAGCAACATAGATGGCTTGAGCGAGCTCAAATGACGTCTTGCTACGTCCTTTTTTGGATGGTACGATGAGATGTTTATTCCCACCGCCCCACCAATAATGTCATTGGAGCTGATGTGTTTGCGTGAGTGGAAATGCCTACTTGTACACTCAATGATATAGAAAACTCGGTCGATAAGATGATGATGATGAGTGGTGCAATATTAAGGATATGTAGTTTACCCGTCGGAAGCTCGAATGTTCTCGCCATGCAAAAACGTTGGTGCAACATGAACACCATGGTCTGCTGTTATTCTTGGCTTTTACTTTTCATTGGTCCATTAGCTGAAGAAAGAAAACACACGACATTCTCAATTATCCATGGCAATAGATACATGGCATTAAAAGCTCTTTTATTCAATTGGGTTGAGTATGGCTAATAACAACAAAAAGGAAGAAAGTGTGTGGTGTAGTAGTAGAAAGCATCACCCATCATGTTTTTATTACATCACTCTGATTAGGACTGAACAGGGCGGGAATCGCCGATATGATGGTGCCTTTATGACGTGTGTGTGTGTGTGCGGATCGATTTTACAAACGACGTGATTCAACCATTACTTTGGATGTGCTTGACCGGAAGGAAGAGGGGGAGGTGAATGAATTCTCAGTTGTGTACAACCATCACAGCGAAACATCTGACGATGAATGTCCTCTTAGTCCTGATTGGATGAAACGCGACAATGCATAAAAGTTGCATGACAACCCCCATCACCGCAACCATTGTTTATTCAATTCAACTACTCACACGCTATCTACTTTCTCTCACCCACGACCTCGCGATTTCTCATGCCAAGACAAGTCACCATTGCCATTAACCCCACCTGGGATGGAACAGCCAAAATCATAGCTTGGTCCGCCAGCAATTTCCTTCGACCCACTGATCACATTCGTCTTGTCACCATTCTGGTACTCGATCCTGAGTTGGCTGATCACGGTGAGTTATGTATACAAGCGGTTTGTGTTATGAAAAGATGATTAACAAGATGAAAGATTGGTATGTCGACTCTGCGGTGGATGAAGGAAGCATGAATGATATGGAATCACAGGTAATATTGTTTGGTGTGGGTCATATCTCGGTCCATTTACTGATAACGAGATATGCAATGGGATAGCTTAAAGCCAAGTTTACCGATGGATTGGAGCAAATCAAAAAGGTCCTCAATGATGCCGGATTTGATGATGTGGAGGATTTAGTGCTCGTATCAGGACCATCAAGCCCTTGTCAAATGCTCATTCAAGATATCGAAAACAATCCACCCGCTTGTCTCATTATGGGTAGCCGTGATCTTTCTCGATGGAAACGGTAGGTAGAAAACAACATTACATTAAGAGCCAAAAGATTGACCCTTTCTTTTTAGATTTATCATGGGAAGCTTTGTTGATCAAGTACAAAGTAAAATCCATTGCCCAATCCTCATTGTCAAGTAGGCCCCTCCCATCCTATTTCCCATTTCTTTCATTGTTTCATACCCTTCATCCCAACATGTAAAATTGTAATTAGCTGAGGAGAAAAAAAAAAGGAATATAATGCTTCATTGTTTGCTTTGAATGTTGGGGTTTTGCAAAATAGGGTGACTATATGAGAGAAGAGGGAAAATAAAAAGAGCAGATCCAAGACTTATCGCTTTCTGGTGACACGTGGCTTGACATCATCATCACGAACGGCATGAAGGAAGATCTTGTTGGTATTGGTGGGAAGAGCAAATTTGTATCCCTAAAACGGTAAACGTAAGCAACATTGATTCTATCCTTTCCAAAGACATGACATTTACCTTGGACCAGTCGTAGCTGATAGCATAAGCAAAGATTGTTCCGTTGCGATTGAAAGTAGTACATGGAATGGTGCCATTGACGTTCGAAAAGGGCTTTAAGCGTTGCTTTGAATCCTTATCCCAGAAACTAACAGTACCATCCGAGCCCGCTGTTGAGAATGTGCCATACATTGGGTGGAAGCTGATTGCGTTGACTGAAAAGACGTTTTTGGATTCATCACGATGGCACTTGAACGAGAAGTTTTTACTATCAAGCAAATAGTTTAGCCATCACCATCTTCATGTATATAGTAGTATCTTGTATATACTTACGATTGATCCTTATCCTCGACATATTGAATACCAACACGACCTTCGATCGAACCAATAGCATAGCCCTTTTGATCCGGGAAGCATGAGACTACACGCGTTTGCCATTTCAAAGGGGATGTTGCTTGCTACAATGACTGAGTCAGATATACCTTTCACAAACACAACTTTTCCAACATACCTTGAAGATTGTAGTGGGGTTATTGAGATCAAAGATGCACACGCTCTTTTCTGCACAACCAACCACCATGAGTTGACCCACTGTATCCATGGTATAGCATCGATCCGGCAATTGAACGGTACCAATAGGCTGTGGTGAACGTAGATCCCAGTATTTGATTGTCTTGTCCCAGCTGCCGGTGGCGAGAATAGGCTGCGGTTGATCGAGGAATTTCACACACTTGATAGGCTCGTTGTGCTGCGCAACTTGGACTGGTTGACCCGTGGTGACATCAAACATGCGAGCTGCTTTATCAGCACCACCCGATGCGATCTTGTTGCCGTCCTGTTTGGAAGAGGGAGGGATTATCGCTTGGTTTTAGTACTACAAAGGTTGACACGCATTATGAATCCCAACACAAACGCCCTCCTCCTCCTGTTGATGTGTTTTCAAGCCATTCCCTTTCTTACCTTGCTCCAAGAGACACATAATGCTGGACCTTCATGAGAATAAGATGCTTTGGGGATGGTACTACCATTGGGCTGTACTTCGTATATCCGCACCTGATAGAATGCTGTAAGTAACCCCAGGAACCACTCTATAGATATAGCTCAACCTACTTGGTTGTCCCATGAGGAGACAGCAAGGTAATCAGCTTGTGAGGAAAAGTCCATGGCGGAAATGCCATCGCTAGGTGGAGAAGCAACCTGTCAAATAGAATGTTCCTTAGCAAGCAGTTCCAATCTGGTGATAGCGTGCTCATCATGAAGCGCATTCAATATGGCATGAAGGGTGGTACACTTGCCTCGAAATCTTTTGGATCCATGGTCACTGAATGGGAAGCACTAATACAAGTAAAAAGGAAGAGGGAAAAAAAAAGAGGTCGCGTCTCTCTCCCTCTCCAATGCGCCGACATATCACCTGGTCAAAATAGACACCCACACGTGGAGTAATGCATAGAACACGCACAGCCCGATTCTATGTAGCCACGCCAATACCAACCATTATCTTGTGAATAAACATACTATATCATTAATGCTATACGTAACCATTTATTGAGAGTATAAAGTGCAGCAATTGTAAAGGCACATCAAGACATCGATTATCACACAATGATGTATCCATAAGCATTGTTTTTTATTCGAGATACACAAGGAGAATGCACTATTTAATTACAAATGTCATATTCAGAAGCATGCAATATAGTGATTTTGTGGGTAAATGGTTGTTATAAAAAAGAGCACACACGCTGTTTATCGCCTTCTGCCATTGCGAGGCTTAACATCCTCATCTCGTACAGCATGCAGGAACACCTTGTTGGTATTGGTGGGAGATGCAAACTTGTATCCCTAAAACGTAATGTAAGTAACCTTGATTCCATCATATTCAAGAAAGATATTTACCTTGGACCAATCATAGCTGACTGCATAAGCAAAGATGGCACCATTACGGTTGAATGCGGTGCATGGAATGGTACCATTGACACTTGAGAAGGGCTTTAAACGTTGCTTTGAATCCTTATCCCAAAAGCTGACTGTGCCATCTGATCCAGCTGTAGAGAAAGTGCCGTAAGTTGGATGGAAGTTGATTGCATTGACTGAAAAGACGTTTTTGGATTCATCGCGATGACACCTGAAAGAGAAGTTTTTACTATGAAAAAAAAGAGTTAGCATCATGCATCATCATACACGCTCCTTGATCTACTTACGATTGATCCTTGTCCTCAACATATTGAATGCCAACGCGACCCTCAATCGATCCGACTGCATAACCCTTTTGATCCGGGAAGCATGATACCACACGTGTTTGCCATTTCAAAGGTGATGTAGCTTGCTATCATAATCGAAAAAAGACCAGTTAATATGACAAATGTGAATCCATTTCCTTGACGCCCACACTTACCTTGAAGATTGTAGTGGGATTACTGAGATTAAAGATACAAATGCTCTTCTCGGCACATCCAACCACCATAAGTTGACCCACTGTATCCATGGTATAACATCGCTCCGGCAATTGAACGGTGCCAATAGGCTGTGGTGAACGTAAATCCCAGTATTTGATTGTCTTATCCCAGCTGCCGGTGGCGAGGATTGGTTGTGGTTGATCGAGGAACTTTACGCATTTGATCGGCTCGCTGTGTTGTGCTACTTGAACTGATTGACCTGTTGCGACATCAAACATGCGAGCTGCTTTATCCGCACCACCTGAAACGATCTTATTGCCATCCTATTCAATGCACACGTTAATACCAACACGTACGTTTTCAACGCGCCTTCTCCTTTTTTTACCTTGCTCCAAGCTACACATAGCGCTGGACCTTCATGCGAATAGGATGCCTTGGGTACGGTGGTGCCTGTAGGCTGTACCTCGTATATCCGAACCTGAACATTGGTAGTACGTGAGTGATACACTGTATATTACAAGAAGACTATGAATGGACTTACTTGATTGTCCCATGACGACATGGCGAGGTAGTCTGCTTGAGACGAGAACTCCATGCCTGAAATGCCATCGCTGGGCGGTGAAGCAACCTGTGACAAACAAGAACCAGCCATTAGCAACATGCACTCGGTCGATCGTATGGTTTTATTGAACTTGCCTCAAAATCCTTGGGATCCATAAGTGTGTGTGTGAGTAAGAAACTGTAAAAGAGAGGGAGAGAGGAAGAAAAAAGAGACGTGTTGTGTAATGTACCTCACATAGCACGGAGTCTCAACCGCAGTATCATCATAAAGAAACTAGTAGTATAACACGCCATTCATGCTGCGGCGTCTTGTATATAGAATTTTTATATGTTCTGTTCTACAACAACAACAATAAAAGTGGATTCACTAATCAATTACGTAAGGGGTGATTGGGAGATGTAATCGAACAGAAAAGAGCAAAGGGTAGTTACAAAGTAAATGTACAAAAGAGAGGTGAGGAGAAGCAGCATCATCAATAATGGTTGTTGTTGCGGTTCATGCCGCTGTAGACGGTAGATGCGCTCACTGTGGCTGTGCTACTGTTTGCCTCGATACCCGAATATTGACTTATTTGGGAATGCCTATTGAGGTGTGAGGGTGATGAGGATACGAACACAGGTAATACAGGTTTGGGTGGATGATGAGATGGATCATGGCTACTAATATTATCATTAATGATCTCTTGCTCGTCCATCGTTTGTTGATGCTTCTCGTTGGTTTCAATGGGTGGTGGTGGATGCTTTTGAATCCAGTTCTTCAGCATTTGCACCTGAACATTACCAAGGAACAACCTGTTACGGGTGCTAATGTAAGCAACGATATGTAAAACAATCGATGTCATCAATAACTTACTGCATGACATGATACATGAGTAATGGTAATGAGAGAACGCCAACAACACCATAGCTGCTTGACGAGTAGATGACATTGATCAAAGGGATACCCATGGACACTGTCTTGGTGGCTCCACAATACTACATGTTGTTGTAAGGTTAAAGCTTGTTGGTATCTTGATTCTCTTTTCTTACCATAATAGCTACTGAATCTTGACGTGAAAACCTCCATTTTTTAATCCACCGTGGTTCATAGGCGAATGGCCATGGCACACGAGCTACAAACAAGCATAATCCGCAGCCAAACAAGTACATGAAGATATCCACAAAGATCATAGCAACAATATCAACGGCCGACATATGATCAAAGGCATGGCTTGCCACGCCATCGCAAAACACCGACCACACAAGGAAGAGGAGAGCAATATTATTGATGATGGGAAATCTCAATTTGGCTGCCGTCTTTTTGATGGGATCAGGAAAGTAAAAGCGAATGATTTGACCCACCACAAGTGGCAATAGCACTGTGAATCCAAGCGTCTTGAGGACATTCAAGTAATCTGGATTGCCCCTTGGCGTTCCTGGTGGAAATACACGTGGATCTTGTTGGAACACTAAAGACGATCATATAAACAAATCGGCACGCAGCACATCATCAGTATCATTATTGACACCTATTTTTATCCATCCTATGTATGTGTATGTGTACCTGACATGAGTGCTGGACAAGCAAAAATACCCATGACATTACCAAGGGCGGCATTAAATAAGGCTATGGATACAAAATTAGCAAAAAAAAGGCATTGGATGCATACAAAGACATACCTGCGCCATCGTTTCCTTTTGCATTGCGGGTCATGACGACGTTTGAAGAAACGGTCGTACTTGTAGAAAGGGCGATCATCCACCCCTTATACACATCTGTATTAAGCGATGCTCCAGATGTGATAAAAATAAGTACAATGCCATACATGAGAAACGGCATTGCCAGAAAATTAATGGCTTGAACAACGAGATGAAGACGCCACTGGAGAAAGGTTTTGAACATGACACGCACATCCAAACCAAGACCTGATAACAAAAAGATGATAATCACACATCCCCATTTGACAGTGTATTGTGCTTGGATCAGGCCATGCGTTTTGCCTAGGTCTGGGAATCGCCATGCAAGACCAATCATAAGACCAAGACCAAGCAAGAACCAGTACTTGATAAAGTATGAGATCGCCACAGCACGGATCCGCTTCATGTATTGCTTCCATTTGTTCCCCTTGTTGGCCTCCTCCTTTTTGGGATCGTCAACGCCATCAATGTGGCTATTCGTTGGCTCCGGTGATGGCGTATCCGAACATGTTTGGCTGCAACGATGTTGACGATGATGGTGACATGAGCATGAGTCCTGCATACACTCTTCATAATCATCATCGACACCACTTTGATAGGCTCTTGTTTTTCCCTTTTCATAGGACATGATATCAAATTCGCTTTCTTCCAACACCGTATCCGGTGGCATGGATGACCGATTGTTGATCACCGTACTGCTGCTGAAAAATCGATTGCTGTAAAAATCGGCTGCTCTTGGTGATGGCGCATACGTCGTGTAATCGGTCATCCCAGGTGTATTCACGATGATGTTGCTACTATTACGACCACCAGGCGAATTGGGTGTCTCAACAATAATATGGTGGCTCATGCTGCTACGTCGACTGGTTGGCTGTGATGATGGTGAAGGGTGGTGTTGCTGTTGTTGGTCGATCTCATCCAAAAGCTGTAAAGCAGCAATAGAGAGCCGCCGGTCATTCGATGATGGGTTTTGGTTATCGGATACATAGGTAGTCGTAGATTCCCCATCACCAGCAAGATGCCTTGTTTCAATGATAATATGGTGCACGGATGTATTACTGCTATTGGTAACATCTTGCTGTAGATGTAGACTCGCTCTTCGAGACATGATGATGGCTGCTGCTGTTACCACAAAAGCAACCTGCAACGCTCGAATTTCCCATCCTCGCCATGTTTATATATACCCAAACTAAAATAACAAGTTTTCTATAATCCTACAAGAAATGATGGAATATCAGAGGGCGTATCATCGCCATCACGCATAAGGGACAATGCATAGTGTGTGTGCTTTGCTGTTTCAAATCGCCCATTATGGCAAGTGTGCCTCCTTCTCCTCTCCCCCTTTCATCTCTATATAACTATACTGCCACGTGTAAACGTATGCATTGCAAATAAGGTCTATGCAGCTCAACAGTGGCGCACGTAAGAATCATCGTTTGTCAATAATATGCACCACACATACATTTCTTTGCTCAGCCAACTTTTGGCTATAAAAGTACCTTCTCCCCAGCAATAGAACACTTTTACAGATATAGATGCTGCTGCAATAGTATCCAGATCAAAGTTAGATAAGCGATATCGGAACAAGTGATTGTATTGTTAGGAGGATGCAAATAGCGGTAAATAATGCATACTCAATTGTTTCGCCTTGATACAACATGAACAAACCACCGTCTCCATCTCCTCCCTCTCATAGCTAACTTTGTCCAAGTTTGTTACGTTATGCATATTCTCTCACACTATTCGCTCTCTTTGTGTGTGGTATTTACTATTTGACAGCCACCCAGGGATGCTAGGGTAAAGACAAAGGGATGACCACCCTAGCAGTAGTGTGCTGCAGCTTAGCGTTAGTGGTGGTAATACAACTGCTACTAGGAGTCGTCAATCATAACAACACTGTGGCCTGTTGTATATGAGGATGATCAAAAATCTTGAAACTGCAAAGGAATTCACCAATGATGAAGGAAAGAAAAAGTCATTAAAACATGCATAAAAGAAGATGGATCGGATCCATGTTAGTGGCTCTTGGCTGGTATGATAGGTCTTCATGTTGAGCGCAAAATTGATTGTTTTCCTCGATTCGCGCGCTCTAGTGTAACCCGACGTGCATTGTTTGCCACGGAAAGAGAGAGATCAATCAGAAGTTTTGCTGATTCAGACGACGTATATAATTACCTTTTAAATAACACAATGCAAAGTGCATAGCAATTTTTATCATCACCTACTTTATAAAGTAGGCCATCGTATGTACTTGTTGCTGACACTCACGCAGTCATCACTATAAGCAAACACCTTGGGATGTATGCATTATTGCACAACATCCATTTTACATCTATAGCCCTTTACCAAAGAAGTGGATGGTTCCTGGAGGATGTATGTACTACCACTATCAATTACATCACCGACGTATTGCGATCAATGACTTAGGGGGGGGAAGATGATAGCCGTTGTTGTTGGGTGTGGTAATGACCGAGAAGCTTGTCGGGGAATAACAAGTGGAGGTCGTGGTGGTCAACGAATGTTGTGCGTGCATGCATGTGTGGAGATGAGGGGTTAACGGAGGACGCGTCATCAGTAGATCATTGCCGTTTCTTTTGGTTTGTCGCTAACGTAGTTATCGACCATTAGGAAACGGCTTAGATGGATAATGAATGTACGTCATTGATAAGCTTTGCCTTGTCCCATTCTTGACGTACCAGTCGCTTGTGCAAACACCATCCACTGACGTCGTTATACCGTCATTGCTAATATAGCTTAAATAAAATCCTGTAATGAGCAAGGCGGTAATAATGGAAAGCAGGAAATAAGGGAGGGAAAAAGGAAAGGGATACCAATACCAGAATATGAATTCGCCCTCGGGGGGAAAATTTGGCTTATCATCCTCTTGTACCTTTTTCATTGTCGTTGGTTGGAACCCCAAGAGAGAGAGAGAAACAAGAAAAGGGGAGCAGCAAAGTAAAAGCCAGGGTGGTTACACAAGCAACCTTTTTGAAAAATGCGGTTGCACAAAACGGCCAGCGATCGGCAAACAATCTCTTTGACAACCCATCAAAACAATCAACAGTGGCATACCTCAACACAACACAAGCCAACAAAAAGGCGTTACATTTTAGCATGGACCACCTATTCAATGATACAAGGCATTTGCAGTGCAACCATGTACCCATCTTAAGCTTATGCAATGTATTGTTTTCGTGACCATAGCAGTTCATTGTTCACTTGCAGCAGCAGCAGCAGCAACAGGCACTCGTTCTCGTATCCAATTGTTTAACCAACACCCCCCAAAAGGCCACAAGGGGACACTAGGCTACTCTTGCTCTTGTCTTTTTTTATCAAGAGGGAAAACAGAAAAAAGGAGGAGGAATGACATCTACAATGGATTCGCGCGTCTTTGGCATTGCTTGTGTATGGGTGAGTGTCTGGATCGTTATTATGGATGGTGATGGCATGCATCATCTATCAAGAATAGTGCCCCTGGTTGATTTACTGAAGCTCGTGTCACCTCCGCCGACCCATTCGTTTTGCTCGTTCGCTCGACATCGGCCATCATACGCTATACAGCCGATCGTAATAAATGAAGCTCATCCATAAATGTGCTGCATCTAACGCACACGTGATGATAGACACAAGCAGTGGAACCACATGAATACTACTGCAACTACACCCTCTCTCAAGATTTTCCCTTTCACCACACACACACCTCTAACTCCTTTACTTGCATCCAAACAACATCCTTGTTATTGTATGTATCAAGCCAATGTATTAAGAAGCATAAAAACGGTTGCATGTACATGGTGATGAATCGGAAGCGGTTCATCGTCACTAAGATTTGGTTTTGCTTAGCTGCTATGTGGTCCTTTCATCATTGGACATCCATGAAAAGGCAATTCATCAGGGATTGCACAAAAATGACTTCATGTTGCACTACCACGTTTTGCACCGACGATCGAACAAATGATCACAGGATGGGGCAAACAATAATTATGCTATAATTCAATTGCATGCCAACATTTACAGCAAAGAAGGAAGAAAAAAAGAGCAAGATGACACACATGTACATACATTACATTGGAAGTGAATGCCCACAGTGGTAAGAATGGGTAAAGTGTAGATGAATGCAGGTGCTTCAGCCTATAAAAAGCGTATAGGCAACAAGGTTTGCTGGGACGACAACAAACACCAGCACAGCATAACGCTCCGATGCACAGACCTTCTCATTTTTTCATTTGCAGCAGGTATATCGTGAATGATGCTGCCTATTCTTTCACAAAAAGAGTTACAGCAGAAAGAGAAAAAGAGAAAAAAGGAACATGATGCGCGTGATCTCGGCATGGTGACTAGATTAAGGAAACGAGAACAAACCATCCACTGTACCCTGATACGTTCGTCGCCGTTATTTTTCTTTTTCCCCTCCCATAACCCCCCCTTGCCAAAGGGCTCATCCGTTTGAGTTTATGTGGATGACACAAGTGATAGGCACATGCGCACGCACAACACGATCGTAAATGTTTGCGACACGTTGATCTAGTGAAATATGCAATGTGGATGACGGGAAGGAGACACAACGCTGTATGTAATGTAAGCACACTAGCGATCTGCAAGTTTTTCATCCATTTAGGAAGAAGGACATTGCACCCCTTATCTGTGGTTATTATAAATACTGCCCGAAAAAGATGCAGCTCTCTTTCTTTTGCTCTTGTTCGCCTTCTTAACTTTTTGTGTCGCCCTTTGTTCCCAACCTTGCGGCGTTTAGTTTGCATTGCCCATCACCCTTTTCTTCTTCTTCTTGCCTTGTGTAATCCCTTTTATATATACAACAACAACAACTACTATGCCTTCGCAAAAGTTTAGAAACATGAGCACCGGTCGATCTGTTCGCAACGCAGCTAACAATTTTTTGAGCACGTTTTCCTCGGCGGCTTCTCATTATGGTATTCTGTCATTCTCATTCTTCCTACCTTGCTTGATGCACAATAACGGTTGGGCTAATACCCTACATGCATAGGCACAATTTTCTCCTCAGCTGACATGGCCCGCTCTTTGGAAGAAAGGTAAGGAGCATCTACAAAGATCGAGGAGAGAGAGAGAGAGAAAAAAAAGGCATCAGGAAGGGGAAAAAGAAAAAGAAACCGCCACCCTATGTAATGCATATTCAATCGATCGATCTTATTGAACTCCTTTTCATAGCGGATTGAACGAACTTGCACATTTGGATAAACGATCAGCTCACAACGCTTTAGAACGTCAACGACGTGAAAATCTCAACACAAAGTTTCAACAACTTGCACATGCCTTACCATCCTTGCAATCCGTTCGACGACCCAGTAAAACGGTCATTGTAGCCAAGTCTCTTGAATTTGGTAAGCTTTGGAATCATCATGCACAATGACGGCATTCTCAACTCACACACACACAATCTCGACCTCCACAGTTTCCAACTCGATCAGTCGTGAGAGCTTGTTCCAAAAACGCATCGAGAATTTGAGACGCGAAAACGAACGTTTGCGTGATCAAGCCCAACAACGTGCAAAGATGAAGCAGCTAGGCGTCACACCATCCTCTTCAAAGTCGTCATCTTGTTCATCATCGATTGCTGAACAACCCATGTACCTTTCACCAGAACAACTAATGTTGCATCATCCATCAACATCACCATCGCCATCATCCAACACGGTTGCCATGGATACCGTTGTCTCGACAACGACATCATCATCACCAGCAACCACAACCACAACCACCAACGCATGTACCATCGAGATGACTTCATCATCATCAACTACTATGCCTATGGGCCATGCTTGTGCTGATACGACGACAACACAGGGTCCACTTGCTACACCTGTATCCCCAATGATGGCAAGAAAAATGTCTACGGCTGAATCAGTTGCTTCCACCACCGCCACCCACAACAAGCAAACAACAACGCAGCAACAGCAGCAGCATCAGCATCAGCCGAGTATGGAAAAGGAAATACAGCAACAACAGCAGCAACCAACCACACAAAGCAGCGATAATAAGATGATGGATGTTGTTGTTTCCAGTGCTCTGGATGCACAACAACATCATCATCAACAACAGGGTCTTTCGGCAACAGCCGAGCCACCTCAGCAACCTGCAGCACAACCCAATGTTTACGACATGGCATTTACTACAATGCCCCAGCATCTGACATCCACCCCACAAAGCACAGTGTCGCTAATGGATCAACATCTCGATTTGCCTGCTTCCATGGTGGATGTCAATGGATATTACTTGCCTCCAAGAACGATGGTTGTGGCTCCTCCTCCTCCATCAGGCATGCAACAACAACATATGATTCCTCCATTTGCAGCAACAACAACCGGTTCACCTAATACGATGATGCCGTTCCCTATGATGGATATGTCATTCCCTGGTGGTGCAATACCTCATCCATCCTCCGCAACTAATGGAACGATAACAACAACGACGACCCCTCCTCAAGTTTCTTACATGCCTGATGCCGCCGCTACCTTTCAATTCCATGCCGCTGCTGCCTTGGCGTATCCACCACCTGCTTACAATGCACAACCTGAACAACCTACAGCAAATATTCACAGTAAGTTAACAACATGTCCTTTTTTGTTTACACATATCAGATTAACACTTTCCCCATTTGAAAAGACTACAATCAGTTACATTGGTAATACCAAAAGGTCGTATCACACACACACACACGCACGCATCACAACAACAATCAAATTTAAACAAGCCTTCCCTTTATTTCAAAATCTGGCGTATACACACGCAGCACACACACTCACGCTTATATACACACACGGCCACTTATTAGTCAATACCCATCCAAACATTACCATTGCTTGTTCAATGGGAACTGTATGAATGTCCTTATCTTCTTCTTGTTCTTCTCTTTTTGCATTATGCTCACATTCTCTCTCTCCTTCTCTCTTGTAAAACCTTCTCTTGTACCTGTATTTTCCTTTTCGAGTGCACTGGATGCAGTACTTTTTTTTTTCACCCCGCCCCCTTTTCCCCCCTTACTGTTCTTTTTTGTATACGAGCTCTCTCTTGTCGTTGTTGTAGTGTAAAGATGGCGTGAACGATACACGGCGACAGAAAAAAAAAGTCCAACCTGCTTGCTACCTCCCCCTTTTTTCTTTCTTCTTGTATAAGCAACCCTTTTTTCCCTTCTTTATGGTTTCTCACTCTCACTCTTTCTTTCTTCTTATTCCCAAAGTTTACATATTCCCAGTGTTTTTTTATAACAATAAAGCTTAAAAGATGCACTTCTCCTTGCCATTGTCCATAAATGGGGATTGATATGAGTAAAGAGAAATATACTCTGAAGGAGGGAGAGAGAGATGAGAAGGAGAGACATTGTTTTGTGCATGATTTCAAAAGAACCTTGCGCTGCAGTTCACATGACCTCTATGCAATAGGGTGAAAATGCAGGGGTGCATTGGATCTAGGGATATGGTTCTTTTAAAGGAGAGAAACGAAAACACCGATTCTCTTTATTCAAAAGCTTCGTTGTTGTTATGGACACATTTAGTTCTTTAAGGGATGCAGCGATCTGTGCGACACAACGTCACTCGCCCGTACGTATGGATCGTTCAATGAATGAAATGGAATGTGTGTGGTGGTGTACAATGGAAACCAATGTACATGTTTTCATTTCCAGTTGCAGCAAAAACAACATGTACATACATATATACACCATCATGCATAGCCATGCTGTCTGCATCATCATCATCATCACCATGGTATAGAAATAGTGGATCACCGTTGATGTTGGCGAAATAAAGATTGAGTTAAAAAGCGAATCTCATCTTCTCCCAAGGGGGTAGAGTAAAAGGGAATCGGAAAGGTTAATTTCTAGTAAGCGGCTAAACGTTGTTGTACGCGCAATAAGGAGAATAGGAACAACCCATCATGTTTGTGTTGTGAACAAAGGCAATGTAATGTGTGCCGATAGAAGAAACGCCCCCAATATCGACTTCCAATTCATGTACAGCTAGCTACATGCTGCAGCAAAAATGTGCCCAATGCATTGCAGAGCGTTATCAAATGGCATTCAAATGCATATGCTTGTGACACAATAAGCAATCATAGTCAACATTACAGATTTGTTTCCTTTTCCTCGACATTCGGCCGATCGACTTTTAATATATATGCATGCATGGGTGTATGTGGTGTGTGTGTCTGTGTTGTGTGGATATGTGATGCTAATAAGAATATACTACGTTGTTGTTGTCTATCATGCTGGATGTTGATCATTCATGGTATATAGATGGGCCGCCGCCGCCGCCGATCATGGCTTGTTGTCTTCCAAAAGTGACAGCAGGTTCGGCAACCAAGTATTCATCACCGCGAGTCCTCTTTCTGTGAGTCGTATTCCACCACGCATCCATTCATGTTGTAAATGCTCAGGCACATAGAGTTCCAAGTCCTCGTCATTGTCCACCAATAATAGACCAGCATCAACATACAGAGATAACATGTCTTGAGTCACCACTTGTTCTAGCGTGTTGCCTGTCATTTCTTCGAACCGAGACCGCGGGATGCCCATACGAGTGCGAAGTCCAAATACAAAAAGTTCCTAATAGAAACATCGGTAATCCATTGCATAAAGTAGTTTAGTCCATGTGCATTTGCCGTTTTCAAACCAACAATCACGAAACCCCCCTTTTACCCCCGCCCATACTCACCTCCTGTACATCTCGTGACGATATAGATACCCATTTACGAATGCTATGTAAAGATAGGATTGAATGAGTTACCTCCAAAAGAGGGAACGTACTCCTACTTTCTCCTTGCCATTCTATACGTACCCTTCTCCTTCACTTTCACAGAGTGCCATGTACTTGTCGGGATGAAATTCCTAGTATGAAGGTAGTAGCAAGCATATCATCAGTGATGTGTGTATGCGTGAGAGAGAGACGAATGATGTGTGTGATGGGAGTACTTACACCAAAAGTACGTATGCGTTGATGATTCTGGATATCGGTCAAGCGTCCGTGCGCACCTGGTCCTATGCCTATTATGCCACACGTGAGCTCCCAATAAAGTTCAAACTTTATTTGCCCAAGACTTACCAAGATAATCCATACCCTGCCAATAGGAAAGTTGTGTGCTTGCTCATGGCTTGCCTCGTCCTTGCATAGCTTGAGACCTCGTAATGTGAAAACCCATGGACTGCAGCTTCTTCCACAGTCATGTCGTACATGTCGGCTGCTTCCTCTGAGCTTGCTACGGGAGGCAATTGTCTTTTTGTTGAAGCTTTCCACAACCTGTCATGATCATCATGAGCCCTTTGGATCCTGTTGTTGAACAAAAATGATACTCACGGTGTGCCTCAAGGAAAGCTGGTATATGGACAAATGGTCACCTGCTAGATCCAATGCTTGCTATGATGTATGCAACTTTTAGTATCATCGATCCTTTAAGCAGCACAACAACAACATCCTATTATACCTTGAGCTCATGTTCCCAATCACGTATCGATTGTCCAGGTCTTGCAAAGATCATGATCATTAAAGGATTGAATACCAAGGGAAAGCCGATTGATGCCGACATGGCGAAAAGATTGTAATCGCTCAGACTCAGCTGACTGTAATGCATGTTAATGCTTGGGATGGATGGGACCACGTGGCTACTCTATCTCTTACCGTTGGAGTCGCCTAGCACAAAAATACAATCCATGGTCATGATTGTGATATTATGGATATTGAATAATAAAAGGATGAATGTTTTCCCT